ACCTGGTGAAGCCACAATTCTGATTTAAACTATGTATCTAGACCCCGGGCAGGGAGGTTGGGATGTTAAATGGCATCTTGTGCCTTGTTACATGGGGGTGATTTTGTTTTGACACAGGGTTTCGCTGTGTAGTTAATGCTGGTCCCTTAGTTTGCAGTGATCCTTCTGTCTCAGCCTCCCAAGTGCTGGGATTTGTAGGCATGCAATAGCATGCCTTGTTACAGCTCACTCTTGGGGCACCACCAGTGCTGCACCTTCTTCCTGAGGGAATTCCTCAGGGCCATTCTTTTATGGATGGGAACCCTAAGTATTTTACTGGGGAGCAAGCTGTAATGTGGGCATTTTCTGAGTTGCACTTTGCTACTTGTAACTAAGGCGTAGAAACTGAGGCCCATGGGTGTTCTTGAAGGACATTTGAGAGCACGATTGTGTGTGGGTTCCAGGGACAGGGGCCATGCCATCCAGAGATTCCTGGTGGGGGGGGGCAGTGCTTGGTCACAGCATGAGGCTTTCACATGAGCAGCACACAGGCACCCAGACCATCTCTAAAGCCCATACCACCCAGTATTGAGGTTGGTGCCTGCCTGTCCATCCTACTGGAAAGGAGTGGGTCTCCTGTAGCCCCGTCAAGCTCATTCCTGCAAAATTGTTAAGGTGGGGCAAGAGGTAGAGAAAACCATGTGTATCACATTTCCCTGGGAACAGCCTCTCCTGCCATGTGCACAGTGAGTGGGGTGAGGAGCTAGGGCATATCAGAAGTTGCTCAAGTTTCCTTCTGGTTTCGTGGCCCTTCAGTGCCCCTTACTCTGAGCCTACCTGGAGGTGAGAGCCGTAGGGGAACCTCTACCCTGCTGTAAGCCAGGGGTGGGTGTGCAGTGTGTGGCTCTCAGTTGCTGATAGCTAGAGTCCCACCCCAGCCAGCACTGCCCTCCTGTCCTGCTCCTGTGATAAGGGGCAGTCTTGTACTATCTCTTGGTGCTAGCCAGGCCAGAAGTGAGTGGCAGGGAACAGTAGCCAAGAACCCATCGTCAGCACCCTTTGTAATATACATCATGCTAAGCTGAAAAGAACCTACCAAGCAGGGGGCTACATCTTGTTAGCAACTGGCATCTCAAAGACAAACCTTGGCCTTTTGGGACTTTGTTGCTGGGTGTAAAGCTGAGATCCCTGATGGCGGGATGGAGCTGCCCCTAAGTTTTCATGAGTCGGCATGCCAAGCTTTTCTGCCAGGGAAAAGGGCCTTTGGAAGACCAGGGTTAGGAAGGGGGAAAGTAATCACACCCCACACCCAACCTGTCTTTGTAGCAACTCCTAGGCACTGGAGGCCACGATTGCCCTCTGTAAGAACAGGCAGGCATTAGGCTAAGCTGTGTGAGGAGCTGGGTGAGAGGTAGATGGATGCTGTGAGTCCCTGGGCTGCAGCCCCTGCAGACAGAAGCAGCTAGGATGTCGGGATCTGTGTGAATTTTCCCACTTAAGAGACAGCAAGTGACATTTTTCTGACACTGAGCAGTTTCCATTCCAAGGTTCTGGGGCTGCTCTTGGGTCAGGGAAAGATGCCAACCAGGGCTGAGCAGAACCTTGCAGTCATGTGAGAGGATCAGGGCCCAGTGAGGACCCTCTCAGGCTGCAAGGGCTCTTCAGACAGGACCTGGTGGCTATTGGCCCACTGTGAGCAGGGCTCTGAGTACTCTCAGTCAGTTCTGTCCCAGGTGGAGTCACTTGTCTGTGGACCTGTCTGGGAATCCTGATCTAGGCAAGGCAGCTTCAAGGATGGTGTGGAAACATTCATCTCCTGACCAGTTCAGTCCAGGTCAGGTGACCATGGCTCTTGCTGCTACCTGCTAAGCACCAAGGAGGGCCACCAGGTCCTACATGAGGCTTTTGCCCTGGATTGTGGAGGCTGGCCCTGATTGCATTTGAGATCCTATGACCTCACCTGGTCCCATAACGCCTGTCGTGTCACAGGGGCCTTTCTTCCTGTGCTGACTTGGCTTTGTGTCCTGATTGATCACAGAACTCCTCAGCTTCAGGTTCTCACCAGGGTCGCAGCTGCCTAATTTGTCTGAAGCTTCCCCTTCTACTCCTTAACAGTTCTACTAAGACAGCCTCTGGGTGTGACAGTGGAGGTGCTGGTCCTGCACAGGTGCCTCTTCTGCGGCCAGCGCTCCCAGCTTTCCAGGGCCATACTGGAAACAGAGGTGCGGCCACCAGAGGTTTCAGACCTGCCCTGGCCTTTGTCCTCCCCCTGGCTGGTGTGACCTAAGGACCCGCCTGGCCAGACCTGCTGTAGTGTTCACAGCAGCCTCTCCTGGCGATTCTTCCATCCCTCTGGCTTTATGTAGTCTAATGAAATATTGTCAGTTTGAAGTTTTTAAACATTTATTACAGTAAAAGGTATGTTGCCATCAATCCCTCCTCAGAATACCCCACCTTGCTTTGAACACTCTTACCCTGTCATTCTTGCCACTTTCTGCAGCAGCTCTGGGAGTCCTCTTTTGTGAGTGTCTTTAGTTGTGCCATTGTGGCTGTCTCAATGTCCTGAATAGATTCAAAGCGTTTCCTTTCCTCCGCCCCTTTGACTTTGGGGAAGAGCCAGAAGCCCTGCTGTAGATCCATGAATACCATGGATGAGGACATAGCACAGGGTCTTTATGAGCCTGCCTTTCTGCTGGTGGCACTCCGAAGCACCATTCATCTCGAGAGGGAGTATTTTGGAGGAATTAATGGTGATGGACCTTTTGCTGTAGTGATTTATAAAAATGTAAACATTTTTTTTTTGTCTTTTTCGTTTTTTTTTTTTTAAATCGGTACCAGGGATCGAACTCATGACCGCACACTTGCAAGGCAGGCGCTTATGCCACTGAGCTAAATCCCCAGCCCTAAAAATGTAAACATTGACTGTGTATTTTGACCATGCCTTGTATACTCTGCCCATTCACACCTTTTCTCTTTTTTTTTTTTTTTTTTTTTTGTCTTTTTCCTTTTTATCGGTACCGGGGATCGAACTCACGACTGCTTGCTTACAAGGCAGGTGCTTATGCCGCTGAGCTAAATCCCCAGCCCCTATACCTTTTCTCTTGAGGCAGGAGGGAATGCAGGTAGATACAGTGGGTTTCTGGCTAACGGTCTAGTTACTAGGTTTTCACAAATCTGTCAGGTCTGGCTTCTGTGTCACTGGCTAGGGGGACACTGCTTTCCCCGGGGTGGGTGTGGGCATTATGGTGAAGCCCAGACAACAGTTTCACTAGAATGCATCGGCCTGTCTTAGTTTCCTCTAATTCTTCCCTCACTTCTTTCAAGGAAATTCATCTTGATTAAAGATGGAAAGAACATATTTTGTATGTGTGTGGTGCTGGGGATTGAACAGGGCTTTGTGTACGCAAGACAAGATGAGCTCTACCCCAGCCCCAAGGACAATATTTTTCCATATTACAAAATTTAAAAATCTATTTCAGTCAGGTCCAGTGGTGACACATGTCTGGTACAATCCCAGCTATTTGGGAGGCTGAGGCAAGACAATCACAAGTTCAAGCCCAGCCTATGAAATTTAGTAACTTAGTAAGATCCTGTGTCAAAATACTGAAAATGGGCTGGTAGTGTTGCTTCAAGTTGAGGTTCTGGATTCAATCCCTAGTACTACACTAAAAGGGGTGGGGTCAGGGGAGATAGCTCAGTGGTAAATCACTTGGTCAGAGTGAAGCTTTAATTTTTTTTCTTTTAGTAGTAGTACATGTTTACAGTACATAATTGCATTCATTGTAGGGGAGTTGGTCCATGTACATAATACGTCTTAATTCTTTTTGTCTTCCTCTCCTCCCTGCAAGGCCCTGGTTTCTATCCTTAGTATGGAGGAGGGGGAGATACCTGCTAGTCACACTGGATTTTCCTTTACTCCATCACCTCCTGCCGCCCTGGTCCCAAGACAGACCTTCCTTTTACCCATTCAAAAGCCTTCCATCTTTTTTGTGGCAGCTTCTGTGGTATGGCAAGGCTCTGGAGGTGAAGAGTCAAAGGATAGTGGGGAGCCTTACAGGGCCCTGGGAAGATTTGTCCATCTCGGTTTCCATAAACCTCTGCTCCTCCCAGGCCCTGGGGGTGCCAGGAGCTCTAGATGTGCCTGGGGTGAGGGACGGGTTGTGATGGTGGGGATGACCGGGATGGATGTAGGCACGAGGTGAATGCACAACACTTGGTTTTGGCTGGCCAGAGTCCAGGAGACTGACTGTTGCCCATGTTAACTGCCCTCAGCCTGTGCTGGCCACTGGCTGCTGGTGGGCACAGAAGGTGTAGGCCAGACCTAGGTAGGAGCCCACTGGGACTGTTCCTCCTTGGAAGAGAAAAAGTGGGAAGAGGAGCAGGGTAGAAATCATTGTGCAGTAAGGACAGGGCCAAAAGGCACCCATCATGGAAGGCAGAAGGAATCAATGGAGACCAACTGAGGGCATCCCAGGGAGAAGGTGGGGGGATGAGGATGTGGGAGAAGAGCGCAGGGCAGGGCAGGCTGAGGAGGCCCAGCAGAGGGGGCTGGGAGGCAGTACAGCCCAGGTGAGACAGGAGACAGGGAGGCTTGAGAAGAGAAAGCTTGAGGGCTGTGGGCATGCAGGCAGGGGTCAAAGAAGGGCAATGCTCTCTGGGAGCCCAGCAGGAGCCACTGGACACCAGCTAGAGACGGGGTGGGGAAACCAGTGTGAGCCTAATGTGGGTCCAGGTGACCACAGGGGAGGGAATAGGTGACGGCAGGTACAGATTTCCTGGAAGAGTAGGCTTTGCCAGGGCCAGGGAAGGAGGTGGGAAGCAGGAGATGGTCCCCAGCTGTGGCTCTAGAGAGGAAGATGTACTCAAGACAGCCAGGCTGCGCAGCCAGTGCCATCCAAGCCCCTGCAGTGCCGCCAGCCCTGTGGGCAGCAGCCCCACCATCACAGCAACAGGAAAGTAGAGGAAGGCACCCAGCAGGACCAGCAAGGGTGGGGACACCCACAGAACACACTGAAGCAACCTTGGCATGCCCACCTGTGTCAGTAACATTTATTCCTCGGGGTTACAGGCGGCGGTGGTGGAAGAGCACGTGGCGGCACACCGGGCAGGAATGCTGCACGTCCATCAGGCTCCTCACGCAGAAGGGCAGGAAGCAGCAGCCCAGGACGCACCTGCAGCCTCAAGAGTAGGGCTGTGAGAGCACCCTGGACACCCTACGCCCCACTGACCTACAGGCTGGCCCAGGCCTTGGGGCAAGTCCAGGACCTGGTTGAGAGCCATGCCAACCCTCTCTCAACTGATGGCGATGACACTGGGCACAAGTGCCTGCTTGGCAGGCACCCATCACATACGCAGCCATCTGTCCCGGGAGGACACCGGGTGCCAAGAGCCAAGTCAACACTGAGGCTTCCCATCCTCCATCCTGTCTGTCACACACAGGCACCCCGCCCACTCCCAGATGGAAGCCCAGGGCCAGGCCACTCACCCAAATATGAAGAGAGAGGAGCACAGCAGCCAGCTGAGCAGTCCTGGGACCGGGGTGGTAATCGTGATGATGTAGTTCCCGCAGTAGGGACACACGGTCTGGATCGGCATGGAGGTTGATGTCCTTGGCATGGTGGTGTGCATGTCTGGGAGGAGGCAGGTGCTCAGACCTCAGCCTGCCACACCCCACTGACTTCTCATCTTCTGCAGGGCCTTGGTGGTGAACCAGATGGGCCCTGCCACTCACCTCCCATCATCAGCCTCAGGCCTCCTGTGGTCAAGACCTCCAGCTATAGCAAGCACAGAAATTGAGGCCCAGAAATTGAGTCCCCTTTCCACTCAGTGAGTCCTTGCCAAGTGCTGCCCATCTGTCAGCCCCATTCTCTTGGGCTCCTTAAGTTACCAGAAGCGGTTTCCCTTCCTTGAGATGCTCTGCCGGGCACCCTGGCTACAGCCAGTGCAGGGAAGGCAAAAGCATGAACCTTCCCATTGACATTTCAGCTTATCTGTCATGCCACCCTCAGGCATAGGTGCAGCAGGGCCACCGAGCTGTGCTCAGTGACTAAAACAGGCCACCACTGCATACTTGGTGGTGCTGCATTTGTCATGATGTTGATGGAGGGGGGGTGGGCGTGGCTTGGTACAGTGGTGGTAGGAGGGTTGCTGAGCACATGTGAGGCCCTGGGCCACTCCCAGCACTGCTAACAGCCACACAAGACACCAACAGGAACAATTCCCAGTGTGCTTCCATGTTCTGAGCCAGAGCTGGCCACTGCACTGAGTGGGGGTGGCGAGCATTTGCTGCCCATTGAATTTGGCTCCCTCTGGGCATCAAGCAAGGGGCGCTGGTGTATAAAGAGCAGGGTCCCAAGGTGAGGGAGTGTGACGCGTACCCTGTGTGGCAGAAAACCAAGAAGCGTGCATGGCCAGGAGGGCTGCCCCGTGGGCCTAAGGAGCACTATCCACAGCGGGGTCTTCAGTGTGCCAGTCTGAGGCTGCCTACAGGCTGAGCTGCCTTATTTTCTCAGGCCGCTGTGGCATGGCCCAGAGTCCAGGCCTGTGTGGTAAAGGCTTGTCCTCCAAGTGGCGCTGCGGGGAGGCAGTGGGGCTTTGTGGGATGTTCTTAGGTTACTGGGGTGTGTCCTTTGAGGGGACCCTGGGAGCCCTGTTTACCTGGCTCAAGACAAAAGAGGTTCACTATGACACATACTCCTAGCTTGGCCACCCTCCCTAGAGGCTCAAAGCCATGGGGCCACCAGACCTGGCTCTGGACTCTCCAGGCCTGTGAGCTGCATAAACCTCTCCTCTGCTGCATGTACTGCCCCAAGTCCAGCGCTTCATGGCAGCAATGAGACGCTCACACACATCCTGCTCAGCAATTCTTTGAGTAAAGTGCTGAGAACTCCTTGGAGGTTTTTAGAATCCCTTTACTGCTCCTCTGAGGTGGTGGCAGTGGTGGTGGCGATGGTGGCAGGGTAGGGTGTGCTTAAAGGCATTATGGTGCTTAGAAACATTTCCTGAGCACCTACTGCATACCAGCCCCACCCACCCATGACCACACGTTGGAGGATGATGCTTCATCTGTCTTTGGTTAACAGAGCTGCCAACGTGAGCCATGGCATGGCCTGGAGCTGCCAGGGACTGCGGGGCTGTGGGGTTGGGCAGGCAGCTTTCCTGAGGTGGTGTTGTCTGTGCAGTCCTGGGTGTGGCTCAGAGGGAGCCTCCAGGCAGCTGTCTGCACTCAGCAGCAGAGAGAGGCTGTGGCTGAGAGAGTTCCACACTTACCTGTGGTGAAGGCCTGCGGGGGAGCAGGGTGCGCTGCAGGTGTGTACCCACCCCTCGGAGGAGGAGGCGGGTAGTAGGCAGGCGGTGGCTCTGAAGGATGACATGGCTCTGGAGAAGCGACCTTCATGCCTAGGGTACACGGGATACCATGACTGCTTTGTTTGTTTTTTATTTTGCAGTTCTGAGGGCTGAACCCAATGCCTTTTCACTGAGCTACACTCCCGTCCTTTTCTGAATTTTTAGCTTGTGACAGGGTCTTGCCAAGTCATTAAATTGCCCAACCGGGGTTTCAACGTGTGATCCTTCTGCCTCAGTCTCTTAGAGTGCTGGGATGACACATGTGTGTCACCACACTTGACTCCAGGGCTGATTCACAGATCAGAACGCCCAGGTCTGTAGGGAGGACTAAACAGACCACGGCTGTCAGTTACTAGGTGGAGGAGCCAGGGTTTGAACCAGCACATATCACTTTTTGGCATGCCCCGTGTCCCACAATGAGAGCTCTTCCCAGAGGAGGTGAAGGAGCCCGAGCACAGGGCCACACCCTGTGCTAATCACTCCACAGACTCCACCACAGTCACTTGTACAAAACACCAGGGATGTGGTTGGGTGGCGTTCCGTGAGTTTTGCAGGTGTGGGAACCAGGCTCAGAGAGGTTAAATACCTGAACTGTGCGTGCACAGGGAATAAGTACCAGCCAAGGTGAAATAGGCGTGCTTGACTCTGGCCCCTGCTGCTCACATGCCCTGGCCCCTGGTCGGGATGGCTGCTGAGGGGCTGCTCCCATCTCCCCCCAGAGGAGGGTGTTTGGGGTGCTGGTCCACCCTCCCAAGCTTGGCTCCACCTTACACCACACAGTGCGGGTGCCACCCCTATGTGCCTCACTTCCTGGTCACCAGAGGGCCCAGACACTGCTTAGGGCTGTTTGGAAGAGGAAGTCCAGGGCCCTGGACACCCTGTGTGTGTCCCAGAGGAGGAAGACAGTTTAATCAAGTCTGGGCAATGGCGATGCCCATGTTTCCAAGGAGGCCTTGTAGGCCTTGTCTCCACAACCAGCTCCTCCTGCCCTCCCGGGAAGAGGGCTGCTGCGCTCTCCCCACCCAGCATCTGTCTCCTCCCAGAATGAGAGTCCCAAAGAGCAGGATGCCGTCTCCTCTTTGGCCCAGTCCGGACTCTGTCAGATGGGAGGAAGTCAGCTATCCAGGGCCCAGCAGTCCGGCCCACCTTACAGGTGAGGAAAATGTGAGTCAGAGAAACACAGCAGCAATGCCCCACTCGCCCTGGTTTCCTGGGAACCCCCTCAAACTGCCTGTCCTCTCAGCCTGCCTTCAGCAAGACTCAGGCACGCTCTCTCCTGGGCCGCGTCAGCACAGCTGGCAGGGCTGCACCACCCAGCGCAGGTGGAGGCGGAGGTCGTACTGTACCTGATGTGGGGGGGCCATGAGTCTCTCTTGGCGGGCGCCTTTTGTCACTGGAAGAGAGAAGAGGTGATGGGGGAGGTGCCACCTGCTCTCTGTCCTACTGGGGCCCCAGGAAGGTGGGGGTAGGACTTGGGGGAAGGTGGTGAGCACCGGAATTAGCACCCACCCTGGCTCAGCAAGGTGGCCACAGCTCCTCCTGCCTCCCTGTGGGAAATGTCCCTAGCATCCATTTCTGCCTGGCCCCACCCAGCCCGGCTCTTGAGTGGAGGACCCTTACCCTGGGGGTGATCCCATTTTGGCACCATAGAAGTCCTGTGTCCTAGCAACGGTGTCTGGGCACTGCTGCATTCCGAGTTCTGAGTGGTAGCACTCATTCCAAGGTGTCCCCTTGTGTGTGTGTGTGCGTGTGTGTGTGTGTGTGTGTGTGTACCTGCTGTCAGGAAGTAGGTGGGGCCGAACGAGAGTCCTCAGCCATCTCGCAGTGGCTGACTAGGTGACCACTGTGGGCCTTGTCCCTCCTTACTGGAGGACACACAGGTTGCCTTGGGCTGAGCTGAAAGGACACTGCATCAGAGCTGAGCCATGTGAATCCTATTAGAGGTGACCAATGGGAACAAAGGGCCAGCTGTGAAGCTGTCCATGTCCTCTTATTCAGAAATGTGCACGAGCTGGGTGTGGTGCTGCACCCCTGTAAACCTGTCAGTCTGGGAGGCTGAGGCAAGAGGATTTCAAGTTCAAGGCCAGCCTGGGCAATTTAACTACGCAGTGAGACCATCTCAAAAAAAAAAAAAAAAAAGTAAATTAAACAAAGGCTGTAAATGTAGCTCAGTGTGAAGGCTCTGGGCTCAACTGCCAGTACCCCCAAAAACAAGGAGCAAGGGAAAGTGAGAGAAGTGGAGAAGTGTACATGGGTGTAAGCATATATATCACACATACATGCATGTTCAAGTGTGTGCGTGTGATCATGAGTCAGCCTGGCTCCCCGCTCCTGAACTCTGGGAACTGGGGCAAGACCCGAGCTCTCTTGTAGACCCCACTGCTGCCTCCTCATCTATAAAATGGGATAACAGCAACCAAGAGGGAAACTAAATGACACCGTCCAACTGTGGCCAGTGAACCTGGTCTAAGGTGAGAACAGCCAGAGTGGGGCCCTCCGATGCCACCCAGGTACCACGAGCTTCTTACTACCAGGAGGCCTGGGGTACCCGAGGGTGGCCCTGCTGTCAGGCAGGGAGAAAGGAGCCAAAGCCAGGCAGGTCCTGGGAAACAGCACTTTCCTGCCACTGACAGGGCAGATGCAGTGTTGTCTGGCAGTCACAGCGGTGGGGCCCACGACCCGGCAATGCCATGTCTAGAAAGACGAACGAGCTGAAACAGGAAGTGGTGTGGGCACGAAGCTACGTGGTACTGTGGGAAAGACGAGGAAGTCACAGTGCCTGTCATACAGCTCCTCAGGACCATAAAGTAAACAGAGGGCACAGGGCAGGACAGGAGGAAATTCCCCACGAATGACCATGGAGCGGTCTCTACTGGAGGTATTGTTAAAAAAAGAGGAAATACACACACACACACACACACACACACACACACGCACACGCACACGCACGCGCACATGTAAGTTATATGCGTGTGACCCTCTTCCCTTACCCTACTTTTTGTTTAAGGAAAGGGGTGAGATACATAATTTCTAAAAAGGAGTAAAGGCTAAATTAAAGTGGTTATGTTGTGGGGGATAAGTGTCAGAGAGCCGGAAGGGAAGCAAGGCCTCACTGTCCTTCACACCGGGCCCAGTGGTGGTCCACACCTGTAATCCTAGCACTCTGGGAGGTCAAAGCAGGAGGACGGCACGCTGCGATGCAGCCAGGACAATCAGTGACTAGCAAGATCCTGTCTCAAAATAACAAAAGGGCCATGGGTGTAGCTTAGTGTGAAGGCCTTGGGTTCAGACCCCAGTGCCACAGAAAAGTAAAAAACAAACCTTGGGTTTGTGTGTGTGTGTTTTGAGACAAGGTTTTGCTGTATAGTGCAAGTTGGCTGGTCCAATGCATTGGAGAACCAGAAGTTATTAACGTTAGTGTCCTGTAGACTGACCTTGAGCTCACTATGTAGCCCAGGCTACCCTTGAACGCACAGAGATCCTCCTGCATCAGCCTCCTGAGACCTCCCTTTTCTTTTTCACCTTTTAGCTTTGACTGGATGTCATATGTACTAATTAAAATTGAAATATGTTAAAGAAAAAAAGAGCAACAGTGAAAAACACAAAATTGAACACATATGACATTTATGACTGTCCAACAAGACTTCTTGCATAGAACCCACAGCAAAGATACGAAAGAAACACTTGCAAAGTGGACTTCCTCAAAACTGGAAGCAAATTTCAAAGATAGGATGGGCGGGATAACTGGGTAAGCCACCGGCTAGAGGAACACATAGCAGTAACCGATAAAGTGCAACTATCTAAAATATTAGAGAACCAGCTGACCTTGGTGGCACAGCAGGAGGCTGAGGCAGGAGGAGCACCAAAAGTTCAGTGCCAGCCTGGGTTACACAGGATGTTCAAGGTCAGCATGACTCTATAATGATATCATGTCTCAACCCTAACCCAAAATAGAAAACTCTTCAATTTAGTAGTTTAAAAAATTAAAAAATAGGGGCTGGGGATTTAGCTCAGTGGCATAAGCGCCTGCCCTGCAAGCAGCCAGTCGTGAGTTCGATCCCTGGTACCGATAAAAACGAAAAAGACCAAAAAAATTAAAAAATAGAAGCAAAAGCCCTGAACACTTTGGAAAAGATTAGAAATGGTTAATAGCATGTGAAGAGATGCTTCGTGTTCCCAGCTATGGAAGATAGCAAAAATACAGATACCAGCTGGGAATGGTGGCGCATGTTTGCAGTCCCCCAGCACCCGGGGGTCTGAGGCAGGGAGAACATGGGTTCAAGGCCAGCCTCTGCTACACAGCAAGTGGAAGGCTCACCTGGACCACATGATGTGATCCTGCCTCTAAATCAAAAGAGAATAGGAATTAAAATACAGCTCCCAGTGAATGGTTAAATTTAAAATGACAGCCAACCCCAAGTGTCAGCAGAAGTGTGGGCTAACTAGATAATCACACAGCCCTGGTGTAAGCAAAACTGGATCCCCAAAAAACCTTGAGCCTCACTCTGGAAAATGGGTCGTTTCTTTCAATGGGCCTGTCAGTCGGCCATTCCACGCTCACATTCTCACGCGGGAGAAACAAAACCCCGTGGGTCCACAAAAGGACCTGCTTCAGAAAATTGGCAGCAGCGAACTGGATGACCCGGGGAGCAGATGGGTGAGGCGCTGCAACCCTTCCAGTCATGGCCACCAGGGGGCAGCACCAGGCTGCCATGACCCGGCCTTGCTCCTTGCTCTGAGCAGCGCGGTCGCAGTGCAGCCAACCGCTCAGACCCGCCAGCAAACACCCCATCCCCGGCCCCACCCTGCGCCTGTAGGGCACCAAGGAGCCTGAAAACCTGCCTGGGTTACACTGTGCACTGTGACAGCCGACTTGGAACCCGAGACCCTGAAAAGGCCTGGAAACTCTGCTGTCTTTCTCCCTGCATCTCCTGCTGAGAACCAAGGGTTTCTGGAGTTCAGGGCTCCTAGAGGACTATCTTTTAAACCTTTGCATCTTTTAAACGTAAACTTCTTTAAAGCCTTCCCTGGTACAAGAAGGGGTTAAAGTATGACCTCTACCACTCCATGCTGTGCAACCCCAGGCAGGTGTCTTAACTGCTCTGGGCCTTGATTTGCACTTCTAAAAAGTGGATCCAGCAATACCTTCTGATAAGGGTGTCAGGAAAATTCGCCGAGAAGTCTCACAGGAAGGGTGGGGGGGATGAGCTTGGAGGTCTGATAGCTGGTTGCTCTCCTGCTTTCTCATCGTGTCCGGGTTGTGCTGTCTTGCGTGCAATGAGGAAGACTGTTGCTGGGCTATTTCATGGAAATGGGGTTGGGTCATTTTTCTTTTCCGCAAATCCATGATGCTAAGTAAGAAGGAACCTGAAGAATGAGTTGTAACTGTGACTGTTGTGCGCTGTGTGTGCGGGTGTGTTGCCTTACAGAGACTCTGGTCTGGGTGGGCTGGGCGCCCCTGAGTCTGCCTCCTCCTGCTCAACAGGGGCTGATGGGACAGACGGAACGCGGGGCACCACAGTCATACACAGCGGCAGAGTCCAGGTCCCCATGGCCTCAGCGCCCAGCGCAGCACGCCTGGTTGCCCGGTGCCCCACTCAGCAAGCACATCCCAGGCTGTAACACGACACCTCAAGAGGATCAAAGAACGAGAAGCTAACAGTGCTGCAGAGTCCTCTGCCCTTACCCACGGGGCGTGCGGCCCCAAGCCCAGACAAGAGGGTCAGGTCTGAGCCTGCGGCTCCCTCCCCACCCACCCACCTGACGCGGGGCGCTCTGGCTGCTTTCCGGGATCAGCCTGAGCTCTCTTCCCGTCTATCAGCCAGGGGATCTGCTGTCTCTCACAAACACCTGGCCACCCGCCCTGAGCAACCCTGCAATGGAACGTATAGACTACTGAACCTCAGAAACAGACATCTGAAAAAAATTCGATGAGCCAGACGTGGAGGCACAGGTCTCATCCCGTGTTATCTGAGAGCCTGAGGCAGGAGGATTCCAACTTCAAGCCCAACGCTGACAACCTGGCAACTTAGTGAGGCAGTCTCAAAATAAAAAATGAAACATGGGGCTGAAAAGGCCTTGGATTCTGGAGTTAATACCCAGTATCACTAGAGGGGAAAAAAATCAATGTAATGCTATAATTGTAACGTAAAGCAAAAAAAAAAAAAAAAAAAAAAGGAATTTATGGTGAAATCTAGCTGACATACAAATACCTACTTCCCAACCCTGTGTGCATTCCACTGCCCCTTGGTCCCTTGGTACTCACCAAAGAGGAATGAAAACACGTTACTCCTAACCCATGTTTATCCCAGACCTGGGCTCGGCATCCCTTCAGGCCCCTGTGTAATTCTGGGAAATATGTTTTCTTTTCTTGTTGACATCAGGGTCTCTCTCTGGGAAGGCGGGAGCCCATGGTTCTGCTGAGCTTTTAAAAAATGTTATCAGCCATCTATGACTCAAGGCAGCCGAGGTCTTCATGGGCTGGAAACATTTCCTTCATGTAAAACATCACCAGCCTCTCCTGCCTGAGTGTACCCAGCCCCTGGGTGGAGGGACAATCTTATTATATCCTGGAATCACACCCATGTCCCTCCTGGTCATGACTACACCCACTTCCAACCAAGGGACCCCATCTGTCTTTTATTTTGTTAGTTTTTTTTTTTTTTTTTTAAACAGGTCTCACTTGTAGTTCAGGCTGGCCTTTAATTCAAAGCAATTCTCTTTCTTTCTTTCTATTAATTTATTTATTTTGGCCTTTTTGAGATAAGGTCTCACTATACAGTTTAGTCTGGCCTCGAACTCACTATGTAGCCTAGGGTAGTCTCAAACTCAAAATGATCCTCCTGCCTCAGCCTCCCGAGTGACTCAAAGCAATTCTCCTCCTTAGCCTCACAAATGCCAAGAGTACAAGCACGCATCATCGTGCCAGGCTGGTCATGATTTTAGACCACTTGTTTTGCTTCAGAAAGAAGACCTGCTTGGGCTTTGTGGCACATTCCTACAGTGCCAGGATTCTGGGAGGCTGAGGCAGGAGGATCATAAATATGAGCCCAGCCTGGGCAATTTAGTGAGATACTGCCTCAAAAAATATAGCTGGGGATGTAGCTCAGTGTGAAGGCCCTGGGTAAAATCCCAGCATGGGGCTGGGTGGGAAGCCCTGTACCTTCAGTATCAGCCACTGCTTCCAAACCACCTCTTTCCATCTCCATGGATTTGTCTGTGTTGCGCGTTTCATACAGATGGACTCATATGAGCACCCTTTTAGCAGCTGCCTTCTTTCACACGGTGCATGCTCAAGGTTCGCCGAACTACAGCAACCTGAGGCACTTCCTTTCTTTTTATGGCAGGCTAATCATACAGATGCACAACAGTTTACACATCCTTCACCCAATGGACAGCTGGGCTGTCGCTCGATACCTTTCAGTGCTTGTGAATAGTGCCTCTGTGTGTAAGATGGGCATGGTGGCCCATATACATGCAGGCCCAGGGCGTGGGGAGGTTGTGACAGGAAGGTCACTTGAGCTCAGGAGTCTGAGATGAACTGGGGCAAAACAGCAAGACCTTCCTCAACGACAACAAAATCTGTCCAGATACGTTTTTAGGTGGACATATTGTTAGGAGGTAGTTGGATACTAGTAGGCCAGAAGGACAAAGCAGGAGTCCACAAAAACACATGTTCTGCCAGTTACAGTAAATAAAGACCCCAGTGTATAACGAATTTATCATCATTTATTAGGTCTCAGGTAGGAAGACACAGGGGCTTACCTCTAGAACAAGGGATGGTCTTCCTGGTTACTGTACCATACAGCCCAAAGGTGCCAAAAAAGGGGGAGCTCTTTGAGGACACTCCTGCCTTGGGCCGAGATCTGGTTTACACTAAGAATTTATCTTTCCTAAATTTACCACTTGACTAAGGGCGTAGCAGGTCACAACCCTGAAAAGGACAGCAGGCATTTGGCAGTTCCAAAGTCATTTCTAAGCAAAACACCAGCAGCATCATAATCCCTGTAGTTCCTGAATTCTAGGAGTATCTTTTTTCTGCTCAGTTTTTATTTTTATTTTGCATAATACTTACATTCATCATGGGGAGTTGGTATTTGTGTGGAACACATTTCAGTTCTTTTTTCATCATCTTCTCCTCCCTCTCACCTCCTTGGTCTCCTTCCTTTTTGTAAAGGATCTATCACTCCTGTCTGGGTGCATGTGGGTATGGGTATATGCCTGTAATCTCAGTTTTCAGCAGGCTGAGGCAGGAGGATCACCATGAGTTGGAGGCCAGCTTGAACTACACAGTAAAGACCCTCTCTTCAAAGCAGAGCAAAGCAGAGCAAAACACCCAAACAAAACAAAACAAAACATTTCCCTGTTTCCTATTACTTATCTTTTATTTTGCTCTTTATACACTGGGTTTCTCATATAAGAGAAAAATGTGGTATTTAAGCTTGTGTGTCTGGACACCGTATGATCTCAAGGCACATCCATTTCCCTACAAATGATTCAATTTTAGGCCCACCTACCTTCTCAGCTGAAGGTCTGGATCTCTCCAGCCCAATAGCTGCTTGCTTTGAAGCTGGGCTCTGAGCCTGCGGGATGGGGATGGGGTGGAAGGTTCTGGTGGGGACTGCAGGGCCACCCTAATGTCTGCCTGCGTGGTCCCAGTGCAGCTGCTGAGCACCAGTCCCCAACTCCACCTGGCAAATATTTTGACCCCGGGCTTTGGGGTACGGGATTCTGCTGGGGGCTGCTTCCAGCTGGTTGTGAGCATGTATGGGCCTCAGCTTCCTCTTCTGCAAACAGGAGCAACATTAATTACCTCGATAGACAGAGATAGCAGTCAAGGATACAATGGAAAAAAAAAAACAAAACAAAACCTCCCCTCTTTTTTGCTTTTGTTTTAGGTTTTTTGAGACAGAGGCTCCCTATGGAACCCAGGCTGGCCTCGAGCTCCCAGTGATCACATGCTTCAGCCTCGGGAGTGCCGGGATTCCAGGCGTGCCCCTCTATACCCTGCTCCCCCTTGTTTTTGTTGTTGTTTTTCATTTTTCTTTTTCTCCCCCCTGTTGTCTGCTTCTTTCCTTTTTGTGTTCATGCCTTTATCTCTTTCTACTCAAACAGGCGCCCCATTTATCCGCAGGTGGAGTGAAGCGTACAGCGCGCAGCAGCAGCCGACTCTGCCACTTTCCAGGGCACCTGCCCCGCGGCGGGCGCCCACCCAAAAGCCCCGGCTCCTCCCGACCGCCCCAGCCCCGCCCTGCCGGGCTTGCGATCTCATTGGTGGAAGCCACGGTGGGCGGGGCCTGGACACCCCGCCCCGCGGGCCTCGCCCCCTCCAGGGCTGGGTCCTAGCAGTCGGAACCCAGCGGCGCGCGGAGCGGGTTGGTTCCTCAGGTAGGCAGCTTACCGGGACGCCGGCGGGGCGCTGCTCCCCGAACTCCGGGAACCGCAGGTGGGGGCTCAGCCTCCTCCACGCTGTGTTTCCGCTAGGGCCCCTCATGGGGGTCGTGAGCTCCTGGCGCGGGCTCTGCGCAGGGCTGCCCGGCCCCCTGGGAAATGCCCTGGGCCTGTTAGCTGAGCGCGGGCTCCGCCGGGGAGGGGTGTGGCGTCCGCGGGCAGCGGGGAGCACTTCCCGCCCGGCCACCTGTTTGCCGCGCACCGAGCTGCGCCGCTCTGCCCGCCCTGCCCCTGCCGTCGCTGAGCGGCTGGATCGCGGATGGGGTGACTCGTGGCGCAGGGGGTGAACGCGGGGGGCGCCGCACGCGGGGGCGGAGCCAGCCTGGTCCGATCGCGCCAGCTGCGGCTCGGCGGGGGGCGCGGGCTGGACCTGGCGGGGCGGGGGGAGGGGCGCTCGGCGCCGGCTGTCTGCGTGGTGGGGGAGGAGGGGCGCCGGGTGCGCTCCCCGGGTGTTTGCGAGAGTCAAGAGCAAACTCACTGGCGGCCGCCCTGGCGGCCCAGGTCTGCAGGCCAGAAACGCAACATTCGTTTCCTTTTCTTGTTTTCAGGTGCTGGAGATTAAACCCGGGTCTTCTTACTGACCTACATCCCCAGTTCTTTTGTAAAATTAAAAAAGTTTTTATTTTTGAGATAGGAGTTCGCTAAATTCAAGTTGCTAGAACCTGCTGTCCTGCTTCAGCCTCCTAGAGTGTTTAGTTTACAGGCACATGTCGTCTCGTCCGACTCACTTTTGATTTTTAGAAAGGAATATTCTGGAGCCAGGCATGGTGCTGCGTCCCTGTAATTCCAGTACTCAGAAGGCTGAGGCCAGAGAATCAAGGAGAGGTCGAGGCCAGTCGACTACATAGTACCGACAGTGTCCCAAAAATTCAATCAATTAGACCAACAAGACGGGTGCATAGCTTTTCTGGGATTGCAGTGGGTGTGTGTGCTGGGAGGTAGCAGATCTGGCAGGGAGGGTCTCGGTTTTCGTGGTGTCTTGTTTCAATATAGGTCTCTTGCCAGGCCTGGTGGCACACACCTTGTAATCCAGCACACAGCAGGCTGAGACAGGAGGATTGCTATGAGTTTGAGCCTGGGCTACAAAGTGAATTCTAGGCCATCCTGAACTGCGCGGCCAGGCCCTGTCTCAACCAACCAGGCAAAATAGGGCTCAGGGCCACAGCTGCAGATGAGGCACCGATTTCCCTGGCAGAAGCAGATGTGTATAAATAGAAGAAGCTGGCTGCCCTGGTGCTGAAAGAGACGTTAATTTTTTTTGTTTAATTTTCCTGTTTGGATATTTAAGTCTGTGCCCCTTCTTGCTCTACTGATCTGATCTCCAAGGTTCAAACCAACACCTCATCCTTTCTTGGAGTTGCTGCTCCTGGCCCCATTCTGTGTAGGAGTTTCTGTCATCTCTCTCCACCGACCTTCCCCTGCGGGCTGTCCTGTCTCCCTTTGGGCCATTGCCCTTTGCCCCTGTGGGCCCCTCTGCCAAGACCCCCGAAAACCCCATTCTGCTGTTTCTTCTCAAGTCTCTGCTTTTCGAGCCTCCACCTCTCCTGCCCCGCTGAGCAACCTGCCTGGGTGCGGCGCCCTTCACACTGGCTTCTCCTTCCATACTGGCCTCCAGGGCAGGAGCATGGTCCTTGAGCCACTCTAGGTCCCTTTGGGGTCCTGGTTCCAGAGAGTGAGGCAGCCTTTCCTGCTGAGTGGCAGAATCAGGGTGTTTGGAGTTGGTTGTGTACCATCCATGAGGCAGAAAAGGGAGGGCGGTGTTATTTCCACGACTCATGTAAGTGGCACATCTATTGTCGACTGAACCCACCGCATGCTTTTACCAAAGCTGCATAGTGTAGGAGTCTGTAACTCTTCCCCGGGGAATGTACACCTTTACTGTCTGACTGAGGCAAGGAGCACTGAGGTCAGTTGCCAGAGATCCCCAAGGGAGTGGCTGGGGATAACTTGTGCCTGGCAAGCACAAGGTCCTGAGTTCAATGCCCAGCATCTGAGTGGAAAGAAAACCCACAGGGTTGAGAACAAGCTGGAGCAGGAAGGATTGGGTGGGATGCTGGGCAGGGGTCTCTTTAAGAACAAGTGTGTGTGGAGGGTGCCAGGCTGCAAGTGTGTCGGTCGAGTGGTGCCTGGAACGGGCTACACAAGGCCATGGGGAGGTGCTTCTGGGTTCCGTTGGCAGCAGTGTTGGGGAGGGAAGTCTCGGTTCTGGGCCCTTGGAGCGGAGAGCGGTGGTGGGAGGGGTTGGGTGGTTCTTTTTTTGTGTGGTGCTTCTTGCTGGCCAAGGGCTCCTCCCGCCCCGTTTCCTGGTCTCCCCCTTCATCGCCAGCCCCTCCCCTCCCTGCTCATCAAACCCTGCAGTCCCCAGAACAATGGAGTGGAGTGAAGCTCGGCCCGCCCTACGCTGTGTTAATCTCGGCTTCCGGGCCTCTTCCTTCCGGGGATCCATGGGCGGGGCTCAGTGGAACTGTCCCAACCCCTCGGCCAGCGGGCCCAGATCTGCTGGGCTGGGAATCTGGGTGAAGTGGGATAGGATCTCTTCGTTTACAGCCTAAGATCCTTGGGGACAGGAGGTGACCAACTCTGCACCTCTAGCATTCCCCTCACCCCAACCCTGTCGCTTCCATCTGATGTGTAGTCTGAGCCTCCTGCCCTGAGCGAGGCCAGTTGATGAACCCACACTGCACTGCTACTCTGAACCCCATGGGCCAGCAGCTGCCCTGCTTGAGTGCCTTAGAGATGAGACTCTGGGGGCTGGGGAGTGCTTAGCAGGCTCGTGGTCCTGGATTTCATCCTCACCACCAGAGGAAGAAAAAAAAAAAAAAAAAAAGAATCAAGAGTCCTCCCATCTGACCTTATAGAATCAGAATCCTCATTTGAACAGGATCCCCAGATGGAGCTAGTCACTAAAATGTAAGCCCTGCTTAAGACCTCTGAAATGAGAATGACAAAAGTGCCTCCACCTTTTGGGCTGATTGCGAAGATTGTTCTAGTTAATGCTCCCAGCAGCCCACACAGAGGTGGCAAGTACACATCATCCTTCCTGCTCTTCGTCCCACGGCTGCTGCTTTTGCAGCCCGCCATGCTGACTTACCTTAGGATGGCTTTGTGCCCACCTTACCTTTACCTCCTTTAGCAGTGGGCTGCCCTAGGCTGGGACTGTCCCAGAATAATGCCCAGTCTGGACTTCCCTGCTCTCAAAGCTCTCAGAAGGCCTGACACCCCTATTTTGCAGAGCAGGCTTGGAAAGATTCTGGCTTTGCCTAAGAATGAGGCATTGGACCTGGACTGAGGTTCTTGTCCCTTTTTTCTGCCTCCATTTTCCTGCCTTCAAGAAGGATCTGGAACAACCAGAAGGGAGTCTTGTGAAGCGAACTCCCTCTCACTCAAGTGTAAATGACAGTGCTGTTAGGCTCCTGCCCCACTTCCTGGACCAGGGACCTGGCTACTTGGCTCTGAGACCCCTCAACATGCCTGTGGTTGGTGGGTGTTCAGGCCAGGAGGGGCTACAAAGGCAGGTGGTGAATGGGGTGCTGTATCATGGGGTCCTCAATCCCCAGATGTGTTACAGGTGGGAGGTTTGGGAAGCCTAGGCTCCTGGGACTACGAGGAGTTACTGCAGGCCTGTGCAAAGTTCCCAGGCAATTTTAGGCTGAGGCCTCCTCCCAGGGCCCTCAGGATGAAGGACTGCCTAACACACCCCTCCCTGGGGACCTGCTGGCTAGGAGTGACTTCCCCCAGGCCTTTGACTGTGTCTCATGGTGGGTGCATGGCCCCTCCACATGGGCTTCTAGAGGGTAGATGTATACCTTAATGGCATAGGAGGCCAGGCATGGTTTCCCTGGCTGATAATCACAGACCTGTGTATGCAGTGCATGTGTGTGGATAGCAACGGGTAGAGACCCCAACATGTACATACCCATACCACATGTGCAGATAACTTAGGATCGTGTGCACAGAGCCCTCCCATGCACACATGTATGTACATATGGCCCAGCAGCTGTGGCTCCCATTGAATTAGGTCTGAGTTGTTGCAGGCAGAGCCTCACTCTGGGTCTGGCCTGGAGCCCCCTGTGAACCTGAGCTCCACATTCCCCTGCCCCTCACCCTGGGAGCTGAGGGATGTGAAGGCTGGGCTCAGAAGTGGACCCTGCCAACTCCAGGCCATTCTTCTGGCAGTGTAGTTGGCAGCAGAAGCCAGAGCCATGGGATGCTCCCATCCTTGTGATGTTAGGGCCTAGGGCCACCTCCTGTGTGGCAGCACTGCTGGACTCTGACCCTGTTACCCCACAGAGCAGTTCACACCTCTCCCTCCATGCTGACCTCCAGCAGGTGGGCTGGCCCCAGGCCAGACTTGCTCTGGCTGTCTCCACCCAGATGGCCTCCCAGAGCCATCTGGATGGTGGCAAGGGGGTGGCACTCTACCCCACCCTGAACACTGCACTCCCTTGCCTCAGTTTCTTTCACTGTCACGAGTGAGTCTTCATGGGTGTGAGGCTAACACTGGGCACATCCACGCACGCAGCATATGTGGCAGGGTTGGGGCATGTACTGGAGAGGGCACATTCTGAGTGGAGTAGAGCTCCGTCCTTCTGGTCCCACAGGCCACTCTCCACCAACGTCCATGGTGCCTTCCACTGTCACGCTGGGGGGTTGTGTATATTTGGGGAGTGAGTGGTATGGGCACAAAGAGAAGGGATTTCCACGGCAGGCCTGTTTCATTACCTGGGATGAAGTGGACACCACCAAGGGTGTGAAACAGGAGGACACTGGACATGTGGCATAATCTTGTAATTCCAGCCCTTGGGAGGCTGGGGCAGGAGGATCACCAGCTGGAGGCCAAACTGTGTTACACAGTAAGATTTTTTTCTCAGTACCCCCGCCCCTCAAAAAAGAGAAGACACAAAATGACAAGGATGATAATGAAGCTGTGATGCAGTGATCCACCTCATTTCCTGCCTCTCTCTGGTTCCTCCTTCCTGAGCTCAGGCCTTGCAGCCTCAGAGCCTCGATACAGGCTGTCTTTCATTCCAGAAGCTGCCTCCCTTCACTGCTGGGTCCTTTTCAACCTGATCTGGGGATTGATCCCAGGGCCTTGTGTGCAGTAGATAAGTGTTTTACTCCTGAGCTACACCCTAGCTCTTATTAAATTCTGAAAACCAAGTCTTGTTAATTTTGCCCAGACTGACCTCAGTTTTTAAGTCCCTTGCCACATCACCCTGCAGAGCTGAGATTGCAGGTGTGAGCTGCTGAGCCCAGGTTGACAAACGGGTAATTCTTCTTGTTCAGTCCCAGCTTGCACCCTCATGCCCATAGCACCCCAACCTCACTATATATATTTTTACTTTTATGAGTACACATTTGCCGTGCCTAATGTGCACAGTTGGTACATAAAACTTTTCTTTTTTTCCCTTCACTTTACTCCCTTTTTATGTTTTCCAGCATCAGATTCATTTATAAGACCTTATAAAGTTAATTATACATAGTTTTTTTTTTTTCAGGTTTAAATCATTTTATATGTAAGGACTGATTATACAGCATGTATGAAGGTGAACTAATTTACAGTGTAATTTGTTGATGTAAGTTGCCTTCAAAATACATTGTAGCTAAAATCTGGGCATGGTGGCTCATGCCTATAATCCCAGCACTCAGGAGGCTGAGGCAGGAGGATCGTTGTGAGTTTGAGACCAGCCTGGGCTATAAAGTGAGCTCAACTGCATAGGAAGACCTTGTCTCAAAAAGAAAGGAAAAAGAAAGAAACACAATATATTGTAGCTAAGATGTGTGTAAGCTTTACGTGCATTTTGGGAGAAATCACACAAAAATAGATGCTTTTTCAATAAACTTGGCCAGCTGCACATCTCTTTTGGTCAGTCCTCCACAGTCATGGGATGTGAGTGTTAGCTGGACCTTGTACACATTGAACCATTCGGGGTGATGATTTATCTTCTCTGCTTGCAAGGCAACTCGGGACATAAAGCCAAAGGCCTGATTAAAATTTTTGAAGGAAAATTCTTTGTAGATGGCATTTCTCTCACTTAATTCTGAGCATCCTACATTTTTAAGGTCAAGTAGAATCTGGTTCCTCTCCTCTGCAATCAACAGCTGTGAATCTGAAGGCTGGGTCGCCAGGCTCCGGCTCCCGCCCCGAAGTGCAGCCAGCGAGCGCACCCTCGTCCTGCGCGCCCCGAGGGCCGCTGCCATCTATACATACAGATTGAAGACCAGAGTAACAGGCTAAAGACAACACCAACCCTGTTGCTTTGTATCCCCTCCTCCCCGTGAGCAAGCCTTTTGGCACTTGGTGACACGTTGCTGATGCATTTGTTTACCCATTCTGTGCTTCCAGGCTCAGCCTTGCGTCTCCAGCACCATGAGCAGGGCCTGGTACTGGAACGTGTATGTGTTGGGTGATTATGATGACAGTTGCAACAGAGCTGACAAGTAATGCCAGTTTTGGACAGATCATGTGCCTAGTGGTTGGCATGTGTTATTTCCTTTCAACTTCATGACGGTGGTGTGATGTTGGGGGTTTTACAGTTCCTGTTTACCAGATGCAGCAACCAAGGTCCAGAAAGGTTAAGTAACTTGCTCAAGATTACATAGCTGGGGGGGGGGGTAGAATTTCAAGTCAGATGTGTGATTGCTCCAGGAGAAGGGAGGAGAGGAGATTGGTTAGAAAGGCCAAGGGCAGCCCTCTACTTCACTTTGCTGTTACTGGGTCATTGAGGTATACCACCTACTGTCCTGGGAGGCCACGGTGGGTTTCTGCCCCCCTCCTTTCTAGGTCAGACTCCTTCGCAGAACTTTGGGCATGAGAACATTCCAGGACTCTATGACCTGTACTTCTGGGTCGTGCTGTGCCCGGAGCATCAGCCCAGTGGCAGGGCCTTTTGGAGGCTCCCTGGACTTGGGGTCTTGCCTGGCTGCAACTGCAGCTGAGAGGAGGGTGAGGAAGTAGCTGTGTCACCTCCTCCAGAGGGAGTGGGCTGCCCTTTCCCCAGGGCTGGCAGACACAGTCTGGTTTGGGGGATTTGGGTGGCGTGCAGTGGGGGGTAGAGCAGGGGACACCAGTGGGTGGGATGGAGGCTTACTGCAAACGAAGGTGGACCGGGCTCCTGGTAGCTACAGAGACCCCTTTCTCTCAAAAATGTCTGGAAACGAAGTTTCAGGCGAGCACCAGGAGTGTTTAAAAGATCCTTTGTCTTCCCTTCTCCTCCTTCTCTTCCTTTTCCCTATCTGTGCCTTTCATACTGGGATTTGAACCCAGGACCTTCAGATTGAGCTACACTTACAGGCTTTTTAAATTTTTATTTTGAGACAGTCTTGCAAAGTAGCTGCATTGCTAGGGGCTGGGCTTGAACTTCTGATCTTCCTCAGTCCTGAGTGGATTACAGGAGTTCACCACCACACCCAGCCGAGTTCATATTTTCAATCTGAAAGCCTGGGGAGCCACATCCAGACTGTTCAGGGAGGCCTTGCACCCATCTGGCTGGTGAACTTGAGGGCGTCCAATCCCGTTCCCTGACCCAACCTGCAGTGAAGATTTCTGGTCCCGTGTCCTGGCAGGCTCTGCACGTTGCCCTTCTGGTGTCCCCTTCAGTGCAAAAGCACTCAGTCACCAACGGCTTCTGATACCTGGGCTGCTGCTCCATTCTCCTGACCCTAAGCCCAGGCAGCTGGCACTTTCTTGGGCACAGCTGTCAGGTCCTGCTCTGGATGACACGCTAACTTGGTTTTAGGCAGAGGCTGTGGCATCCTCCCCAATCTGGCCCCACACTGTGTTCGGAGGAACGTCCTGTTGGGTCTGGCCAGATTCTGATTGATGCTAGAGGTCAAGGCCTTAGGGGTTATGGAGAGAATTTAGTTTCACAGAAGAGCTGGGGTGACAGCTGGTGGAAAGGTTCTGTGAAAGAGCACCTGGCAGCCCACCAAGCGCCCCTTCCCCGTGGGTCTCCAGCTCACCACCAGGCCGCCTCTGCGTGGTTATGGGCTGTGACACCCCCTCGGCATCCACACTGGGTCCTAAAGTTTCCTGAAGTCATCCTGAGTTTGTCTATCTGTGCTGGGGACATGGAAGGACTAATGCCTACCTTGTTGTAGGGCTGACCTGGCATTTTTTTGCAGACCTGTTGAGCCTGAGTGGACATCTGATTCAGTGGCGTGTGGCTGTAGACCAGGTGACCTCATCCCTGCCAGCCTCTGTCTGGCTGAGGGAGAGACAGGAGTGTCAGATATGGGGAGGGGCCTTCTCCATCCCATGTGACCCCTGAAAGCCCCCTCTCTCTCTAGGTCAGCAATGTCATCTGAGCCTCCCCCACCAGCGCCTGCACAGCCCCCCACTCATCAGCCTTTGGGGGGGCTGCTGGAAACCCCTCGGGACAGAGAGCGTTCCCCATCCCCGCTGAGGGACAACGTGGTCCCAAGCCCCCTGCCCACTCGCCGGACAAGGACATTTTCCGCGTGAGTTGGTTGTCTGCGGGCACATCCTCAGATGGGCCTCCTGCCTCCAGCCAGATCTACCATACTAACCTCTGTATGCTCTGGGGAGTCAGGCAGCGGGCAATGCCTGGGCTGAATGTTGTGCTCCCTGGAGAGTGGGTGGCTATTGTGGAGTCCCCTCATACCTTGCTCTCTCTGTCAGGACGGTACGGGCTTCCCAGGGCCCTGTCTACAAAGGAGTCTGCAAGTGCTTCTGCCGGTCCAAAGGCCACGGCTTCATCACCCCAGCTGATGGTGGCCCTGATATCTTCCTGCACATCTCAGAGTGAGTCCCTCCTGGGCCAGGCAGGCACTGCCTCACTGCATGCATGTGGGGAGTGCTGTGTTGGGATACATGTGAGATTAGGGAGGACATTCGCCATGTGAATATGACTGTGTGTGTGTGGATAGTGGTGTCTGGAAGAGGCGGTGGTAGTGTGTGTGTGTGTGTGTGTGTGTGTGTGTGTGTGTGTGTGTGTAGGAGTGTATGCCATCCTGGGTGCCTGAGGTTCAAGCCAAGCCTGTGGACATGGAGTGGCAGAACTGTCCCCTTTGAACAAGGGGTTGTGTGTGTCTGCTGGATGGGAAGGAGGTATCTTTGAGTTGGGGGTGCACTTTGGCCTGGGAGCTAGTTTCCTGCCCTCATCCAGGGGAGGTGGCCTGTGGGGCTGTAGGCTGGCAGCCCCTTTGCTCCAGGAAGGAAGTTTGGGGTGGACACTTTCTCCAGCAGCTCATGCACTGACGTCTTTCCTTCCTGAGTGTCAGGAACCCTCCCCAACCAGGCCCAGGATGGGGTCCACAGATCCTGGGGGCTAGAAGGTGCCCAATGTCTTACCTTTGGTCTCCTGGGCAGCCATCTGATACATACTGACTGTTAATGGCACCCCACACCAGCACCCCTTTTGGTCTAAGCACCCTTCCTTTTTTTTTAAGTGATAGAGGTTGAGCCTAAGACCTTTGCACATGCTAGGCGAGCACTGTACCACCGAGCTTCACGCCCAGCCCTTATCCCCCACCTTTCATTTCAGGCAGTGACAGTCAGATTCTTACCCTGCACAGCAGACCTGGCAAACATGGAAGTCACATTGTAAAAACGTGAAGCCTGCTGGGCATGGTGGCAACGCCTGTAATCCTAGCTACTTGGGAGGCCATACTCGTCTGCTTAGTGAGACTATTTCAAAATAAAAAGGCTGGGGATGTAGCTCAGTGGTAGAGTGCTGCGCCATCCCTAAGATCCTGTTGCAGAGCCTCTGTGCCAAGCCCCTCCCCCACACTGTTGCACAGCTGTTGTTTGAAAGGCCCCTTATACAGTGCAGCCTTGAGAAAGACGCTCATGTCTTACACCTTCTGTATGTATGAACACATGCATAGATGTGTAAATGTATTTCCTTACTGCCTCCTCCAGAAAGACTGGTGTTGGTGGACAGACATAGGCAATGTGTTGTAAGGAAAAATGAGTTAGTAAGGAAAATGTAGTGAGTCAGTCTGGTTCACTGTGAGGACTAAGCAGCAAGTTTAATTCCTGAGCTTCCTGGTGGCCACACTGAAGAGGGAAACACTGATTAAGATGAACCAGTTCTGGGGAGCCAAGGGAATTATTTTTCCTTGGACTCTGACCAAGAGGCATCAAGGTACCAGTCTCCCTGAGATGGTGACTCCTATCACCTGGAAAGTAAGGAGTCTTCTTGGGGATGGTCACAGGGAGAGGACCCCTCTTACAACTAGCTTGAAGGATAACAGAGACTTTTCTTGAAAGCTGCAAAGAAGATCTGGGAATGTAAGATCAAAGGCTGTGCCCATTTCCTGGGACCAGGGCCCGTGTGGCAAGAGGCCTTGCTGGGTGGCTACTCTTGACACCAGTCCGGTGCTGCCCTCACCTTTCTGTGACCCAGATGGCCATCCCAGCCTCCATAGTTAGTGTTGCAGTGTCGGTGTCCACAGGTGCCTGCACTGTCTCAGCTCTAGCATCTGAGCCCCTGGGAAGAGGCCAAGGAGGTCAGGGCTGCATGGCCAGGACCCTGAGGCTGGAGCCAGTGGTGGTGCCTTCTGAAGGGAGGGCAGGAGTTCTTAGAGTGGGGTTCTGGGTGGTCAGTCAGATGGGCACCCACTGTGGCAGCCCTCTTCCCAGCAGGGTATTGGTGCTGGGGTCAGGCTTTTCTTGCTGTGAGCACTGACTCTTTCCTTCCTTTCTGCCTAGTGTGGAAGGGGAGTATGTCCCTGTGGAAGGCGACGAGGTCACCTATAAGATGTGCTCCATCCCACCCAAGAATGAGAAGCTGCAGGCTGTGGAAGTAGTCATAACCCACCTGGCACCAGGCACCAAACATGAGACCTGGTCCGGGCATGTCGTCAGCTCCTAGGAGGCCCGGGAGCACTTCTCCTCCTGGGCTTGTGGGAGACTTGGTGGGAGGAGGAGATGGGGCCACAATGAAGACGACGTTTTCCTGCACAAGATGGGGCTTCAAGGGTGGGACATGGGTCCCTTTCAAATATCCCCTGGAGGAAGGGGACCCAAGGGCCGGCATGGGGTGCTCTCGGCCACCAGCACAGCCTCCACCATCATCTCAACAAGCTCTTGCCATCTGAAAAGCATTAAACGCATTTGAAAAGGAGAGGCACTGCTAATGGCTGAGTGGAGAGGTTCAGCCCCAGCCCAGTGGGTGGGATGGAGGTGGTTTTTCCTCCACTGCCCAGAGCCCCTCATCTCCCTTACTTTGAGTTAAGAGTCAAAAATCCCCAGATCTGTGTGGTTCAGTGGGTGACTTCCCCCAAGGTGAATCCCTCCTAGTGCTCCCTGTCTTTGCTGGGGCCAAGGCAGAGCAGTTTGCTAGTTCTCTGTGTGGCTGGTTAAAGGGGATCTCGCTTCCGGGGATGGCAGACTTTTGGACTTTGCTTTTTGTCCCTTGCAGCAGGGCACCACCACCACCACCATCACCTGTCTGGGAGAGTTCCTCTAGGACAGTGACAGCGAATCTTAGAGCTTTTAGGGATACAAACAGCTTGCTGTGGCCCGTGTGCCATAGGTTCACCACCACTGCTGTAGGAGCTCCTGCCAGGGCCTGCAGTGCACTGGGCTGAACTTGGGCTTTTTCTCGTCTCCTAGTTGAGTGGTCTCAGCTCTGCAGCCACTGAAACTTTATCATTAATGTGGGGCTGGGTGAGAAGAGGCCGTGGAGAGTGGGGAGTTTTAGAGAAAAATTTGCTGATGTCATCCAGAAAAGAGTAAGTAGCTTCTTGATCCCCAGGTAAAGTTAAAAATTGGAGAAATACACTTGTGGTAGTGGTGGTTTTCAAAACCAGTGTTAAGAATTGCTTATGGATTTTTTGTTGTTTTTTAATAAAGCTTGTTCTCCCAGAGCTAGCTGATAGGCCATTAGGATTTCTTTTGTAGTGGTTTGGTTTGACTTGAGGTGTGACCTGAAATTAGAAGTAGCTGGGTGATATGTTTTGAAGTATGTGGCCTAAACCAGTTAAGGATCAACTTGTCAGTGCAGGGGTCGAGCAGTGAAGTGGCTCTTGGGCCATGAGGATGGGAGGGTCATTTTGATGCAGCAGCACAGACAGCCTTATCAAGTGTCTTAACTTTGGGTGTGTTTTGCCTGCCTGTTAAGGCTTTGAAAGGGGATGGAAGGCAAATGACTAGTGAAACTTTTAAAATAAGCGTGTTGGTTGGGCGTGTGCATAAATTGCTCGTGTTCTTTGTTGCCTTACAGTGCCCCTTGCAGGATACTTCCCTCCTGCTGTGCCCTCTGCAGGGTCTTTTTTTCTGCTGGGTCAAAGGTGGCCTCGGATGGCTCCCCAGTGGCATCTCTTCAGGGGCCTGTTGGGCAAAGACCACTTCTAAGCCACTTCTGCTAAGTGGACTGCAGGCTCACTGAGCCTGAGACTCTCCAGTTGTCTCTTCTCCCCAGGTGTCTATGGCTTTGTCCCTGCCTTGGCATCTGGTCACTGTGGTCTAGGGTGGCTCCTACACTAGTGCCCCAGCAGGCTGTGCCCCATGGCTTGAGAGTTGCATTCTGCTGTCAGTGACCTTTGGATTTTTTTCATTTGGCAGAGTCCTTTGTCAGCAGCTTTCTGGGTGACCACACTTTTTCAATCCATGAGCATTCTAGAACTGCAGGATGTGGGAGCTGAAAGAGACAGCCCACTGCTTTCACTGGGAGCCTCAATTTATGGATGGGAATGGGCACAGGATGCTGGGGGATGGATCTGGGAATAGAAAACAGGATTCCCACATTTAGATCTTGTTTCCCATCAGCCTTTTCAATAAAGTTTGTTTTGTGTAAGGTTTTGTGTGTGTTACCTTGGAGGCTGGCTTGCCAAGAGCTTTGTTTGTGGGCCAGCAGGTTAGGGGACCACACCCCGCCCCCAGTTGAGGTGACACCTGCTTTGCAGTTTTACGTTTGAAGAAAGTGAATCATCCCTGTTTCTCTAGCCATCATTCTTCAGTGTCGGAAGGCTGAGCGGTGAGATGCGGCTCTGGCCGTGGTGAATGGGATAAAGGCTCTGTGGTGGTCACGATGCATGAATGTGAGGGTCCTACCATCAGCCTGTGGTGAGAAGGGAAGGATCTTCAGGTGCACACGGTGCCCAGACCCTGGGTGTTCATGCCTCAGTTGTCTTAACAGGCTCGAGGATCTTCAAATGCGGAAGGGGGGCTGGGAATGGGAGCAAGCCTGTCTGTCCCCTCAAGCCCACCAGTTACGAGGGAAAGTTAGAATGGTGATTCTCAGAGGGTCACAGTAGGACTGTCCGTCCCATCATATGCTCTCAGGAAAGGAATATCGGTCTGCTAGCAGGGAGGGGATCAAAGGCAGCCAGAACCAGATGGAGCCATGTGACAGTGCAGTGCACAGGGCCCTGGAGTGGGGAGGGGTGACAGCACTCCCTGCTCTGGGAGGGACTTTGTGCCTGGCAGGAAGTTTTGCCCCAGCCAGTGTTTCCCAAGGGAAAGGGACAGAGATTTTTGGTAATGTGGGATATCTTCTGTGTTAGAAATTAAACCAGAACACCAAAGCTGTGTGGGGAGGGGCCAGCTCTTAATATATAGGAACTGATGTACCAAGTGAGTGTGACAGGGAGGGAGGGCTGCGGGAACTAGGGGTGCAGGCGGGCAGACAGGTAGCCAGCCTGGGGTGAAGGGTGTTCTAGAACTTACTCTGGAGTGCAGTGAGGTGGGTTGCCTTTCATTGCGTTAAGAAGCACCTAGCCTTGGTGGGGCCAAGATGGAGTTTGGGAGTGGGAGGAGGAGGAGGAAACAACCCTCAGGGAAGTGAGGAAGTGAGTCAGGGCTGTGTGTGCCCGACTGCACTGGATTTCACCACTGTCTGCCCAGCTTGGTTTCCGTCACTCCTGCCAGCAGCTGGAGACGTCACAGTAGCAGGTCAGTCCCTGGACATCAGCTGAGTAGGGTCTGTGCCTTCTCCCACCCTCCAGTGTTCAGCCCAGGCTTTTCTCTTGAGGCTGCTAAAGCCCTGGGTGACCCTGAGTCTAGGTCAGTTTCAGTGGTGCCAGCCAAGGGTGACTTTCTCTGAACAGGCTCAGGCTGGCCTGGGTACAACCTCTGTGGTTCCTCCCCTTGCTCAACATGTACTGTATTTAAATTTGTGATGTCTTTATCCTGCCGAAGGAATGACTGTACCACCACACAGGGCTCCTGGAGGCTCTGTGAGTTTCTAATCTCGAACACATGCTGATGGGAGTGCTTTAGTGAGATCATGCCCTTCAGAGAACTGTTGCACCTTAGTGAGCAAACAGGCTGAAGGAGTGGGCCTGCTGCCTCACAGCAGGTGGCCTTAGATCTGGGCAGCCATTCTCGGCTTCTGTACAGATGTGACCCTCAGCTCCACAGGTGCCAGCATGCATTGTGCTCACATGGCTTGGCCAGCACCAGGAGGCCTTGCAGGAAGCCCCTGGGAGCATGGGACTGGGACATGAAGACTAGAGGGTCAGGAAGTAGGGCAGAGCCCGAAGTCCAGCCCAAGTGAAAAGGTGGAGGCCAAGAAAATTGTGATGGGCTGCCCCCACGTACAAGGAACTAGGGGGCTGTGAACCTGATCTTGGGGTGGGGGGGTCCTCCGCTGCAAAGACACAGTGGAGGAGGGTGTATCTGGGACGTGGAAAGCCACATACAACACCCGTCAGAAACACCGGAGAGAGCAGCTCTCAGCATTGGGTGGTTTCCTTCCAGAGTGAGAAGATAGAACTGCTGCTACTTTCATCGCCCACTTGACAGAGGGAAAGTCATCAGAAGGAGCAATCAAAGTTGCTTTAATGTACCGGACTTCATCTGTTACAGTACCATTTGCAAAACTCAACCAGCATACGAGATAAAGGCCACAGAGTGGCCAGCTCTAGGAAATCCCAAGACCCACAAGAGGGTGAGGGGGCAGGTGTGGGTTACTTCAGGCTTATGCCTCATTGATGCTGAACTCCTCATTGAGGTTGAACAGCTGAGTGGCAGGGGCTGGCAAGCTCATCTGTGGGGAGTACCTGGTGGTCCCTAAGCCCCAGCACCAACCTGTTGGAGGGGTTGTGAGTGCCATTGTTTTTAGTTACTGCAGTGTCCCATGAACCGTTCTCAGGAATCTCCCAGCCAGGTCCCTGAAAAGGACAGGGGGGAGGTAGAGGGCAGTGGGAGCTCTCACTCCTGAAATCCAGGTCTGGACTAGCACCTGGACAGTGCGGACAGCCCAGTGTGCAGGTGCTGCTCTTAAACCATTGCCTCAGTGCTCCTGGTGACTCCTACCCTCCCATCCAGCTTCCGTGGGAAAGGGTGATGGGTCTTGTGTCCTCCAGGATTGGTGGCTGGCTATAGGAAAGAAACCAGGCTGTTCACTGTGGTGACTGTAGAGCTGCCCTGACTTCCAGGGCAGCCAAGGTGCAACTCCATAGGGTCAGTTGTCACTTGGTCAGCCACCTGTCAGGCAGGCCAACCTGAGGTCTATGGCTCACAAACAGGGAAACACTACCCAGTCATTTGGCCTAATACCACCCATGCTCATGATCCCAGCCTCCATTCAGACTTGGGCTGGGGGTGGAATAGCGTTTAATACCGGGAGCAAGTGACTGAGGATGGCGGCTCTTCTTTGTCATCAGATTCCCTTTTGGTGCTGACAACACAGAGAGCTGGACATTAACCACTGTTAAATTTTCACAAGACTCACAGAGAGGCCCAGGCACATCTGTTCTGTATTGTTCTGGAATGACTGGGCAGTTTCAAAAAAGTCACGTGTAATCCCAGTGCAGATATCAGGCAGAACTCAGACTGGGGGCTACAGGACAAAGTCTTCTTGCTACTCCTGAAACATTTGTTTTGCTTTTTTGAGGCAGGCTCTCACTACATAGTTCAGGGTGGCCTTGAGCTCACTTTGTAGCTGAGGCTCATCTCCAACTTACAGTTTCTGCCTCGGCCTCAAGTGTGCTGGGATCATACACGTGCACCACACCTGCACTGATTTGTCTTTTTTCTTTTGAACCTAGAGCCTCTTGCATCATAGATGGGTACTCCTCCAGCCCAGGCATTCTTGACAAGGCTTTTCTTCCTTCTGGATGCTTTGGCAATGGAGGTAGAAGGCCAGGCCGCTGGTGGTGGTGGTGGTGGGGTGATTCCCTGTCTGAGAGGCTGGCGTCCAGACTGTGCGTGACTGGACAGTGCAGAGTCAGCTTGGGGGTAGAGGTGCCTGTAGTGTGCATGTATGTCAGGGGCTCTGGCTCTGCCCCAGTGACCTTTCAGGCTTGCTGGCCAGGACCCTTCCTCTTCTGTATTAAGCGAAGAGCTCTTCACAAATCCTGCGTGTGTCCTCGGGTGCTGTCACGGTGTAGCCCACAGTTCGAGGATCTGTGAAGATCTCATAGTCATTGCCACCCTACAGAGACACAAAGCACAAATGTAGAAGCTCCACTCTGCTCTGGGCTAGGCCTGCTGAGGCCCAGGAACTTGAGGTCTTCCAGGGCAGGGAGAATTTCTTCAGGTGCCTGTTTCCAGGGCGGGGCGGAGGGGGGCACCAATGAGTGCAGCTATTCTTGGGAAAGCACTTTAACCTCCTCTTGAACTGCAGTTAAACTGGGAACATGTAATTATGCTAATGAAAGAAATCATGCTCTCATGAAGATGTCTAAGAATTATTTTTCTATAAAAAAACAAGCACAGGGAGTGACAGAACTTTCAAAGCCAGTAATTTTTTTTAGCCACACCCAAACCTCTCAAGTCATGAGGAGCACCGGTGGGCCGAGCACTGGGACAAGGCTGCAGCCACAGGCACTGAGACGTGCTAGTGTGACAGAGTTCAATTTACCTGGGTTTGATTAAGTTTAAAAATGGCCCCACCTGGCTAGTGTCTGGGCTGCTGGGTGAGTTGGAATGGGTGGGGTGGGCTGGGCTGCACCCTGGTCCAACAGTGACTAGGGGTGCAGCTGTGGGCAGTGCACACCTCTGGAGGGAGATGATGGTTCACCCTTACACTTTTGGCACTGTGTTGATGTCAGTAAGTGCACCAGGCAGGGCCCTGGAAGTGATCAGAGCACCTGCTCCACAGCTTTCTAAGCATTTGCAGCCACTGTGTCACCTTGAGTGTTTCTAGGGGCTCAGGAAGGGATGATTTATCTCCTGGGAAACATAAGACCCTGAAGCCTCTAAAAGGCTACTTTTGCTTCTTGAGACAGGGTTCTGCTCTGTAATTCAGGCTGGCCTTGAACTCACAGCCATCCTTCTGCTTCAGCCTCCCAAATGGCAATTACAGGCCTGCACCACTACACCCAGATAAAAAGGCTGTCTGCAAAGGCCATGCCTAGGTGTCTGGTTAGACCTGAGTATGCTGGGGTTGGTAGGTGTCCAGGAACTAAGCTGAGTGCCCCTGACCCAGCTGCACAGGCTACAGGGTCTCAGAGCAGGCTGTTGCTGCTCCAATCCCAAGCCATGCAAGAAAGCCTCTGCTTTTCTTGTCATGGCATTTCCCAAACTTTCCTCGTGAAACTGAATATGTAATTCAACTCTAAAGCTAGAAAAAACTATTAATTTATGATGCAATTAAAGAGCATAGGACAAGTGAACTTTTTTCATAAAGCTCAAAACATGAGGCCAAAAGGGAGAAAGCTATAATTATTTGGAGAACCTCACATCCGTTTAAAGGATGAACTGGCACTGAAAATTACCAGTCATCCTGTTTATAAGAACAAACCACCCCTCAAGAGCCTCCCCTTAAGACTTCAGAGGGGTGCATTCAGGGACCGGGAGCACTGGGTGGGGCCAGAAATGTGGGGTGAGCTTCTGTATAGTCAGGGGCTTTGGGTTGTTGATATGGTCCTGAGTTTTGTGGCATGTCTCCCATATATGTGAAACCAGGTCTATGGGAATAAAATCACATTTCTCTTAGGAACAGCATGATGAGTAAAAATCAGAGAGGCTAATAAAGGCAAGGCAAAATATGGATGCTTCAGCACCAAGCATCTGTCCAGGACACACTCCCTCCATGTCCCACCCTGACTTTGGAGGAAGGAGTACCCAGGAATTAACCAACCTTTGGGGAGCAGCACTACCCACTAGGTGTGGATTCAGAAGCTGGAGCCAGACTGGTGCACACAACAGGCATCAGGGCTGCCTGGGGACCAGGAAGACTGGCCACAAACTTAACAGAGGTTTAAAGCTTTGTGGTCAAGGGAGAGGATGGGAAGAGAGGGGGGTCAGGAGCCTATTGAGGGCTTCTGAGCAGACCTGAAAGAAGGAGAGGATGGCCCCCAACGGTCAGCCAAAGCCAAGAGTGAACCCCAGCAGACACTGAAGAGGGAGGAAGCAGGTGGGTTTCAGACGACCACAGAGACCTCAGTAAAGGACTCGGGATTTTACAGGAAGTGATGCAACAAAACTGGACTGCATGACACAGATCTCTCTGGAGAACTGAAGGAGCTGAGGCCCCAACGGTAGGATCTGAGAGAGTAGTCACAAAGCTCCTGCAGCGAGTCATGGGGAGAGGGAGAGAGCCATTACCTGGGAAGAGAAGGTTGTACACTGGCTATGACAGTTGCCATGAGAAAATGTCACTATAGTAGAAGACAACAGGGACACCTCTCCTTGAATGCAGAACTGCTTCAGCATCAGTTAAATGTGTCTTATTTCCACACACTGACAGGTACAGAGCGGGCTATGCTGTTTCCTTCTATCTTCAATAGGCTCTAAGCAATGCATAGGTTAGCTGAGGTACTGCTAAGTAACTCTTAAGACCAGCTGACAATTTCCTGTCTCCTCACATTGTATTCTCTGTAAAATGGTTAAACACAGTGGAATGGTGGAGCCAGATAGCTCCAGTAATGTCAACTGGGTATGAGCCTCAAAATAAGAGGTTATGACTTCTCAGGGTATGAAAGTTTACGGATCAGAAACTGAAGCAGCAGCCTCCTAAATTCATTCATATGCTATCCCCACTGAGTTATGCAGATGGTCCTCCTGTGTGTCTTTCTCCCTGCATATTGCAGAAGTGCTTGCTTTTCGCCCGGCTAGCTCAGCCCACCTTGCTGATGTAATTCCCGCCATCCTCACTGTCACTCATCCTTAAACCACTCCCTTCTTACAAGATAATAAAAATTCTGGGAAAGGCCTTGCATCAAGACCTTTATCTACATAGCCTCATGTGCACTGGGTTTAGGACCCCTTGGCTGTCCATAATGTTGACTTTGTCTGGGCATCTTTACTTTCACTGTGGGTTGCACTGGAAGTGGGAGATTGGAATTGACTCACTGACATTCCAATGTTTCTATGGGATTACAGATATAATTTTCTGGATTGTGAGGTGGACAGGAAAAGGGATTACAATATACAGTATTTGGATTACAATAGTCATGTGGGCACAGATGTTGCCCAACAGACGCCTACCTTAACACAAGTCTCCACAAGTGACAGGGCACAGGAGGCAACAATGGAACGTGAGGGTGGGCTTCTACACCCATGAGACTCGCAGTCAATTTAAAAAGCTGGCTGGCTTAGTCAAAAGGAAAACAAGAGCCCCCACCATGCTGGGTGGGTAACATGGGGTCCCTCCTCAGTTGTCCTTGCTATGTGAGGGCCACCTGCTTCCCAAACACCGACAAGCTCAGGCCTTCCTACCTCCCCAGCTGAGGGACAGCATGCAGAACTCCTTCCAGGGCTATTCGGAGCCTTACAAACTTGCATAGGTTTGTGGTCAGCAGAAGTAGGGCCAAGCCCTGAGCTGGTGACAGGACTGCCCTCTAGAGTAAGGTGTCAGGGAACTGGAAATTTCAAATGCTGGATTGGCATATGCACCCAAGGTTCCTGGATTCCAGCAGTGAAAGTGCACTCACCTGCCAGCTCTAAGAACAAAACCCTATTCCCAGAGAAGATCAAGAGGAGGGAAGAAGAGCAGGGTGAATGAACAGACATACTCCTGTGGCAGGTCCACAGCAGGGGCCTCTGCTCTGTGAACTCAGCCTTTTAATATTTAAATACCTAAAGGCCCAAGATCTGAGCAAACAGGAGGCAGTATTCACTGTTCAAACCTGTTCCCCACCCTGCCCTGCTCTGTAGGGGCTGTCACTGAACTAAACAGTGTAGTGGTGAACCTGGTCATCCTCTGGTGCAGGCCCAAGGAAGGAAGGGAGTATTGGGGCTACCCACAGCCTGTGCCCTGATCCCACTGAAAAGCCAGTGTGTACTTGCTATGCGAGCATCTACCTTCAGCATAAACAGATCCCTGTAGGTTATAGTCCAGACTCTTACTGTTCATGCAGTATTTTGGCTCTATGATAAATTTATCCAGATTCTAGGTATTATAGGTGCAGAGGCCAACAGACAAGGGCTAGTCCCAGAAGTGCCTAGAACAGCTGCTTTCCCTGGTTATAGAAAGTCACTAGGGCCTTTGTGGGAAGAACAGAGGTCCAGGGTCATATCTTGAGTGTGATTGGCAATTCCAAAGCACAACCAGCATGAGTCCCAGTGGCTTCAAAGCTGGAGGAAAGCAAGCATGGTGGTGATGGAACATGCCTGGCTATCAGGCTGGGGTCCTTGAGGGGAACCGTGGATCTGAGGACAGCTGGAAGCACAGCCTCTCATGCCATTTCATCTCATCTCTGCAGGCTGTGAGACCAAGCTGTGTGCCAGCTGTGGTATGGTACTATATCCAGGAGTTGCCAAGGAGAGCCACACTCCACAGACCCAGAGTCTGTGCCTCCCTGAATAGAAGAGCTGCAGTGCAGATGGAGGCAATCAACACTCACTCTTCAGAACTGTCCTCAGGAGCAACAGGCCACGGGCTGTGCTGCTCAGGAGGAAGGCAGGCTGGTGGGGACTCCAGAGAATGTCTGCAGAGTGTGGCACACACCCACACGGGAGCCAGGGAAACATCTCTGAGCTGATGTGAGACCCTCTAATCTGGTTCCACCTCCAGCCAGTTCAGGAAGCAGACAGGATCAGCCATTAGTCCAGGGGGCCCCTCTGGGAGTGACAGGCTTTCCAAAGCAAGCTGATCTACACCTGCCACCAGAATTCTGCCCCAGACACAAATGCTTGGCAGTAAAGAAAGATCTGTCCAGAGAACTTATTTCGTGCACTTCTTGGCTCTCCAAGGCTGGAAGAGCTGCAGATGGCAGGCACAGGGACTCAGTCCAGGATGGCAAAGACCAGCTCCATACAAAGGACAGCTAAGAACAGGACAGTGCTCACTAATTATTATCCTGTGTGTGTATGAAGATGCTCCCTAGTAATGGAGCCCATTTCCAGGAACACTTGGCAGGCCCCCAGCCTTTCAGACAATCTCAGCCATGGCGAGCCTTTTAGCAACCTTCCTACAATGTGAAGTGAAGCAGAGCTGGCTGTGAGTAGGTCCCCACTAAGAAAGATATGCCTGAACTAGCCTAGACTACCCCCTTCTTCTCCTAGGACCTTGCTCCATCCTCATACAGCTCCTTTAAAAGGAGAGCTGAGCACACCAAGGCTCTCAGTGAGACACTGGCTGGATGTGGTCACAGTGGTGGCAAATGCAGTCACATCTGGTGTTGGTGGTTTACAGCCCACTGGCCCTTGCCTTATACTGACAGATACCCTGGAACCCGTATTAAAGCAGACAGCTGTTTCCAGGAGAACGAGGGGAGAGTGAAATGCCATGCCATTTAATGGCAGTTAACACCTTGGTGTTGTCTCCCTTCTGCCCCTCTCTCTCATGTGGTACTTGCTGTAGAAGTTTTTTAAACTTTAAGACTCCCTTTATGACATATTGTTCTGCACTTTGCTTTGTTCACCTACAAAACCCCAGAGACGCATCCCCATCAGCTCTTCCCACCTCTCTGGCATCCCACCACAGACAGACCGCCCTGTCCATGGCCAGTCCTGTTCCAGCCCAAGGTCCTCTGCACGCTGTCCCACACACCTGAGGGTACTGAGCTGATCCCCCACCTGGCAGTACTGAAAGGCACACCAGCTGCTCACGTTTAAGAAACATCAGAATGCTTTCATGCTGTAACTGCCTTAAAGCCAGGCACTCTTTATATGCAGCACTGCACAAGCAGAGGCTCCCTGGCCTGAGAAGTCAGAGTGGCTGAGGGATGCAGATTTAGCTTGTGGCCCCAGAAAGCCATGCAGGGCAGGCAGGGTATCTCTCTGCTCTCACCATCCCTCACCCTGCTGGCCTGATCCAGGGCCCTTCTGCTGAATTTAGAGCCAAGTCTTAAGAACTACATGTACAGTCAGGTGTGGTGGCACGTGTCTGTAATCCCAGCACTTGGGAGGCTGAGGCAGGAGGACTGTTGCAAGTTCAAGACCAGCCTGGGCTACAAAGTGAGCTCAAGGCCAGCCTCAACTGCATAGTGAGACCCTGTCTCCAAAAGACAAAAAAATAAAAAATAAACAATCACAGGTGGTTGTGGCCATGCAGGGCCTCTGGGACTAACACATACTTGGAAAGGTGAGGGCCACAGCTTTGCTTCCTTACTCTGCTTTCTGGGCTGTGTGCCAGCTTCACAGACTTCAGTGCTTGGTAGGGAAACGGCTTTTTTTTTTTTTTTCCGTACTGGGGATCGAACTCATGACCTTGTACTTGCCAAGCAGGTGCTCGTACCAAGGAGCTGAATCTCCAGCCCAGGGAAATGGCTTTTTACAACACAAGCTCAGGTGCTGTGTTTCTGGAAGTTAGCAAAAAACCCATATATTTCAACATGAACCATAACAAGCTTTAGAAACATCAATCATCTACTATGAAAGACGAAAGTTAGCTGTTGGGACTGTTCTAAACCAAAACTTCCAAGAACCGTATGTGATTTCAAGGTGTAGATGGCAGAATTGCTCATCCCATTTCTAGGAAACCTGATGAAAGGCTGATGCAAGGGTGTATACTGATGAATTAGTTATAACAGTAAAAACCTCTTATTACCTCTTGTAAACAAGTTATGCTAAAATGAAAGAATTTCACACAATCATTAAAGATCTTGTTTTCGAGTCAGGTACAGCACATACCTGTGACCCAAAATACTTGGGGGCCCAACAGTAAGAGGGTAACAAGTTGAAATCTAGCCTGGGTGCCTTAACCACTTAATGATTTGTTACATACTGACTATCCTGAGCATCACCAGGGCAGTGTCATTTCAACCAGTCGATTCTTATATTAAATAAATTTGATAAAACTGTCGCTTTTGAATTTCCTGTTATATTGCCTTATAAAACTTAATGAAAAATATGCAATTTATTTATTTATTTATTTAGTACCGGGGCTTGAACTCATGGCCTGGCACTTGCCAGGCAGGCACTTGTGCTGCTGAGCTATATCCCTGGCCCCTTACTTTTGTCTTTGTGAGACAGCATCCCCATACTTCAGGCTCTGAGTGCTGGCGTTACAGGTAGGTGCCACCACACTGGCCTATTTTAAATTTCTTTAGGAACCTCCATCGTTTTCCATCTTGGCTGTGCCATTTAACATTCTTATGAGTAAAAGGGTGTGCCAGTTTCTCCTCTCTCTTGCCAACACTTATCTTTTGGGCTTCTTTCTTTGGTAGCCACCCTAGCAAATACAAGGTGGCATCTCATTGTGGGTTGGACTTTTATTTCCCTGATGATTAGGGCCATTGACCCCTTTTTTGATATACCTGTGGGCCATGTGTATGTCTTCTTTGGAGAAATGACCATGCGCATGCAAGGGAGGCGCTTATGCCGTTGAGCTAAATCCCCAGCCCAGGAGTTCTTACATGTTTTGGATACTGGCCTTTTAAGAGGCATGTGGCTTTCATCTATTTTCTCCATTGCATGGCTGCCGTTTCACTCAACTGCTTCTGCTGCCATGCAGCACGTGTTCAGCTCAATGTAATTCTACTTGCTTATTTTGGTTTTGTTGTACGTGCTCTTGGGGGCAGATCTAAGAAATCACTATGAAGACCAATGTCTTTCCCCTGTTTTCTTTCAGGTTTACAGGTCCTATTTTTCTTTTTCTTTTTTTTGCACCAGAAATTGAACTCATGACCTTGCACTTGCCAAGCAGATGCTGTGCTGCTGAGCTATTTTCCCGGCCCCTTACAGCTCCTAGTCCTATTGGTTACTAGGTATACAGCCAAAAGCATGAACTCAGGATGTTTTACAGATACACCTACACTTCCGTGTTTATGGTAGCATTATTCCTAATGGCCAAGACAAGGACCAAGGATAAATACAGAAACTGTACATTTATAAAATGGAGCTTTATGCAGCCACAGCCACAGGGAAATCCTGTCATTTACACAACACGGATTAACCCAAAGGACATTATACAAAGTGGTATCAACCAGTTACAGAAGGAAAAATACTGCATGATTCCAACTCATAGGAGAAGAGAACGGGGGATGCAGAGGAGGGGGGAAGAGCTGTCCAGTGTGTACAGTTTCATTTAGATCAGTTGAATCATGTTCCACTGAATCAAGTTTATGGTGACTATGGTTAATATTATAGTAGCCACTTAAAATCTTGTTGAGAGGCTTAATCTCATATTAAGTGTTCTAGAAACATCATTACTAGCCACCCCAAACCAAAAGGCATGAAGCTGTCCAAACTCATCAAAACTGCACTTATATGTACAGCTTTCATATATCAATTATACCTCAATAAAGCAATGTAAAGCAAAAAGCTGACAGGTTTGTATCATTCTGAAAGCAAGAAGTGCACTGACAGTCCCGAGTCCCCTTCACTCTGGGGGCCTTGCTGGAAGGCAGAATGTCACAGGGTGGGCCTCAGAAAAGGAGCAAGTTTCTGGCGTGGACCAGTGACCAGAGGGATGAAGGATTCTGTACCTGTGGCATTTACACTGCGCCTGCTGGCTGTGGGTTGTCCCCAGTCTGACCTGGAGCCCTTGATGGTAAGGGAGCAGGTACCCCAGGGGTCACGCACAAGGGAAGCAGAGCATTTGAAGGGATTCAGTTCACAGAGATGCCAAGCCCAAGAATGGGCAGCAAGGAGCTGGTGCTGAGGCTCACGTTTCGGGCAGCAGAATCTGCCTATCCAGGGACAGTCCCACTCTGCTGCCACTGTGGCTCTGGGGAATCTGCTTCCAGGCATCTGTTCTGCTGGCCCTGGGTATTCCCACGGGCTATGCTCAGTCCAACTTAGACTGCATGTTGGACTTGGGATTTTTGACATTCCTTCACCCCAACAGCTCCCAGACTCTCTGTGTCTGATCTTCAGGACTCACTCTATCTCTTAACTATCCCCAATGCCTTCTCTGGAGAGTCCTTATCATCCCATCCCCTAGGACTTCCAGTGCTCAACTTACAGTGAAAGCCTTGGGGTAGGGGTGGGGTGGAGTGGATATCTAAACAAGACAGAGGGCTTTGAAATGGAGAGCATCAGACACCACCACCAGAGGCCAGCGCTCTGGCAGGCACTGAAGTGGGCCATGTTTAATTCAAAAGCCGAACTCAAAAGGATCAATTAACACGCAGCCCGATCCTGGCCTCCACTGGGCACCAGGTGTCTGAGCTTAGAGGGAGGGACGATTTCTCACACCCTTTTCCAGGGCAGAAGCCATCCCCCAGCCTGAGTAGGGCTGGTGGGTGTGTGCAGGGAAAGCAGCTCAAATGCTGCTTTTACCCCTTTCAAGCCTGAATCGAATAATGAAGCTGCAAAAATATCGTCTTACTTACTGGCATAGTTTTGTCTCCAAAGAAGTAAATGGTCTTGTAACCGTCATTTTCCACATGTCGCAGGCAGTATCTCTTGTCCCATCCATCAGGAAAGACATCAAAGCTGATCTGGCCTCCTGCCAGGCAGGGAAGAATATACACAAAAGCTAAGGGTGACAAACAGGCTCATGAGGGATGGAAGTATACTCGCTGAGAAAGCTTGCCTGGCATGTGTGAGATGCTGGGTTCTAGCCAAGGAATTGCACACACATGCAAAGATGTATCACTGAAGAAAATTTAGTTTATTCTTTGCCAGTAACTACACTGTCCAGGGTTAGATTTTTATACCCTCGTTTGCTACTTATGCTACTTTAGGGGCAGGTTCTAGAATTTTTTTTTTTTTTAAAGACAGGGTCTTGCTATGCAGTTCAGGCTGACCTCGAATTCACTTTGTGATCCAGGCTGGCCCCAAACCTGAAGCAATCCTCCTGCCTCAGCCTTCTAATTTGCTGGGATTACAAATGTGCACCACTGTGGCTGGCCTTGGAAATTAATTCTACATTATGTTGTTTCCCCAACATTATTTCACCTGGGTCTAAAATTGAAGAGGATGCCAATTCATAGTAAGAAATGCAGTTACATATCAGAGATCTGTAAAGCAAATGGGTTTAAGTGAAGCAGGCTTATAAATAAACCTGGTACCCACTTCATTTGGTCAGCTGTACTTGTCTTGTGCTTCAACACATTCTGTATGAAGTGACTGCAAGCAGGCTGTGTCCAGCTCATCTTGCAGGAAATACAGCTTTCATGGGCAACAAAAATTCTTTCAAAGGTTTGCAAGAAAGATGTTCATGTCACAGTTCAACAACACATAAAACTATCCTGTTCTTATATTCATTACACATAATTCCTTTGTAAGTTCACCTCCTATAGCCCATGCATTTATTAAAGCTAGTTCAACAAGAAGGCTTTAAGTAAAGATTCGCTGCAACAGACAGAAGAAATGAGTTTGTCTAAAGCAACTGACAGGCATATTTTACCATACGCCAGAACTGGGACATCCACGTTGCTAGAAGAACTCTGCTAGACATGTTACACACTGGCCATGCCTTTGTGATGTGGACAAGTTTCTTCATCTTTTCTGGAGCTTGGTTTGTTTCTCCGTAAAAGCAACCCAACTGACTCCTATGGCTCCTTGCTGTGTCATTATTATTTCTGGGACTCACTGTGTCCTTGAACTTGTGGTGATATCCCTGCCTCAGTTTCCTGGGCGCTGGGATTTCAGATGTGCCCTATTATTCTAACTCATCCTCAAGGTCCACATTCTGATTCTTCTGGAATTTACTACAGTGCTTCTCTTTTGCCCCAAGGTTTAAGGATAAATTCTCACTCTTCAAGCATCAAGAAGCTCTTCTTTTAACCAAGAAGACAAATGGCAGGCAGCAAGAATTCTGCTGAATAAGGGTGCGGAAACAGAGACTGAGTAAGGTGCCAGCTACTCAGGAGCCAGAAGCAGAAGGAATGCAAGGTTGACCCTACTTTGGGCAACTGAGAAAGATCCTATCTTGAGATTAAAAAAGAAAAAATTAAAAAGGGAAGGGCAGTGTAGTTCAGTGGCAGAGAACTTGCCTAGCATGCCAGAGGCCCTACGTTCAGTCCCCAGTACTGGGGGAAAAAAAACAAAAACAAAAACGAAAAAACAGACACAACAGTTGGGAAGCCATTTCCTGGCTGGTAGGCAAATCCTGCACAGTGCTGATTATGCAGAAGAAAGTAACTAGCTCCCCATACAGACTGCATCACTCACATTCGCTGCCTGTTTACCGAACACTGAGCAGAGTCCAACCTCAGCAGCGTAGGGGCTCTCGACCAGCTGCTGGGAGACAAGCAGAAAGTCTGGAACACAGCTGGATATAGCATACCTATGGAAAATGTGAGGCCTTTCCCTGCAAATTCCTTCTGCAGATCTGCTACGAATTTTTGTCTTATGTTTTCTTTCTGAGAAAAACAAAAAGACAGCAGTTGCCATTGTATTACAGTATAGAAGGAACATGTGAAATTCTGCTTGCAAAGCTGCATGTTGCATATTATTTTCACAAACCCAGCCATTTCCCAAGGACAGTTGAGAAGGACTCACTTTATCAAGTTCGTAGAACTCAATGCGTTCCTCTTGGCTGCAGCTTCGTCCAACAGGGGACACATTCAGCATCCCATTTCGGAACTCAATGAAAGTGCCCCTGGGGAGAAAAAGGTGACAGAGGGCCCCTGAAACACCTCACATGTCTGGGCAACATTATGGGCAGGTAAACAGGCTAAAAGTGTGAATAATTCTCAACAGTGTGTGTGTAGGGGCATGATCTACGCTTCTTAGCTGTGCTGTAAAGTAACCCTGAACACAGGATCACACAGCCTTGAAATGTGGCTACGTCCAGAGATACGGAGACATGATCCGTGACATACTGAGACGTGTAATGAATGTAATTATTGTCAATACATTTCACACTATTTGGTAAAATTATATTTTGGATATACGAGATTAAAGATAAATTACTAAAAAATTAATTTCACCCATTCCTTTCTGTGGCTACAGGAAATTTAAAAACACATTTGTGGTTCACATTATGCTTACACTGGGCAGTGCTGCTGCTGGAAGATTTTATAGTTATAAAGAGTTATGAAAATGACCACCAGCATTACAGATGCAATCTCTTGTTCCTTTAGGAGTTTGAAAACAGATTTCTTATATACTTATTTTACTAGTGAGCTCCTTACACAGACCACCTTTATTAAGCAAAGCTACACTGAAAGGTTGTGAGAATCACCCAAGAACCCTCAAAGCTGAGGAGCTCGATTTACCCAGTGGCAGGTTGTTCCCAAAGGTCTGGATGATCACAGAAAAGGAGATCAGCCTGATACTACCTTAGTCACTTTGAATAAGGTGTCAAAAAACATTTTCCTACCATGTTTCCCGTTTCAGTCTCAGAAGTTTCTAAAACTGACAAAACCTGTAAGTTATACATTCATTTTTAAAAATGAAATTCCACCATTTTGTGACAAACTATGCACTTTACAAACTCTCCACAGTGGTGCCTACAAACTACTGGAGTAGTTTCTCTGATCTCTGCCCACTGTTTTAATTATGCAATCCTGAACTCCAGCTACCTGCCGATATAAGTCACTGGTGGCCACATGTCAGGTATCACGTCAAAGACAGCCTCTTAACAGGCTGTCTGCCTCTTGGGCACTCATGTTCAGGAAAAGACCAGTGGTACTGCCTGGCGACCTCTGAAAGGTTTGGTGAAGATCAAACGGTACCAGTTTATGTATAGTTACTTTGGAAATTGGGAAGCAACTGAATATTCTTCAAGTAAGGTTTAAGTGGAGAACTCTGGCAGCTGGATCCCACCCTGCTGTGCTCACCGAGTAAAGTAACAGATAACATACAAACACAAGGACCTAATAGAGTTTTCCAAAGACCCAATGTCCATTTAATTCTGTCCTTTACAACATCTGCATGCCCACTAAGGCACTATGGGGACTGCTGACCATTCCCAGGGGTGACTCTAGGCTCCCAGTCCTACACTATCAGAAACAGAGTCCAGTTATTTCCCCCAATCCAAGGGCATACTACGTACTCCAAAACCATGGATGTCTATCTTCTGAAAAACAGGGATTAGGGTCATTTTCAAGACTCCTATTTGAGATTTTAGAGCTTTTGCCTGACGTCGGGGAGAGCACATGGTTAATATCTGTGCAAAACATGGATAAATTTGAATCTCAGTTAGTTCATCAAGTTTTTCTATCTTTTTTTTTTTTTTGTCTTTTTGTCTTTTTGAGATAAGGGTCTCGCTTTGCAGTTCAGGCTGGCCTTGAGCTCACTTTGTAGCCCAGGCTGATTTCCAACTTACAATAATCCTCCTGCCTCAGTCTCCTGAGTGGCTGAGATTATAGGTATGTGCCACCACATTTGGCTTCCAAGTATCTTATACTATTCTATAATTGCATCGATACACATCTGTCTCTTTCACCAGACTAAAAGTCTTTGAAGGCAGCATTATAACCTTTTTTTTTTGTTCCAGAGATCAAACTTAGGACCTTGTACTTGCCAGGCAGGCACTAATGCTGCTGAGCTACATCCCCATCATTAGTCTTTTTAAAAACAGAAACAACAAAATCCTCCATTAATGCTTTGCCCAGAGTAATGCTGGAGTAGACTGGAATCCATGTGTAATTTAACTTTTCACTATGTGGAATTTCGACCATATATAAACAAACAGAATAGGATCAAGAACCTTCTCACACCCATCACACAACTGCAAATACTACCCACACCCACCCCAGCACAGGGAAGCTCTGCAGGCCCACTGGAGCAGCTCCCTGGAAGGCGGCAGCTAAGCACTCTCACAGCCTGGAGCAGCCTGAGTGAAGCATATCCTAAATCCAACTACCAAGATGTTTGTCTCCTAGTTGCCCAAAGGTGTCACCTAGTAACTACTGACAACCGGGAAGAAAATAAATGTCAAGAAACCTCAACCTCTCATCACCAAGTAACAGCTGTTAGCCTATGAGTCTGTTCCCTGCTAATCTTTCTAAACGTAGGCCTGACAAGGTACCTAAGTCTTAGAAGCCGACTGAGAAGGTAACAGTATCCAAAGCAGAGGCAGATGCCCTGCTCAAATGTCTGCAGGGGTCAGAAAGTACGGTGTGGGCTTCGAAAGGCTGGAGTAAGTGCTGAGAGTCGGTTAGGGGCAGGGTGGGGACAGGGGCTGCCATGTCATAGCAAGACCAGTTAGCCAGGTCCTCACAAGTGCCAACAGAAGCCACAAAGGCAGATGTTCTGAAAAGAGAAATCAGACTCCTTTTTATTTTCTGAGATAAGGTCTCACTATATACCCTGGGTTGGCCTCACACAGCAATCCTCAGCCTCCCAAGTGTTGGGGTGATAGGTATGTGCCACCAAGCCCATGCACTCATTTTTAAATGACAGCAATTAATTTGGATTTTATTTAAGATTTCACATTGTGCGGGATCTGGATTGGAGTCTTCAATTAAAAAATTTCAAATGTGGAGTTTCTGTTGCTCTTTTATGCTGTTTCCTGGGCATCATTTCTGCTCACTGACAGCCTCTGAAGGTGTATACTTTTCACCTCATGTGGCTATGCCGTCTCTCACGTATTATTCCTACACTGTTGGCTTTATAGATCATTTCCAGTTATGCCTCCTTAAGTGCTGGGCTTTGCACATCCATGAGTATTAACCCACCAAATGACATGACTTATATTTTACCAGAGATCCTGTGCTAAGAGCAAACCTACCTTTTCTTCGGGAGTTTAATTTTTGCAATGTAGCTTAGACAGTAGTTGATTAAATCTTGAATTAGGGCCTCACCCAGGTGACCTTGAATACTCTAGATTAAACAAACAAACAAACAAACTATAGTTACTTATTTACCAAGAGGTATCTTCAAAACAACTGCATAACAAACCCAATTCCTGAGCCACTATTGCTACAAAGTCCTAGGCTGGTGTCCCACTGCTGTTTTATGTCCTCCCCTTCTGCTCAGGCTGAAAGCACAAGGCACACCAGGAAGGCTTTAGTCAGAAGTCTTTTTTGCTTCATGACTCAAGTTTTGTATTCATTATCTTTCAAAAACTTCCTGGAAGGTCCATAGAAAACACCTTTGTTCTGCCTTCGCTTCCTCTTACATGTGAACAGGACGATCCTACACTACTAAAAGCTACACAGGACCACCTCAAGATGTGTACAGTGCAGCAGCCAGCCTCGCTGCCTGCTACTGCAACAGCAATGTTAGATTTAGGTATCCTTCTATATAAAGATTGAGTTACTAAACTGCAGTATCTAACAGTCACATGGCTCAAGACTCAAATCTTTGGTGTGAGAAACTGAAAGTGTAAATAAGGACCAAAATGTGTGACAGGTATGGTGAAATATGAAGAAAATGTTCAGATGGGGAGAGGAACAAGGAAAGGGGGAGAGGGGAAGGAAAGAAAGGAAAAGAAAAAAAAAGAGAGAAAAGAAGGGAAAAGATGGAAATAAAGCTTTTGTAAACGGGGAAAGGAGGAGGGGATGAAGGGAGGGTAAGGGAATGCAAAAAAAAAAAAAGAAACAAACTGAATCCTGTACAGGTACAAATCTTCTACAGTGAGTGTGGTCATTATGTCTACCTAAAATATACCAAGAAAATCTGATTGGGAGGAAAAAGCCTCAAGTCTTACTAAAGAATACAGAATAAAGATTTATTCTGACTTGTTTCTCAGCTTTGCAATGTGCCCACCCAGCAGTACTCAATGTCAAACACATTTTTAAATGTTCTACTTTATTTTATTTGGGTTTTTGACACAAGGTCTTGATATGTAGTTCAGGCTGGCCTTGAAGTAACTATGTAGCCCATGGTGGCCTCAAACTCACAGTGATCCTCCTGCCCCAGCCTCCTGTGTGCTGGGATTATGGGTATGAGCCACCATGCCCAGCTTTAAGTATTTTAATAGTAGTAAACAATAGTTCCCATACGTAACAACGTACCTGTTTACATAAGAGTTTCCCATCCTTAAATGCTACCAAGCCATTTTCTGGAAACACATAGTTATATTTCTGCACCACTAAAACCAAAACAAAAGAAAATTTAGAATGTAATAAATCAAAATATGCTTTTTTTTCTTGGTTAGCACTCACTTTCAAAAAAATTGCTAAACTTTTTAGTAAACAGCATGAAAGATAATCTCATCTTAACAGAGTGGAAGGAGGGGGTAAAATACCTTAGAAAAAATAGCTCTCTGGTTGTCAATTTAAAGGCTAACAAGCAGGCAAGAGACTGAAAACTTGGGGATGGGCCGCCCCGTGCCCCTGCCTTCAGCTGGTTAGCCTGAGGCTGCTGGAGGGAGATGCTGGCCCATTAGGGCTTCCAAACCTTGTCATGAGCAAGGAGCACCAGGGCGATGAGTGCAAGTTTGATTTTTTTTTCTATATTAGGAATCCAACTCAGGACTTTGCACTGGCTAAGCAGGCACTTGTACCACTGAGCTATATTCCTAGCCCTTGAAATGTTCATTTTCATGCTCTACTCCCAAGTTGTCTAAATTAGAATTGCCAGAGGAAATGCTAAGTATGTGTTTTTAAAAAGCTTTTTAGGTGATTCTTATAATCAGTCAGATTTGGAGGCCATCACATAAGCTTAATTCTCAAACTTTAGGCACTTGTCAAAATTCAGATTCCTGGGGCCAGTGCCCCTTGACCACTCCACCGTGTACTCGGTGGGGCCCTCAGACTCAACTCTCTCTAGCTCGTGAGCGGGAACACACACAGTCCTTCGCCAACATGACACCTCTCTGAGTGTGTATCAAATACACTACCCCAGAGGCAGGAAGGGCATCAAGATCAAGTGACATATTTCTGGCACTTAGTGTGTCCACTATGTCATTTATAACATTTCTGAACAGAGCACCTACAAGGAGAACTAAGTGTAAATGGAACAGAGTGTTCTAAAGGGATGGTATACATTGCTCTTGAGGTAATGATGACCCACTATAGAGCACTATAGAACTGCACTATGAGATATGCCATATATACAGAGTATGGCGGCACTCAGGAGGATGGGGCAGAGGGCTATTGTGACTTCCAGGCCTGTCTGGGCTACAAAGCAAGTACAAATCCAGCCTGCACGACATAGTGAAATTCTGTCCCCAAAAATAAAACAAACAAACAAGACACATAAGAGTTCCTGTCAGGTGTGGTGGTACTCACCTTATCTCAGCACTACAGGAGGTTGAGGCAGGAGGATCACAAGTTCAAGTCCCACTTAAACAACTTAATGACTTAGTGAGACGATCTTAAAATAAAAAGTGAGCTGAGGATGGAGCTCAATGTGAAGACCCTCGGTTCAATCCCTACTATATATGTAAGACAAGAAAAACCAGAGAATTCCTAACAGGGGATGTCGGACAAGAGCTGGAGACATTTTTAGTTACCAAAACTGTGTGCGTGTGTGTGTGTGTGTGTGTGTACACACTCTGTGGGAATCTAATGAGTAAAGGTCAGGGGTTTTGTTAAATATCCTACAATGCACAGGGCCCCTGTACCAGAACTATCTGGTCCCAAATATCAAGAATGACAAGGTTGAGAAACCTTGTTTTAGCAGAGTTGGTTTCAAGATGTGAGGACTCTGGGGTCAATGGGGGTAAAAAAAAGAATTCATTAATCCATTCCTCCACCATTTCTAACAGGTCCTGTACCACAAAGGCCCTGAGATCATAGAGATGAGAAACCACAGAGTCCTAGTCTTTAAGGCAAACATAGAACCAGTTCTGAAAAATTAGAGCATTACTTTAGGAGGGCTGTGCACCACAATCTTTTTGGAGTACTTGCTAAAATATAATTCCCAGGTCCTGTAGACTTACTGACCCATACTCTTCAGGAAAGAAGCCAGTAAGACTCCAGTTTCTCTGGTCCCCTGCTAGAGACTGTGGCTGGGGAGGGATGGAGCCTGGAGCCTGGTGGGGAACACCGGGTTAGGACAGCAGCAGTGGGCAGGCACTTAGATCTGGAGGGTAATCTGCACTGTGGTAAGGAGGAAGGTCAGGAGGTGGGAGCAGGAGAGTAGGATGAGCAGCTAATTGAGGCAAAAAATTCTGTGTACAAGGGCCGAGGATTTAGCTCAGTGGCATAAGCGCCTGCCTGGTGAGCATGAGGTTGTGAGTTCAATCCCTGGTACCAAAAAAACCCCCCCAAAACAACAACAGCCCAAAAAACAAAACAAAAATTCTATGTACAAAGAAGTAGACACTGTTATCTAGGTGAATTGATTCATGAATCAGTGTAAAGTGTTCCACCAACAATCTGAAAGCTTTATTTTCAGGAATAAATGCAAAGCAAATGTAGAGGCAGAGAAAATGTTACCACCAAGAGAAGAAGGTTTGGGATGCTGAGGACCCTCCGTTACAGGTCCCAGTACCCCCAGCAGAAGTTAATCTTTGACCAAAATGTAACTAGCAATGTAGAGTTACCATCATTTCCCAGTTGTTCCTGTACTTTCTCCAAGTCTGAGCCGCCTACCACTCCAATTTTGATCTTCTGCTTCAATTTTTGTAGAAAGTCATCCATTTCTTTGGTAATTTTCTACATTTCAAGGAAAACAGATGAGTCATGAATCACAAAATAATCACCACCTGAAACTGCAATATACAGCTCTTGTATTCATTTACTTGTACGTTTGCTGTAGTGTTTATTTTTATACATGTTAGTTCTGTTATCAGGTCTATAGATAATTTTTCAAGTATTTTAGTTGTAATTTTCTTTTTTTTTTTGTCTTTTTCATTTTTATCGGTACCAGGGATCGAACTCACGACCGCCTGCTTGCAAGGCAGGTGTTTATGCCACTGAGCTAAATCCCCAGCCCCCTGTAATTTTCAGTACTGAACTTTTTTACTAGAAGGAACTTATTGAATTTTACTTATTTTTGCCAAATTTATTTTTTTTAACTTTTTTTTTTTTTTCTTTTTGAGACAGGGTCTGGCTATGCAGTTCAGGCTGGCCTTGAGCTCCCTTTGTAGCCCAGGCTGGTCTCAAACTCCCAACGATCCTCTGCCTCAGCCTCCTGAGTGCTGGGATAACAGGCGTGAGCCACCACGTCCAGCCATTTTTGCCAAATTTAAACATATAAACAATTTAATAACAGTTACAGTGTACTGTTCTGCTATTCTCTCATAAATCTATACACACATCAATATGAACAGATACAATTAGGTACATGAACATCAATAAAATTATTCTATTTTATGCTCTATGTGGTGACTTGCTTTTTTTTTAAATTACCATATTGTAGTGATATTTCCATCCCACAGACAGATTCAGTTTATTCCTTTCAAATGTTACTTATTCCATTTATGGCTTTGTTTACTTAAAAACAAACAAACAAAAGAAATTAAAGAGTAAATTCAGAATTGATTTATTATAATCATATAAAACAAAGTATGGCTAGGAATGCAGCTCAGTGTACAGTGTGTGTTCTTTCTTTCTTTTTTTTTTTTTTTTGTCTTTTTGAAACAGGGTCTCTATGCAGTTCAGGCTGGCCTTGAGCTCACTTTGTAGTCAAGGCTGGTCTCGAACTCCCAACGATCCTCCTGCCTTAGCCTCCTGAGTGCTGGGATTATAGGCGTGAGCCACCACGTCCAGCTACAGTGTGTGTTCTTAACATGTGAGGCCTGAGGTTCTTCCACACTGCCACCCTGATCACCATATCAACAAGAACTCTAAACTTGAAAACCAAAGGAAGAGAATAACATCATTAGGTTTTTTTTTTTTTTAGTCTCTCCTAAAAGAAAAGTTCCTGTCTATAAACTGTGCCCCTGTGTATTAATTCGAAATGAATTATACACCAGGACAGAAAGATACCCATACAGTAAAACAAATCTCGATGAATTTTTAATAACTTATTATTCATAGTGTCTGTATGTGTGTGTGTGTATCAGGGACTGAACTCAGGGTTTTTTCCAGGATAAACAAGAGCTCTACCACTGAACTACAGCCCAACTCCCCCACCCTTTTGTTGTGATAGGGTCTTGCTATACAGTGCATGCTGGCCTTGAACTTGCTGATGTAGCCCAGGCTGATCTCAAACTTACAGTGACTCAGCTTCCTGAGTGCTGGGATTACAGGTGTGTACCATCATGCCTGGCATAGCCCAGCCCACTTTTAGCAACCTTAGTTGGATAGTTATCGTTTCAAAACCCACCAAAACCCATTGAACTTCACCTCAGTATACAAACAATTTTTTTAGAGTAATATGCGTATGATTAATACAAGTGTACAGAGGGACTTATAATAGATTTCAATCTTTTCCATCTCTTGAAGAATACTGACCTATTAGACAAAATGCAGAACTGCCCTAGTGCTTCTATGAGTCAGTGGGAACTGTGAAAACTTGTACTCAAGTCCCCACACTGTCTGCTCAGAATGGGAGGAATTATGGAAGAAATCTCCAAAATACTAACCATAAACAGCAGCAACACTTCCATCTTTGAACAGAAGCTCAAGGGTACAATTTATTTTATCTAATTTTTATCCACACTGATGAATTAATGATATTGTGGTCAGCCATCACGATGTTTTGCAATGAGAATGATTTGTTAAAAACCATTTGCTTCCAAGTAGCAGCAAATACTTCTTGAAGGAAACAGGACTCATATGTTGTAACCACAGCAAAGTATTTTTTTCTTCTTTTCTTTCTTGATTTTTTTGAGACAGGGTCTCACATCATAGTTCAGGTTGGCCTCAAAATCATGGCAATCCTCCTCCCTCAGCCTCTCAAGTGCTGAGATCACAGGCATGCATCTCATGTCTAGTTCCTCTGTACTGTTTTCAATGATTTGTGTTTGAAATTTTCATGATGCAAAACTAGAAAAGGATTCATGTAGGTTTATACCGCTTTCTATTTGGAAACTTGTTCTAAGTCTCAAGTGACTTTAGATGAAGTGGTATTTTTAGGAAAGCATGTAGCACAAGCTTCTACTGAAATGGTAAAATCTGCAAATCTCTAAAGTCTATGGTGATTAGATTTAACCTGCCTGGCTTATACCCTGTTTCAGCAACTGCCATAAAAGATGAATTAATTCTCTTTTAGATTGTACACATCAAAGAGGGAAAGATTATGATCAATAGATCTGCTGCTAAAATACTTTTACCTATTGTACCCGGCCTACATGAAAATTCCTTTTTATAATTTTCTTTACTTATTTTTTGAGACAGGGTCTTGCTATGTAGTTCAGGCTGCACTTGAACTCACTATGAAACCCATGTTGTCGTTGAACTCATGGTGACCCTCCTGCCTCAGCCTCCTGAGCGCTTGGATTACTTGTGTGTGTCACCACACTCAGCTAGATTTTATTTTTTTGAGTGTTAAAACTATAGCAAGGAATATCATGCTTCAGTAAATACATTCTAGTCATATGGCTTGTTATTTTGCATTTTATGAATGTACACTGGGATTCTTTCTGGGAAGACACACTCTTCTGAACAGTGTACCTCACACTCAGAACAGCTTCCGTCTCAGCGCGGTAAACTTGATAAATAACACTCTCTGAAACCCAGGGACTTGTATGAAACTGAGAAGGCAGAACTTCAGTGGGTCTCAGTTTCCATATGTTTAAAATGGTCAACTATCCTTCATGGGATGAAAGATGAAAGAAGACTGAAGTGCATCCAACATTGTGTAAAAGAGATTAGAAATGTAAACCTTAGACCATTACAACCTGGGGCCACAAATTGAGCAGCTGTTCGCTTGTAAATCAAGTTTTATTGGAACACAGTCACTGTGTTTACATATCATCTCTGCCTGTGTTTGCACTGAAGTTGGTGACTGCAGACCATATGGTTTGCAAAACATGAAACTATTTACTACGTGGCCCATTACAAAAGTAAAACTGTGGATCCCAGCCCTAGACCCCTATGAACTCTTAACAACCCAAATGTGTGTTGATCTGAGTCACGAACTTGCAGTTGAATGTGATCAAATCTGTGTCTCTGAAACGTAAAACCATACATCTAAGGTCACACACATTAGACATGGATTTTCAGAGCACACCTCATCAAACACTAAAGAGGATGGGGTAGAAGTGGAGGTCTGCAAGGCCATTTGGGACCAATCGCAGGTTTACATGGGATTTAGTGACCAGTTTGTGCAACAGGGCAGACAAAGCCTCAACCTAAGGCTGATCTTAATTTAAATTTAACAGTGATTCTAGCAGCAGAATCTGGGAATGGGAAGCAAGTTTCCCAGGGTCCAAGAATGCTCTCAGCAAGCAGTCTGTAATGATCTAGGCCTCCTGCCATAACTGCAATCCACCGCAGGGGCTGGTGGAGATGGCTAATGTCTGAGGTCTAATCCCTGTAAGACGCTTTCATGAACTCACATGATTTCATTATTTCTCAAAAACACCACATGGTGCTGGGTGTGGTTACCATGCCTGTAATCCCAGCACTTGGGAGGCTGAGGCAAGAGGATCGCCTTGAGTTTGAAGCCAGCCTGAGCTACACAGTGAATTTAAGGCCAGCCTAAACTGCATAGGGAAGCCCGGTCTGAAAACAACCAACCAACCAAAAACATCATATGGAATAGATAACGACCCCATTGCAAGCTATAGCTGAGGAGGCTCAGAGGTTAACTGACTTGCTCAAGGTCACAGCGCTGTCAAGAGGTGAAGGTCAGACACCTCCAGCTGGTCTGTTTCACCTACAAACCTATGTTTTTAACATCATGCTACGTGGCAGAGCTCACAGGACAGAACTAAAGAGGTCACGTAGCCGGTGAAAAGGCTTGAGGTGACGTTCTAATCCAGGTTCATCTGTCACCTGGGCTTGAGGTTAAGTCTAGACCTGCATTTTCCAAACCCCTGCATTTTAAGACTTTCTTCGTCGCAAATCTCTTTGGCTTTTGTATCTTTTGAGTATCCCGAGGTCACAAAGAGCTAGTTAGACCTTCCTTCTCAATCCCCTAAAATGAGGATTGAGCCCACGGCAGGGGGAGATAGATGGTCTTTAGTCGTCCCTTGGAGACAACTACGGATCGTCGGGAGCCCGTTACGCGAGGAGCAGGGTTCCGCACTAGCAGTCAGAGGTCTGATGAGCGCTGCTTACCTGCCGCGGGGCCGTCAGGGTCCCATCCACATCAAAGAGGCACAGCACTGGGCGGGTCGTAGCCATCTGTCCGGTTTCTGTGCAAGCTACTCGACTCAGTAGCAGCACAAACTCCGCCCGGAACTTCCGGGTCTGGCCGCCATGCCGCCGCGCATGTCGGGAAGCTGAGAAGCCCCGCCTCAGTCCCACAATGCTGAGGAAGAGCATCAGGCGCTGGACCACGACTCCCAAGATGCAATGTGCACTACGGGAACACGTCCTACATCCGATCATGCGCAATGAGGCGTTCCCGGGGTAGCGGGATTTACTTCCGGCAGCGGGTGTTGGATCATGGTAGGGACCCGGTTGGTGAATGGTGAGGGAGGTGGCGTGTTTTGGGGACCGTAAGTCCCAGCTTGGGCTGACATACAAGATTTTGGGTTTCTGACTCGGGAGGACGCGCGGCGTGGGCTACGTAGATTTGCTGTTCCCAACTTTCTCTGCTCCCCGTGGGTCACTTGGACCAACCACCGGGATAGCTACAGTTTGCAGAGGGCTTATCATGCAACAAGTACTAAATTGAGGGCTGTATAACCAACCGTCATCTCTTTTGGTGTTTTCTGAATCTCTTTTGAAAAGTAGAGAAGTAAGGCTCAGAGAAATGGAGTAACTTTTCCAAGGATCCACATCTAGTGATTGTTGAAGCCAGAATTGGAACCCCCATGTGGTCCATAGCCCAGAGCTTTTCCCACTGCTCTGTTCACTAATAAAATCCGTGTGCTATGTCTTGCGCCGTCCCTGCCACATTCCTCCTGTACTGTTTTCTCTCCCAAATTAGTCTAATAGAAAACACCAGTTTGCTCCAGCTTTGAGATAATCATAAACTGGGCAGAGAACTACAAAATTGCTGTGATAAATATCTCCTCTATTTGTTGCTTGAATTTCTCAATAGGACGCCGATTAATTTTTTTTTTTTTTTTGGTCTTTTTGAGACAGGGTCTTTATGCAGTTCAGGCAGGCCTTGAGCTCACTTTGTAGCCCAGGCTGGTCTGGAACTCCCAACGATCTTCCTGCCTCAGCCTCCCAAGTGCTGGGATTACAGGTGTGAGCCACTATGCCCAGCTAGGATGCCCGATTAATTAGTTTGATACTTGGAAAAATGTTCCCACAGCGCTGTGTATCTAGTGTCTAGCTCAGTGTTGGCTCTCACTAGGTATTCATTGAATGAATGAAGCCACGCCTTCTTTTCTGTGGTTGTTTGGAACTGCTTTGGGGAAAGAGGATCAGTTTGAGAGTCAGACTCTCTTCCATTTATTCCACTCTGTGTCCTTGGACAAGTTTCTTTCCCTGTGGGCTTATTTTCTTTAGTGATAAAATGGAAGTAGTGGTATCTCTTCATGGTACCATTTGTGAAGCATGCATGAAGTAAAGCATCTAACTTTAACCCCTCCCCCGCCTTCTGCCTGTAATAGTGAATTCACAGGATTGTCAGGAGTTTCCCTGTGGGATGCTTTGCAGATGTTCATTGTGTGATCACCATAGTTGAGTTTCATAAAATACGTCTCTTCTTTCCCTTCCAGGCTGCCCTCCTCCGAGCCGTGCTAAGGATGCGGGAGCCAGCTGCACAGGGAAAGTGTCTCCAAAGACTGTGGTACTGTGGTGGGCAGGAGAATCCCAAAAGGTGGGTGGGGAATAGGTTACCTACCTCAGAAGAGAAACCACCAGGCACAGAGACAGAGAAATTCGTGATGGTCTACCGTTTTAATGCAATCAGAGTCTTTGGGTTCTTATCTCGGCTGAAGGTAGCACAGACAGCCATGACAGTGGTGGCCCTGCCACCAGGCCTTTACTGGTATTCCCAGGGTCTTATGACTGTTGATTCACTGTGCCTAGTGAGTGGGATTGCTGGCTTTGCCCTGGCCATGCTGTGCTGGATGAGCTACTTCTTCCGGAGGCTGGTGGGCATCCTGTACGTGAACGAGTCCGGCACCATGCTGCGGGTAGCTCACCTGACCTTCTGGGGCTGGCGGCAGGACTCATATTGTCCTGTGGCGGATGTGGTGCCCCTGACAGAAACACAGGAGAAGCCCCAGGATGTGCTGACGTGCATCCAGCAGTACAGTGGGAAGCAGACTTTCTACCTCAGTCTGCGCTATGGGCGCATTGTGGACAGAGAGCGGTTCACTCAGGTGTTTGGGACCATGCACACACGTCAGTGAACCCAGCTTGGAGCCGGGCGACCTGGATCTCTGGTAGGAACACCACGGCTGTGGGCAAAGGTGAAGCAGGGAATCTCAGGTGCCCTGGAAATTCATCTGTTGGGAAATTCATAAGACAGAAGGTGATAACCAATTTTAGGAAAAAGATGCCTGATATTCAGGCAGAAGTTTCTCAAGAGGCAATTCTTGGATGAAGCTGAGACTACTACGAAATTGGAAGGCAGTGGCTGTGGCAGGGAAGCAGAGGAACTGGAGTCAGCCCCTCGGCTGGGGCAGAGTGTGTTGTCTGAACCTTGGTTTCCACATCTGTAAAATGCATAGTCCTGCATGACTTGGGGTATAAGTGTGAAAATAAACAGTGCACAGCAGGCTGCCATGTGGCTCAGAGGTTGAACATTTGTCCTGCTTGTGAAAGACCTGGGTTCCATCCCTACCCTGCAGAACAGTGACTGCCAAGGGCTTTGTCCAGTCAGCAGCTGGAAAGTGATCATTGTTCACAGCATGGTGGGAGGCTTCTAGGCAGTGAGTGGAGATTTCCAGAGCTGTGCTGTACCTTGTTATATCCACAGCAGCACGGGACTGGGACGAGCTGACTCTTGACATTGCGTTAGGGTAGTAACTGCCTGCTGACTGGGGCAGTTCACAGGAGCACAAAACGCCAGCGGAGAACCAGGCAGTGTCACATTTGAAGGCTTTGCGGCATAATCCAGGCAGAACTGATTCAATGTCATGCATCACCAAGTTAAAGGTGACTGTGTATGTTGCTTCTCACAGTTAATATTTATTATATACATCTAGAAAAAAGTTATGATCTTTATAGTTTTTGCCACTTAGCACAATTTTTGTTTGTTTATTTAAGACAGGATTTCGTTATATAGTGCAGACTGGCCTCAAATTCGTGGTGATCCTCCTGCCTCAATTTCCTGAGTGCTGGAATTACAGGCATGCACCACTATGGCCAGCATTTTTTGCCACTCAGAAGTCAGTAAGTGTTATATAACTTTCTAGGCATGTATTGTTGGATTTTTTTATTCTTTGTTTTTTAAAATTTTTCATCAGTCATTTATTGTAATAAAATTTGTATAACAAAAATATTCTTTTAACCATTAAAAATGTACAGTTCAAGCACGTCAAGTACATTTATAATGTACAACTGTTACCACTATTCATTTCTGAAACCCAAACCGATGCCTATCTCCTGCCTATCTCAAAACAAAAAGGGCTGGGCTATAGATCAATATTAGAGCACTCTTGGGTTTATTCCTCAGTACCAGAACAAATAAATAAAACCAATAAACACATAAAACCCCTGACTTTATTTTGGCTTATAGTTCAGAAGATTCAGTCCATGAACACTTGGCTCTGTTGCTTTGGACCTGTGATGAGACATGGTGGGAACGTGAGGAAGGAGGCAGGTTCGCCTCATGGTATCCAGCGAGCAAAGATAAAGGCAGGAAGGATGAGACTTCCCGTATCCCCATGAATGGTCACTCATGCTCCCAGTGACCCAAATTCCTTCCACTAGCCTGCATGTTGGTACTAGGGATTGAATTCAGGGCCTTAGCACTGAGCTACATGCCTATCCCTTTATCTGTTTGTTTACTTTGAGGCAAGATCTTGCTAAGTCACTGTGTTGCCCATGCTAGGCAAGAACTTTCGGTCTTAATCAGCCTCCTAGAGTGTATGGGTTACAAACATGTCACCTCATTTGGCTAGGCCCACTTAAGTGTTCCACTACCACCCACTAGGAGCACAGCCTGGTGACCAGGCATTTAACACATGGACCTTTTGCAGACACTTTTTTTTTTTTTTGCAGACACTTCTAAATCATAGCACGTGGTAATTCTTTGTTGAACTTTTCCATAGTGGCTGCTTTATTTTATGTTCTGACTGCAGTGTACAGGGAGTCAGGTTCTCAACACTGGTTATTTGCCATGTTTTGATACCAGCCATCCCAAGGGGTGCAAAGTGGTATCTCACTGTGTATCAGGCTTTTTTGGAGTATAGGTTTCACCATGCCTGAGGTTGCTTGCTTGCTTGCTTCTTTCTTTCTTTTTTTTTCTTTCTGTTTCTCTCTTTCTCTCTTCATGTTATAACAAGACTACCTTCACTAAAAATATTCAGAAACTAAAATACTCCATTGAGTGTACATAGCTAGTCCTTTTGATTTTCACTGTTTCCATTTTTTCATTTTTATGAAGAATATGATATCCTTCCTTTGTAGGTTGAAAATAACATTTTGAAAAAAGTGATTTTAAAATAACCAACATAACATGGGACAAGTTAGGTTTCCTTAGTTAACTGATTCCATTTCGCAGAAGCAAGTATAATCCAAGACAGTTTCTGTCTCGGGTTTCCCATTAGTTATTCATTCTGCCTGGTGAGTATTTGCTTTGTGTCAGATAGTGTAGGTAATAGATTTTTGCCCCCGTGGAACTTGGAGTCAAACATCTTTGATGCATGCATGCATGTGTATGTGTTTGTGGGGGGAAACTGTTACGCAAATAAATGTAGTTAATTATAGATGGTGACAAATGAAAAGTTCAGATGGGCTGAGGCAGGATGACATGGGGAATGTGGGAAAGGCATGCCAGGCCCTGCTGGAGGGTTACTTAAGCCGGCACCTGAGACCTGAGCAGAAGGTGACATCAAGGGAACTGCAAGCCAGTGCTTCTGCACTGGGCAACTGGTTTGTTGCTAAGGGGCGGAGCCTGAATTTTATCCTCCTCACTGTGGGAAGCCTTAGAAAATTAGAGAAAAGCAAGAGAACAGTGAAGGAAAGTTTGAGAGGTTTTCAGGACCAAGAGGAAACAACTTTTAATTTTTATTCACTTTTGGTTGATGTAATGAGAGAATAGAGTAAGATTTGTTTTATTGGTACAGTTCCCACTGCATGTTAATTCCTGGCAGCGGGAGGTTTTCTGGGGAGTGTGACTGTCCCTCAGATGTTTGGAGATCCTGGGCATCCACAGTGCAAGTATGGCTGTGGTTCTCCTAGGCTGAGGGACTGGGATACAGGGGCATATTCTGGCAAAAACTGATTTTGTAGGTGTACCCCAGAGCCTGGTAGTGGCCCATCAGGACTGGAGGGCCTCAAGCCATTCAGAAGTGCCGGCTCTTCAAGGTGTAAATGGTTTGTGGTTCCACTGACTTAAAATTTTATACTCCCAAAACATCAGCCAAGCCTGTAACCAGGCCCTTTATTTGCAGGGTTCTCCGGGGGATTCTGGTGTGCAGGTTGTCCATCTCCCTTGAAGGGTCACTACACGGGTAAGCCTGCAAAGGGATTGTCCTTGAGGGTGACAGCAGCTGCTCCCCCGCGTGGCCTTCTGCATGTAATCTGCTCACGCGGTGCCAGTAGAGGGCACACAGCGAGAGAGCACCATTCTATCCCATTATTCCTGAGCTCAAACCAGTTCTCCCCACAGCAATGTGAAATGGGGTAGGACCTCTGTAACACCCTAGTAGGGCAGTACCTGGGCCTGTTCAAAAATCCAAAATCAGCAACAGAAATTACCTATACTCAACCCTTGTGGAGTCTGGTGAAAGAAACTTGGGCATCTGTGTTTTATGCTTCCCAGATAATTCAAGATAGCCCAGTTTGAGACTCACCAGTAGCCATACCACGGACAGTAAAGCAGTGTCTCTAAAAAATGGAAGTGGTTTTCATATTCTGGTAGTGGATATATTTGTGGTTCCTTTAACAATTTCAAAATAATAATTGTCTTAGTTCCTTTGGGTTGCTACAAAAATATAAACAACAAACATTTCTGAGTTCTGGAGGCAGGTTCTGTGTCTGGTAGAGGCCCATTTTCTGCTCAGGTGCTGTTTGTGTTGTCACACAGGGCACGTGTGAGGGACTTTCTGGGGTCTAATACTATTCAAGAGGGCCCACGTTCATGACTTAATCACTTCCCAAATTGGGAGGGACACAAATAGCAATAGTCTATAGCAATAATCTAATGGAAATACCCAGGCAAACATATGAGGATGGTCATTTAAATATTTCCAATAGCAAAAATAAATAGAAAAGGAAGCTTCTATTAGTAAACCACAGTTACATAAATTTTGGTAGATCCATACTGTGGAATAACACAGCTCTTAAGAATAATCAGGTCAACCTATATTTGCTGAAGTGGAAAGATGACCATGAGTTACTGTTAAGTAAACAAACGCAGATTACAAAAAAACATATATATATATATAGCATACTTTGCAAACTGTTAACAGTGGTTACCCCCTGGGTAGAGGACTGGGGATGGGTGGGCCGTGTGAGTGAAACAGTTAAGTTTTCCACTTTGAACTTTAGACCCTTCTGATAATGCTTACAATTTTTCTTTCTTTTTTGGTACCGGGAATTAAACACATGAACTCATACTTGCCAGGCAGGCTCTGTGCTGCTGAACTATATTGCTGGCCTGCTTACAGTTTACCTAATAAGCATGTTACTTGTCTTCATGAATGAAGGAAAATCAGAATCTCTTCTCCCATCCCTCTTTGAAGCTTCATGCTAACTTTCTAACCAGAGAAAAGTTTCCTAACCTTCAATTCCTATTCTGAACCGGGTAGACAGCATAGGAAATCAGCAATTGTGATGGAACTGTGTCTGTCTCTGTGCAGTGGCTTTCCTTCCTATCTTCCCACTAACTGTCCCCCTCCCACATGCTGTAGCCATGTGTCATTTAGATGCAGGCGATGGGTTAGCCGGTGGTGTGCCAGTTTCCACATGGTCATCACCCAAGCCTTGTTGAGATCTGTTCTTGGCTCACACACCATGTTGCTCACAGAACACGCAGCCCTGTATTAGCTGTTTTCCTTTCTCCTGTCACCAAAATGAGACTTTGTCATAGGACAAGGTATCGCTCACTTCTCCAGTCCATCGTCAGATCACTGTTCTATGCTCCCTCTTCCAGCAGGTTTGTTGAGCAGAACTGTTTGTTGGGGACCACCTAGGGCAAAGTGCCCAAATAACTCAGGGTGCACTTTTCTTTAGTTGCCATTTGATGACTTAAGGATGCATGACTTCCAAATGGAAAGCATCAAGGTTCCTCTGAGTCCCAGGCAAGGTCCAAGTTTTATGGTCTTGTTTTGATCCTGCAGCATTTTAACTATAAAATCCTGCCTGATTAGAGTTAATTGGGCAGGGCCAACCCCATCTGGTTGTGTTTGTACTATCCCCAGGGACAAAACATCCACTTACTGATTAACAATTAAAATAGTCTGCTATCAGTCGTATCTTTTCTGGGAAATATTTAATATTTACAGGTAGGAACTTATCTTTGACAGAAACATAATGTCGTTAGAATTATACGTGAGCTACACGTTGCCAGTCACAGAGCATCAAAAGGAATTACAAGATATTAAATACCTACTACATGCCACCTACTAAGTATAATCAGTACATGATTTATTTAATTCTGCTGGCAACCGTCTGAGTCAGAGAACTCCAGGCAAGCAGGAGAAAGGAGGGAAGCACATGGCTTCTGAAGCAAGATCTGTCTGCCTGAATCTCGGGCTGCTGCATCCCGGGTGGAACTTTCTCTGTCTTTGGATGTGAGGAAATTGTAACAGAACCCACTGTGGGGAGGACTGAGCAACCAACTGCATGAAGAGTTCTTTTTCTGGGGAAGCACTCTGTGTTTGCTATAATCACTTACATTTGCCAGATGGAGCTTAAGAGTGATGAAGTCACCCAGCTAAAGACTGGCAAAGCTGGGGCATTCTACAGCTGTGCCCCGACCACCAGGACAGTATACGGAAAACAGTGACTTGGAGAGTGACCTTGCAGTTCTGGGGACTTCATTCTAGCTGCTTTAGAAATGTGCGTTTCAGAGCTCACACAGATGCCAGCCAGTTCATTTCAACTTTCCAAGACTGATGGCTAGACTGACTGAAAATTCCTTGACTGTTTGACTGTCCCTGCCTTCAACCAATCATGTGTCAGTTGCATGTAATATACACACAAGTCCATCTTGTTGTTTTTTGTGTAACAGGATCTTGTGATATATTCCAGACTGGCCTTGAACTCACTGTGTAGCCCAGGCTGGCCTTGAACTCACAGTAGTCCTCCTGCCTTAGTCTTCTGAGGGCTGGGATTACAGGTGTGTACCACCATGCCCAACCATATGCTCATATTTGTCTAACCCTGATACATCTTTTATGATTTATCTTTTATGAATATCAAATTCTGGCTTACAAGCTATATAATTTGGGGCAGGTACTCCTGTTTCCTGTTTCAGCTTCCACATACAAAGATAGTACATATCTATAACCCAATACTCTGGGAGGCTGAAGCAGGAGGGCTGCAAGTTTAAGCCCTGACTGGGCAACTTAGCAAGTTAGCAAGGCCTTGATTCCAAACAAAACATCAAAAGAAATGAACCGAGGATATAGCTTAGTGTGATAGCCCTGCATGCAATCCCTGGTACCACACACACACACACACACGACCAGACAGAGCCGAGGATGTAGCCCAGTGAAAGAACTCTTACCCAGCATTTGTAAAGCCCTGGTTCCTTCCCCAGGACTTCCAATACAAACAAACAAACAGACAAAAAACCAAAAGTAAGCATACAAAATTGCACAGCATGTAGATTTGTTGTGAAAATTACAAAGCACCAATAAAACATTCTCGATACAATACAGATTCAAAATCATTTTCAGCTGGGCATAGTGGCATATGCCTATAATCCCAGCATGTGGGAGGTTGAGGCAGGATTTTGCTGTGACTTTGAGGTCAGCCTGGACTACATGGTGGGTTCAGGGCCACCCTGAACTACAGAGAGATCTGCTTCAAAACAATGTTTTTTCATTATTTATGTGTGATTATTTTAATAAATACATTTGTGCTGGGCATGGTGAGCACACCTATAACCGCAGTACTTGGGAGCATAAGACAGCAGGATTTCTCTCTCTCTCTCTCTCTCTCTCTCTCTCTCTCTCTCTTTCTCTCTCTCTCTCTCTCTCTCTCTCTCTCTCTCTTTCTCTCTCTCTCTCTGGTCTTGTCTTTTTGACACAAGGTCACACTAACGCAGTTCAGGCCAGTCTTGAACTCACTTTGTAGCCCATGTTGGTCTTGAACTTGCAATGAACTTTCTGCCTCAGTCTTCTAAGTGCTGGGATTACAGGCATGTGCCATCATGCCCAGCTAGGCAAGAGGATTTTAAGTTCAAGGCCAGCCTAGTTTACATAGGGATTTCAAGGTCACTGAACTGCATAGCAAGGCCCCTGTCTCACACACACACACACACATGCCTGCATGCACAAAAGGAATGGCAAATATTTCCTTCTAAGTCAGTTGTTTTTAAGATGTTGGTCTGAGCTGGAAGGAGCCTTACAAATATGTGTCCGAATTGTACATTTCATCAATGAGAAAAATAAGGATCCAGAGGGCTACTGCAACATCTGGGAACAGGCGGTTGCCACTCAGGCCCGAAGGGCCAGAAGGGTGGCTGATTTACACAGCTGCCCACTGAGTGTGTCTGCCTTCTCTGCATTGTTTTTGCCTCCTGGTTCATTCCCATAGGTCGTCAGCTTAGCATCTCTATGGGCAACAGGGAAAATCCGATTTGATTGCTTGGGGGTAAGGCCCAAGTATAGATTTTTATAAAAAGCTCTTTCGGGTGGTTGCTAAGTGCATCCTGTGTTGAGAATTTCTTCCCTGTGCACTGAATTTTGTGTTTTTCTTTTCTCACCACCCCGGTTATCACTTCCCTTGTCCAGGCCACAGACCCATTACTGTAATAGATTCCTGGTACTCTTCCAGCCTCCCTGATTTTTGTGGTGAGCTCTTGGTGAATATAGTGAGCATTCCTAACGTGTTCAGGGAAGACTCCCCTGCTGCACACATGTGCGGCTATGTCACCACCATGGAGGGCCCTGGAGGATCCAAGCCCTGCCTCCTTCTCTGACTTTGTCTCCAGCCTCATCTGGTCTTCTTTCCTCCAGACCTAGCAACACGAACTCAGGATCTGTGTGCCTTTATGCCTTTGTCTGCCTATGTTCTTACTCCTCTGTCTGCTGCTCAGTCAGCAGCCAGTTTCTGCTCAGCCTTGCAGGTGAACCTGGAAGGTCTGACCTGCACCCTGCCTGGCCTTTTGCATCGGCAGCACCCATACATGTCTGTTTCTTACACTGGGTGGTTGGGACTGTTTCTCTGCTGGAATGTGAGCTGAGGGTCAGGACCACACTGTGTCCATCATGGCATCTGTGTCACATGGTACATCCTTGATGAGCTTGATGAAATACCTGATTTTTAAGCCGGAGGCAATACATACAGGCAGAACGTTCCCCCAAGACATCCAGTAAGAGGGGTGTAAGAAGCTGGGCATGGTGGTGCACACTTATAATCCCAACACTCTGGGAGGCTGAGGCAGGAAAATTGAAAGTTCAAGCCCAGCCTGGGTAACCTAGCAATTTAGACTCTGTCATAAAGAAGAAAGAGGTAGGAATGTAGCTTAGTGGGAAGGTTCTAGGTTCAATAATCCCTTGTACAAAAAAAAAAAAGAAAAGAAAAAAATTATAGGGGCTAGGGATATAACTCAATGGCACAATGCCTACCTGGCAAGTATGAGGTCCTGAATTCGATTTCCAATACAAACAAAATAAAATATAATGCATGCTTAATAAATAATTGTCAAACAGTTATTTAACAAAGTAATTTCCAACCCAAAAAGTCCACTTCACTCTGACATTTCCATTATAAATAATTTTTTAATTTAAGAATACTGATTAACACAGGAAACATTTAATTCATGGAATTGTGCATATGGTCATCAGTTACATTGTGACATGTTAATTTCCTTATTGTTTATTGGCACTGTCAACAGAATACTGTAAACAAGATCACTTTGTGTGCATTAAGTCTGCAATGCTCCCTAGCTACGGTTTTCTACCATGAGCTTACAGATATAGATACAGATATAGGTAGGTATAGGTATATAGACATACTAATGTGCACAATTTTGCATGATTACTGAGTGCCAGTAAAAATTATAAAAAAACACCCATTTATAATAAAAGGGAGGATGTGCTAAGACTTGCTAGTGTTGGACCTTGTTTTCTATAAAAGTGACGACTTGCTAGAGACAGTTACTAACCTCTATGGTACTAATGGATGATGGGTTTACGTCCCGCAGAAGTTGTTGGCCACAGAAGCCCTTCCTCATGGGCTCTGCCCTAGACAGCAACCTGTCCACTGGGCTTCTTCCAGTGTCTTCTAAGTTGCTACAGTCTTGAGCTCTGCCAAAGTCCTTACCTTGAAATTCTTCTAGCTAAACCTCTAGCCCCCTAAAGAAGATGGCTCAGGGACTCACCATGCCTTAAGTACACAAGAGCGTGTTGTCAAATGGCTTAAAAAATTATGTTTCTTTTACAAGAAATAACTTCCCTTCTTAAGGAGTGAATAATCTAGAAATGATTTTCCAGATAAAATTATTTCATTCCTCTGTCATTGACCCAAGAGGAAAGAACAAAATATTGGAGCCACTCCCTCTACCGTTTCCAGCTGTGCCCTAGTTTAAAACCCTTTATGATGATCTGCATTTTTCGTGTTTGTTAAATAAGGTGTTGAACCTTGGGATATTGCCTGTGGAATCTGGCCCCCCAGTGTGAGGTACATGTCTTTGCTGTACTGTTCCCTTTCTGTAGTATTCTTCCTTGTCTTGGCTGCTTGGTGAACTCTTATTTGTTCTGCAAACCCTGCTCAAACATCATCTCCTCCTTGAAAGCTCCTCTGACCCTTAAGTGGATTGGGGTTCTCTCTCACTTACCTACTCTAACTGTTACTGTACTTGGCACTCTGATTTAATTATTGGTTTGAGAGTCTGTTGTTCCCAAAGGAATATGAGTCCCTCTTATTTCATAATGGGGCAGGTATTTCATGAAAGTTTGATGAGTGAGGGAAGACAGAATATAAATAGAGATGAGTGAAACCTTGCAGAGAAGGAGGTGTGGATCCTCACTTAGTCGGCAGTGCAGATGACCTCGAACATGGTAGAAATCCTTAGGAAAAGTGGCAGATGAGCTGCTGACCACAGGAATGCAAATCGAACCAGAATGCCTGTATCTGTCGTGTCTGTTAAACATGTCAATGTCTTCCATTTCTCAACCAAAAGAGGTTGGTGACTGAGTCTGAGTAACAGTGGAATCTAAGTCCTTGAATGATTAGTTATTAAAAGAGCGAAGTGCTGAATCAGGAATCTTGACATGCCCATTTTCCACAACATTCAGTCAAGGTACCAGGAGGCAAAGTGGCTTCCTTCTGGACAGAGAGCCAAGTCTGCCTACTAAATAATATCTTACAGCTGTAGGGCTGTCAACTGCTCTGTGTGGGAACATTTGAGGTCAGGTCAGTTCCAAGAACATCTCACCTCCAGCAGAGACACTGGACCCTCCATCACAGCATCTTTAAGCATTTTATTGTCATCCTGCTAATTCCCAGGCTCAGGCATCTTAAGAAAAATTCAGATTTCAGGGGCAAAGACAAGGAAACCACTTTAAACTGACAAGCTACCTTTCCATGTGCGGAGCTTTGGTGCCTTTAATTCATGGCACTTCCCTCAAGAGAAACTGAGTCCAGCAGTGGCCCCTTTAATGGAACGGTTCTTTTGAGAAGCAGAACCAAGATGATGAGCAAAAGCTGAAGTGAGCCTCCTAGGGTGGGGGACCAAAGTCAGACCCTGAGAGGATCTGGGGGACAGGATATAGTGGCTCTGCTGCCTGTGACCTTGGGCCTATGCTTCTGGGGTGACAGGCTTGTGCTACTGACCCTTTGGCTCAAGTGTGTCCCCTGGGCACTCAGCCTGCAGGTTCCTCCCACACTGATGTAGGCTGACATGTGTTGGAGGAGTGGAGGATGCTGAATAGGAGCCATACATGATGCCACCCAGAGCTCCTCCCAGGGCAGAGGCCCTCCAGGACAGAATTCACAGCTTAGAGAGACCTCCAGTTGGTCTGAGGGGTGGTCTTCCTCATCAGGAGGCCAGATGCCCCCTCCATTGCCCCAACCTCTTCATGTCCCCACATCGCTGTCTTCCTATGAGCCATTCAATCTCTCACTGAACCCTAGATAGGGGACTCGAAGCTTGGGGACTGGGTGACAAGGTGGGTGTGAAGTTGCTTCTATAGGGTGAGGGGAAGCCAGCATCTCTGATCACCAAACAGGGAATCTGGGATAAACTGGAACCCAAGAGTAATGGCCACCAGTCCTAGGAGTGGGTGAAACTCCTTTGACTGGCTCCCAAAGAGAATTGTTGGAGTTGGTCATGGGTGGGCAGAAATGTGTCCAGGACCCCTAGGGCCCTTCCCAAGACTATGTCCAGGGCTCAAGCAGACTTTCTGAGCTTCACCCAATGTATACCACTGGCTCTACAGGCAGAAAATTCAAAACCAGCCCTTCCTTTTCCCTCCCCCATAGCCACCAAAAAATCCCCTCCCCACAAATAACCTTTCCGTTTGTGCATTCACCTCTGATACTTTTAAGTGAAAACATGAATTAGGCAAACTAATCAATTTGACAACTGTTGAGATTCTCAAAGTACAGTGGAAATGGTTTCTTTACTTGAAGTCTGCTAAGATGTCATTGAAGATATTGAGAAACAGGTGAGCATGGTGATCCCTGAAGACCAATGTGGGACGGAAACGGATGGATTTGTCGCCACAGCCTCCCAATACCACACCTGGGGGAAAAGGCAGGAAGTATATGGCATGATCAGAAAACAGTGAATGTTTAAATTTTAATGAGCTGATTACAATAAAAGGTGCCATTAATACACCTCAAAATACCCCTCCTCACTTTAGACACACTTACTCTTGTTCTCTTTCTTTCTTTCTTTTGTCTTTTTGAGACAGGGTCTCACTATGCAATTCAGGCTGGCCTTGGGCTCACTTTGTAGCTCAGGCTAGTCTTGAACTTGCAATGATCCTCCTGCCTCAGCCTCTCAAGTGCTGGGATCATAGGTATGTGCCACCACACCCGGCAATTCTTGCCACTTTCTGAAGCAGTTCTGGAAGTCCTCTTTTGTAAATGTCCTTGGTTGTTTGTGCTGTCCTGGTTGCCTTGATGTCTTGAATCAATTTGAATCATTGACCTTTCTTGGTCATTTTGACTTTGGAGAAGAGTCAGAAGTTGCACAGTACCAGATCTGGTGAATAAGGTGGATAAGGATGCTTCATAATATTTTCATTTGACAGAAATTTCTATAAGCATGAACCGAATCAGGACATCAATGCAGACATGAAAGACATTTAGGAAAGAGGACTTCCAGACCTGCTTCAGAAAGTGGCAAGAATGATGGGAGAAGTGTGTTCTAAGGTAGAGGGGTAATTTTGAGGGGGATTGGTAGTAGTATGTCTTTCATTGAAATAATTTTAAAAATTTGAACACTCACTGTATTTTGTGATCATACAGTGTGTTGGGTGTTTGAGTTCCTAGGGCTGGCAGGGAGCGACACACACTGGCCACCTCCACCAACTGTCTTTCCACCAGGCTCCCACCTGACCTTCCTCCCATGCACCCATCTTTCACTTCTTTTCTCTCTCCCTTAGCCATCTCACGCAGCCTTCTCTTTTCCTCCCTCCCTCCTGACTTTGGATGCTCCCTCTTCTTCTCATGCACTAGGATGGATGATAGAGAAATCCTGAGGGAGTTGGGAGGACAAACAAGTGAGAAGTAGTAGGAAGTGGTGCTGAACTGTCACTCAGAGGGATAAATGCCACTATCCCCCCAGTATAGGGATTGAACCCAGGGCCTCTGCACTGCGCCACATTCCCAGCCCTTTCTTTTTATCTTGAGACAAGGTCTTACTGAGTCACTAAGGTGCCCAAGATGGGCTCGAAATTCCTCTTGGCTTAGCCTCCCAGAGTACTGCAATTACATGCATGCACCACCGTGCCTGGCTGATGTTGCTAATTTTTTTTTTTAATCCATATCGGGGATTGAACTCATGACCGGCTGCTTGCAAGGCAGGTGCTTATGCCACTGAGCTAAATCCCCAGCCCGATGTTGCTTATTTTAAAGGGAGACATTACCATCTGCAGCTTGGCCTATTTGTCTGGGTAGTTTAGCATCTTTGGGAGTTGGATCTCTCTCTCTCTCTCTCTCTCTCTCTCTCCCTTTCTCTCTCTCTCTTTTAAGATGGAACCCAGGGCCTCACCCATGTTAGAAAGTTATGCTTCTGAGTTGCACCCTGGCACTAATTTTTCTCATCTTAAAAAAAGAGCCTACTTATCCATGCCTTCAGGGCTGCTACAGGGACTGAAAAGAAGAAAAGATCTGCCTGATACAGAGCAGGAGCTCTGATCTCACCACAATATGCCCCATTTAAAACTCTTCGAGGGCCTCCTGTAGCTCTTGGGGTAAAGTCCAGAGACTTGGACCTGATGTGATCTAGGCCTAGAATCCCTCCCCAGCCTCACGCCCTCACTTGTGTCTATCCCTGGCTCCACTGGTCCAGTTCTCCCCCTTGGTTAGCTCCATCCTGCCTCAGAGGATTGCCCGTGCCCTTCCCTCTACCTCAGAATGCTTCTCTTCAACTAGTTGCTGTCCCAGCACCTGTCACGCCTTCAGGTCAAGTGCCACTTCCTCATGGAATCCTGCCCAGGCCTCCACATTTCCCCAGCTGTTCAGCTCTCTTTGCTTTTCTTCTTTCTGCTGAAATGCTTATTCATTGTTCCCTTCCTGCTGGCCTGGACTCCCTGCAGGTCTTCAGTGTGACCACTGGCAGTGCAGCTCACCTTCTCGGTGGATGCCTGCTGTGTGGTTTGAGTGGAGACAGAAATCCCCCAGGGGGTGGGCTGGAGCTCACTGGCAGAGCACTTGCCTAGGACATGCCAGGCCCTGGCTTCCATCCCAGCACCGCAAAAAAAAACCAAAAAGGAATCCCTCAGTAACTCCTTTCAAAAAAGAACAGTCAGCCTACGACTATAGGTATCTCATGGTTCCCCCAGTACCTAGCGATATTTTCTATCCACATCTACCTATGTTGGACATTGACAAGGCTTAGCTGGACACTCCCAGGTCCCCTTACCTTTGTTTCTGGCGATTAAGATGAGTTTATTCCGTATGGAATCATCTGGAGTATCGAAGGAACAAAAGGTGCCTCGTCCTCTTACCCTGCTGATGAACTGAGGGTACCGGGCCTGAAGCGGGAGAGACAAGGCTGGTGTCAAAGTCTGCCACCCAGGTTCAGCTGGGCTTGGTGACTGTCCTTCCTCAGATATGCCTGTGGTCCTGCTCAGGGGCTCTGCCCAAATCGGCAGGACCACGGTTGGGTTAAGAGCTCAGCTCCCTCTCCTGTAAATTGAAGCTCTAAGTGCTGTCACACAAATGAGCTGTCATGAGAGTCTGGTGGGACAAGGTTTCTGTGTAAAGCCTAAGCCCAGGGCCTAGCACTGGCAGGTGGTCCATAAACTTGAGCCATCTGTGTTATTCACTCTTCTAGGAAGGAGGTGGTGGTTCTGGAGGAAACGTTCTTGCCTTCACCCAAGGACGATGACTGGGAGATAGATCAGGTTGATTAGTCCTTTGCTACTCACTTCATTGGTTCAGCTGGAACCTTCCTTGAGTGTGGCCTTATTTGGAAATAGAAATTTTGTAGATCCAATGAGTTGGGTTGAGGACGAGGTATTACAGGGTGACTCTGGGCCCAGATCCAATGGCTGGTATCAGTGGATGGAAATTTAGACACAGAAACAATATGCACAGAGGGAAGAAGGACAAGTGATGGTAAAGGCAGAGACTGAACTGATGCTGCCACAAGCCAAAGAGTGTCCAGCAGGACCAGCAGCCACCAGGAGCTGGGAGAGATACACAGAACAGATTTTCCCCAGGAGCCTCCAGGAAACAGCCGTGCTGACACCTTGTGTTAGGCTTCTGGCCTCTGTAACTGTGAGAATGAGCTCTTGTTGAGAGTCACACTGTGGTTGTTACAGCAGCCCTAGGAGACTCATCAAGGCACCTGGACTAGAAGATGATGGTTTCTTCCCTGTCTCCCCTCCACTGTCCAGACCAGCGCTTGGGTTACCTTAAACTGTCTCAGGGTTCTGGGTGCAGGATCAGGGAGCAAGCCTTGTCTCGTGATAGTGCCTTGACCGAAACTGAAGACAAAGTTGTGTTCTGGTGGAGGCGGAGCCAGGCACTGGTTCTGATTAGGATTTGCTGTCCAAGCCCAAATCCTCACCCCGCAGGTGAAGAAGGGCCCATTTTAGTTTCTGCCTCAACCTCCCAGTGTGTTGAGATACTAGTGTGAGCCATCACACCAGGGTTACTTTCCTAATTTCAAGCTATTCTGATTGGAGGCTGTCAGGTAAAGTACAGGATGCCTATTTAAATGTGAATTCCAGATAAAAAATATTTTTAAAAAGTGTCTCTTAAGTGTTGCATGGAATATACTTACATTTTTAAAAAGTTAGTTGCTATTTCTTAAATTTAATTGCGCATTCTCTCTTGTCATTTGCTAAGTCTGAAAACCCTATTGGTGGTTCAGTGAAGACCCTGACTCTCCTCTGGAACCAACCTTGCACCTGTCTCCTGGATCTGGGACTTTTGAAATTTAAACTTAACTGTGGCTCTTGCCTCTTCTCCCTAATTGTGATAACTCTACAAGGATTAAAAGAGATAAGGCATTAATCCAATGTTTGAAATATAGCAAGTTCTCAGGCAATTTCAATTAATGGAAATTATTATTACTGTTATTTTCATCGTTAGATTCTTGACCATGTCAGAGAGGTGAACACTGGCAAAGGACACAGATTTTGAAGTCCACCAGATCCAGGTTTAAACTCATGTAGTGTGATGCACAAGCTGGCTAACTTTGGACATGCCTCCATGCCTCAGTTTCCTTATTTGCAAAAGAAGGGTAACGATAGTGGCTAGACCTGCAGCCTTACTGTTGGACTTAGTGGGAAAGTATATGGAGGTTCCTAGATAGGATTTGGCTCTCAGTTAATGAAGATGTTACCATTATTATCTGTCTTCCCTTCTCTGTCACCATCCTCATCACTATCCATGACCACTGTCATCGCCAGCAGCATCCTCACCCCTCAGTGGGGTTGTGCCCATGCCATTGTTGACAGGATGCTTCAAAATCCTAGGGGATAGGTACTTTAAGACCAGCCACCCAGAGAAAGTAATTTGTTTCCTGAAACTCCTAGGCTTTGCTGGCCAGTCTTAGAAATGCTGGTTCCCCGACAAACCAGCCAACAACTGGGGTTGGCCTCCCCCAGTTTAGGAGACCAGTATCTGTGTGTGTTAGACCCAAAGCTGTAATGCAGACCTACATCATCCAATGTGCTGGCCACATGTGGCTGCTGAAATGTGAAGTCAAAATCAAGAGTGCAGGGCTATGGATGTAGCTCAGCAGCATAAGCACCTGCTTTGCAAGCGTGTGGTCATGAGTTCGATCCCCGGTGCCAAAACAAAACAAAACAAAACAAAAACAAACAAACAAAAAAAACCAAAGTGCCCCATATGTATGAAATACATGTCCCCTAAAAGTGTCATATGCTTGGGGGAGGGTGCTTTTGGAAGGTGATTGGATCATGAGCATGCCATATTCATCAGTGGATTTGCATGTGGTTAGAAGGTGGGGCCTTGTTGGAAGTGGTGAGTCACTGGGGAACGTGCCTTTGGAGCGTGTATCTCCTTTCCCAGTGCTTCCCTGCTCTCTCCCTCTCTGCATCCTGGCGGCCATGAGACGAGCAGCTTTGCTTCACCACATCCTGCCATCATGATGTTTCTGCCTTAGGACCAGTGGCCATGAACTGATTCCTCATCCACTGGGAACCAAATTAAATTTCTCTTTCTATAAACTGTGGTTGTCAGATATTGTCTCTCAGAGAGAGGAAAGTGGATAATACACTGAATTTCAAAAGTTTGGTGTAAAAAATGAATACACAATATATCACTTATTTTCTGTGTTGATGTTATGGATTAAGAACTGGTGGTCGGGGCTGAGGATTTAGCTCAGTGGCATAAGCACCTGCCTTGCAAGCAGGCGGTCGTGAGTTCGATCCCTGGTACCAATAAAAATGAAAAAGACAAAAAAAAAAAAAAAAAGGAACTGGTGGTCAACTTAACGCCAGCTGGATTACATCAGCATGGCACTGAGCGAAGATGCTCCACCTGAGGAAGTTGCCAGCATAAATAGGTGGATAAGGAGAAGGAGGGTGTTAAGGCATTGAGGCGTTAATGCATTGTTGCACTGAGGCATTGTGGGTTCTCCTACAAGTTGCTGTTTGAGCCATTGGTTCTCCTGGAGAAGCTTTGGTCCTCACATTGAGCATTACTTCCTGGCTCCAGAGGGGAAGATGTGTGCCTCTTGGTCTCCAGGATGAACTCATCATGCTGGCTTCCTGGCATGTACCCACCTGTGCTTGTTAGAGGAGGAGCTTAGGGCCTCCTTGTCGTTGAGGATGGCTGTGGTGCCTTTCAGGACAGCCCTGGTCTTGTCAGGCTCGAGTGTAGAACCCTCATCCCACCAGCACAACTTCTTCACCCCTCTGGCATGGACTTTCTGACTTCTACCACTGACCTTTGGGTCTTCCCAGCACGGATCCGTAAAAGAGATTGGCGTGAGTCCTTCTTATGGGCACTGGACCTCCAGTGGGAGGCATTGTCATGAGCTCTGGGTTTTTATTTGGACTCCTGTGGGACTTTGCTGTGGAATTTAGGCCCTTGACTAAATATTCTATGTCTTTGGTGTTGTGGATAGATTTCCTGCATTTTCTTGTGTTAACTCCTCATGACCATTATAAAAATAATATTACAAACTCCATGTCCTGATTCTAATTGTTCTCTGTACAACCACTAACTACAACAGTTGACCTGTTGAAATTATATTTTGGACAAAATGGGCTAAGTAAAATATGTTATCAAAGCTAATTTTATCTCATTGCATTGGTTCTTCTGTCTGGCTACTAGAACATTTACAATGACATCTGTGGCCTGCAGGAGAACTTCAGAGTGGAATGGAGAAGGCAGCACACAGGAGGGAACTGCGGACCTGGGTTGGGGTACTGGCAGGGAGAGTCTCTGGGATGTTTCTCCAAGGAGGGTTGTCTGAACATGGTGTCAAAGACAAGTTTAAATATCACATGGCTTCTCTTGCACAAGCAGCTCAAGGTGTAAGTAAATTAGAGCAAAGTGAAAGACGATAGAAAACAGGGAGATCTTTTGCAAATGGGAAGGGAACCAAGAGATGGAAGGAGGAGGGGAAGGAAAAAGAATTAAGATGTGTTATAAACGTGTCCCAGCTCCTCATGCTGAATGTAATGTCTACTGCAAATGTGTACTAATAAAAATTAAACATTTTTGGGGATTTCGGGGAGAACATGGCAGATAGATAACAGCAGCTACAGAGGCTCTCTGAGACAGCCAGCTTAGATTGCAGGAATGGTGTGGAGAGTCCTAAGCAGGGGGAGATACACCCTGCTGATCCAGGAATGAACTGAGAGAAACCATAAGAAATAAGAAATAAGCTGAGAGAAACCAACTGGAAATGCAATCCCGGTGCTACGACTGGAACAGCTAATGTCTCAGTGTCAAAGCTAGAACCCGCGCCTCTGGAAACTGCGGCTTGAATTTCCTGCCACTGCTGCTACATCTGAATTGGCATGGCAGGGATAGAGACATGAAAGCTCTGAGAGGGGGAATTGGCAAACCGAATTGAGAGCAGAGCTGGCAGGGAGCCCTGCATTGACATGCAGTGAGTGAGAGGAATGGGGACCCTCCCATAGACTAGGAGGCTACAACAGAGGACATTCTGGGACCAGGCAGACTAGCCGGAACAGGACACTGCAGTGACTTTATTCACATATTCCCCTCTCAAGCGGGATTGGTGGGGAGCACTTGACCTGGGTGACACCAAGGACTAAGACCCAGTAGGCTAGCCCAAACCAGGTCCCTGCACCTGGCAGTGCACCCCAATGCAGTGAAGCCTTCAGCAGGCTGACTGACCTGAAGGGGCGGGCCCAGCATAGGCTGCCCAGGTCTGTGTCTCCCTAGTACACTGCAGTGGGCAGAAACACCTAGCTGGCGCAATTCAAACAAACTGTAACTAACAAAGAAAGAAACTGGGCCTCCTATATACACTTGTATGGAAGGAACAAAAAATATGAGAAGGGGAGGCAATAAGAAAGGGTCCTCAGTCCCCAATCCTGAGAACACTGATCCAAGAAAGGTAAATGCAAAGGAGAATGAGGACAGAAAACATGCAATATCAGGCATGACACCAATAGACATAAAGCAGTATCTCTGGGACCTCATAGATGAGTTCAAAAGCAAAGTACTTAACCAAGTAAAGCAAGATAAAAGTAGAAATGCTAAGTGCCTCCCAAGAAGAAACAGATGGTGGAATGGAAGAACAGAAAAAAGGGGAGAATTGTTTGATGGAGAAAATAGAGAAAACGTAGAATACATGAAGCAGGTTCAAAGAGATTACCAGGAAACTAAAAACTCTATTGAAAGCTGGCATAACAACTTGAAAGAAACTAAGGATAGATTATCTGAACTGGAGGACAGATTTGTAATGTGGGAGCATGAAAGGAAAAACTTCTTAAAAATAACAAGGAAACAAGCAGTAACAATACAAAGGCTAGAAGATAAGAGGATCTATAACTTAAGAATTAAGAATGTAAAGGAAGAAGCAGGGATACAAACAAATGAACTGCAAAGGCTATTCACAGAAATAATCAAGGAGAACTTTCCTAATATGGGAAAAGGTAAAGATACTCAGATCTATGAGGCATACAGGACCCCAGCCACCTACAACCCAAACAGAGCTACACCCAGACATATAATAATCAAAATTCCAGAAATCCAATATAAGAACAGAATATTAAAAGCTGTTAGAGACAAGAAACAGATCACTTACAAGGGAACACCCTTCAGAATTACAGCAGACTTCTTGGCACAAACCATCAAATCATGAAGAGTGTGGGGCAAAATAATTCAAACTTTAAAAGACAATAACCTCCAGCCAAGATTGATATATCCTGCACAACTGTCCCTAGAAATTAATGGAGAAACAAGGTGCTTCTAGGATAAAGAGGAACTAGGGGAATTTGCAACCACCAATTCAACTCTACAGAGAATACTGCAGGATAGTCTAAAAAAGGAAAATACCAAGATTCCAGAAATAGTGGCAGAGAGGCCACAATGAATGGAGCAGAAAGTGAAATGAAGAAGACAAACTGACAACTAATGACAGAAAAAGAGCTCAACAGAAATGAGGCAGAGAAGATCGGATGGTAGGAACAGCTATTTTGGAGAAAACAAGACATCATAATAGCTAGTGTTGATTTAATATCATCTTGTTTTGAAGTCCCATCAAGCTTTTGTCCTTCTGTCTCCATCAATCTTAACATGTTGTATCTTATTGGATTTTATTATATGTGATAATATAAATAAAAACTTTTATAGACAAGGAGATAATAAGAAACCATTGTTCATTTTCTGTTAGTTGGTTCTAAATACCTTGTAATACTGTCATTCTCTTGAATGGTTTTACATTGTCTTAATATGTTTGATGCTACAGTATATGAAGTTATACTCAAAGATTTCAAGGAAAGAAACACTATGGTAACTACTTTTATGTCGGGATATCTTGTAGTGAAACACAATTTTGCTTAAATGGTTATGTTCTGACCTGTGCTGTTTTTTTGTTATGTCCTCTTTTATCTCAACCTCCTTTTTTAATTATTTATTTTTTATTTTTATCTTTTTAATTAAGGGAAAAAATAAATAAAAATAGCAGGATATATTATAGTAACCCATTTTGATTTCCTATTAACTTGATTTGAAACCCTGTATTGCTCTCACCATCTTGTTTTGACTGATTTTCCTCTATTCTGTTTTGCTTGATAGTACCAAGTTCGAGAGTATAGGCAACAACTGTGAAGACAATAAGATTCACTATGATGCCCATTCTGGTTCGACTATTATCTTCTTTTGAAGATAAGTCCTGTAATGTCTCCAATGTTTTGGTTTGATTGGTATTGTTCCTTACTGTTTTGTTCAATTTTATTATAACTGATGATATAGGCAGTTCTTTTTAAGATAGCAAGAGGCATTATGGTAACCACTGTTGATCACCTTGTATTCTGTTTTTACATTATGTACTATGTCCATCCTTTTGATTTTACTGACTCTGTTTTGTTATGTCACATTTCGTTTTATTCTCTTCAAAAAAAAGTAATAAGAGCTGTGGGAGTAATAAAACCCAAAATGTGTAATTGTCATTGTAAAAAAGAGAGGAAAAGAAAGTGCTCTAAAGGATATAACTGCATGTATATTTAAGCCTATAAGATAGATAACCATATTACTGAGTTTTTGTTGGATCATTGAACAGAACTGTTTGCAGTCTCACTGTTTGAGTGTCTATTTTATATGCTTTAATTTTGTAACTTGAACAACTATTTCTAAGATGACAATATGTGATCTATTAACTAGTGATTTCCTACTGTTTATTTTTTTTTGAAATTCTGTATAACTTGTACCCTTTTTCTGTTTTTTTTCTTTTTCTCCTTAAATAAAATTAAAAAAAAAAAGAAAAAAACCCTAAACATTTGTTTTTAAAAAGCAAGGAGTGAAAACTGGGCCTTTGGCTGGGAGGGAGAAATGGGGAGGCTCTGCCTACAGAGGGCACAGCCTATGCCTGGAATCTGGGGACAGCACAGCCAATTCAGAATTTCGGGAACAGCAGGTGTAGGGCCTTGCTGAAACAAGTAGACACTGCCATGGGGGAGCTCTGAGGGACTGTGGGGTGTTCCTGGGGCCAGGGTGGGAGGCAGGAGGAGGGTACCTGGAGGTCCAGCAATCCTGTGAGCAGGACCTTCCCTGCATGGGCTGCGTTGTTCAGCAGGTCCTCACGTTTGATGACATTGATGACCTCAGCCAGCAGCAAGTTCTTTGATGGGTCCCCCAGCCAGGTGTTGAAGATTCGATAAGGCTGGAAGAGGCAGACAGTCGACAGGCTCACATGTTGTACCCCCTGGTGAATCCCCCTTCTCTCACTTGGAAATCTGAGAAATTAACGAGGGATCACCTGCTGAGAGGAAGGCAACATATATTATCTCTCTGATTTCTTCCAAGACAACCCAGTGAGTACATGCTACTGTGGGAAAGCAAATCACCACAGGGATCTGGGAAATCATGGCAACTGATCCCTGAACCTCAGTCAGGCATTGTCTAATGACAGGGCTGCGTTTCAGAGATGCATCCCTAGGCGATCTGTTACCCTGAAAACATCATAGCTTGTACAAACAGAGACTAAAGTGGTTAAGATGTTACGAGGCAATATAATCTCACAGAACCACCAGGATGCATACAGTCCCTTATTGACTGCAACCTCGATCTGCAGCATAGAGCTGCCCTATAATCCTCATCAAATAGAGCAGGAAGCTGAGGCTTAGACTGAATCACTGCAAACATGGCTCCTAGGTGATGGAGCTGGGCTTGGATTGCTGGGCGTTTGACTCTGAAATGAATTATTTACCCACCCATGAGTTATGAAGGGTGGTAATGTGGCCTACTAATGTACATGTCCCAACCTCCACCCTAGGGACACATGACTAGGAATTACTCAGATGTTAGGAAAGAGCATTTGTTTCTGGGAAGGCTGTTAAAGATAAGGGTTCACTTTGTCTTTCACACCTTTTGTCTTCCTCCTGCCTACAATTGTGTTGTAATGGCTGGTCATTCCAATAGCCATTCTTCGCTGTGAGATAATCCTGAAGGTAGAAACTACAAGTGGTGATCCATATGGTATGTTTAATGTTTAAGTTTTAAAAATGTATTACAGTGAAAGACACATCATCACTGCTGCTCCTCAAAATACACCCCCTCTCTTCCAGCACACACACCCTACTGTTACTGCTGCTTCCTGAAGCGGTTCTGAAGCCTTACAAATGTGAGTGACTTTACAAGGTATAATGCTTCTGGCAGGTGCCATCTGACAGAGAGGCAGGCTTGTAAAAATGTTACTGTGTGTCTTTGTCCACCTTTGTTCTCTTCTTTTCTTTTTAAATTTAAAAACCAAAGAAAGAAAAAAAATGATGATACAGAATTTCAAAACACAACCATCCACTTTTTTCACTGGACCTAGCAGCACCATGTGACTTCTGGCTCTTCCCAAAGTCAAAATGACCATAAAAGGTGAAGATTTTGAAGTGACTCAGAATACTGAGACAACCACAACATCACAACTAAAGACATTCATAAAAGAATTCCAGAACTGCTTCAGAAATGGCAAGGACGATGGGATAATTCTGTGCAAACTGAGGGGAAAGGTTTTGAGAGGGATTCCTTTTACTGTAATAGATTTTTAAAATTTTAAACATTCACTGTATATGCTGATCACTCCTTGTACCCGTGGGAATGATGAAAGGATTCTGGGCTGTGTGTGTGTGTGTGTGTGTACACAAATGGGGTCTTCACGTACACAAGTGGCACAGTGTAATAGTTAAGAACATGGGCTCTGGGCTTGAATGTTGGCTTTGTCAGTTACGGGCTGTGTGGCCTTAGACTAATTAGCTACTCTGTGCCTGATTCCCCATTAGTAGTAACGTGAAGTAAAAATAATACCTATCCTTCAGTCTGCAGGAGGAACTGCTACCTTAGTCTACACAGAGAGTGAACTCAAGAGGAGATTGACAGTGAGTAGCTATGAAGATGGACTTGGAGAGCGCTACAGTCATAAACATTGATTAAATCCGTAAGGACTGAGCTGTGCTAGGTGGCTGCTGGCTCTTCTTGTTGGGAACGGGCAGGGGGGAAGGACTCTGCCATAACTGTGGTCCACTCACAGCGTTGGGCCGGAACTCCTCCTTGTGGAAGAAGCCCCCTGTCATCATCTTCTTGCTGAAGCTCATCACGTCAGCTGGGTCGTCCAAGCCCCAGTGCTCGTGAGCCCAGAACTTGCCTGTGCACCCCCCGCCTGTCTGGACCTCATCCACCAGGAAGGCGCAGCCATGCTGGCAGAGAAGAGATGGAAGAGGAAGAGATAAACATCTATCAGAGGCCCGTGACCCATGGCCCCACTGCAACCAATACCAAATGCTAAGTTCAGCCTCCTCATTGCCATCTCCTGACAGTCAAACCTGTGTTCCTGGGCTATGCAAAAAACAGAAGGCACTTAAAGTAGAGCGGTTCCCACCAGAGCTGCATCCGAATGTGTCCTTAAACTGCTGAGCTGGAACATAACCACGTGGCTAATACTCTTAGCACCAAAGTGGAGCTTGGCTGCCCTGGGCACCAGCTGCCCAGCTCAACCTCTTCAGAATGAAACGGCCCAGCAGTGAAGAGGATCCTCATTTCCTTAACTTCAGCTTCTATCTTCTCTGTCTCACTGGGATATTAGTAACCCAAGTCCTGCAACCTATATTTGTGAACGTGCTGGTTTTAATGAGCTGATTGGATACACGTCCAACCCATACAAAGAGAAAAAATAAGGCTTTCCCAGAAACCTTTTAATTGAGAAAGTTCTGAACTAAAATAGGCATATTGGAAGCTGGTTTGTAAGAAGTTACAGGGGATTAAACCAGGGCCTTTGCGCTGAGTTATATCCCCAGCTCTATTTGTTTGTTTGTTCGCTTATTTTGAAACAGTCTTTCTAAGTCATTGTGTTGCTTAAATTAGGCTGGAATATGCAATCCTCCTGCCTCACCCTCCCAGAGTACTGGGATTACAGGTGTGTGCCACAACACACAGCCGCAATAAGGGATTAAAAATGAATTGCTGATATTGTCTCCACCTGAGCTTCTCTACCCTCTGTACACCTAGATGTTTGTGTGGGCCCCAAAGCAGAGCAGGGCTAATGTTTTGCTCTGGGAAACTAGCCCAGGAAGTCCTACCCCCATCCAGCCTTGCCCCATCCTCTAACCTTCCGGGCAATGTCTCTTAGCTTCCGGAAGAAGTCGTCTGATGCATGGTTGTCTCCGCCCTCAGACTGGATGGGCTCCACGACGATCCCAGCCACAGTCTTCTTCTTTTTCCGGTATTTTACAATCAGATCCTCCACCTGGATCCCAAAGGGGATATGACAATGGCTCACGGAGGCTCCTGAGTAGAGCCCATGAATGAGTATCTGGGGCTCCATGCTCTCCTTGAAACTATGTTGAAGCTGTGTGTTTGTGGCAGTTCCTATGGTGAGTGTGGCCCTCATTAGGAGCCCACGTGTGGCAGGGGTGCATCCTCCTTGAGACCAGTGCTAGCAGGAGGCTAGTCACTCGGCCTCCCAGAGACTCACTCTCCTGGTCAGTGGAGTAGGAATGCAGGAAGGTATCACTAGCTTTCCCAGCATGGAGCACTTAAGGCACAGGCCTCCCTGTCCCTTCCTCCTCCCAGGGAGCACTACCCATGTGCCCAGATACAGGTTTTCTCTGTCCTCTGGGCTCAGGCTCTGGCTGGTGAGGACAGGAGCAGGAATAGAGGTGGCGAGGTCAGTTACCTCCTCCAGGCAGCGGGCCTCCTCCTGCTGGTTGTCTTTCTCAAACTCCTCCAGCGGGTACTTCAGCCGTGGAAATGGTGCAATAGGCCAGTCGAAGGAAGGGATGTCGATCTTGTGAATTGCTTTGGAGTGCGTGGTCGCTAAGCAACCTGAATCCAGTAAGAGAAAAGCAGAGCTTGGCATGGGGCAGTGTTATGGATGGTCTTTGAAGAGGATGTGATGGGTATTTTAGCCACAGGCAGGCAATGCGCAGGAAGGCCTATGTTTGCAGGTTGCAAGCTCTTGCACCATCCTGAAGCTGAAGTAGAACCTGTGAACTGTGGAACGTGTGCTTATGTGTACATGTGTGTGAATATGTGTATGTAAATGTGCATGCTTTGTGACTTACCACAGGCTCTGAGGAAGAGAGGGGAGGGTTTGAATTCTGGCTTGGTCACTGAAAGGCCTTGAAAGTTCTTCCCCCTGCTGACCCTCAATCTCCATGTCTACAAAGTGAGGACAGTAGTCCCCCTGTGCAGGGAATTGTGTGGAATCGGTGGGACAATAGGTGTAAGTACCAACACCAGGCCCAGTGCAGGTGCTGCTACTGTTTCTGTGGTTATTACTCTAAATGCCACTGTGAACGTGTTGATCCCTCCTTACCCATGGTCCTTCCATGGAAAGCACCCATAAAGGAGAGGATGCTGTAGTCAGGGCATCCAGGGGCCTAGAACCAAGAAACATGAGCATCAGTGAGCATTGAGAGAACTGGGGGCACCTGGGGGAAGGCAGAAGAAGTCTATGAGAAGGACTGAGTCTTTCTTGGGCATAAGTTGCAATCTGAACCCCTGATGTCTGTATGTGGTCCATAGATATTTTGTTTTGGTCACACACTTAAAATTTTAAAAATTGTCACATTTAAAATCAAGGCATTGCATATAAATATGGGAGCTTCTGGCTTCCCATGGGTGCTACCCCATGTGGGCCGTGTTTCTCCTGTGGCAGCAGCAGGTAGCCTGGTGTTCACAAGGTGACTCTCCTCCCGGCTAGGCCTCTGTATATTCAGAACCTGCTCTGCAGCTTCTCCCAGAACCCTTACACTTAAGCTGCAGGGTGGCTCTGGTGTCCACAGCTCACAGGTGGACCCATCCTCAGGTGTGCACCCACCTCCCAGGTATCCAGAGCTAGGGGACTCAGCTGGGCACCTACCAGGAATGCCTGAGGAGTTTGGAAGAGACCTGCTGAGCCAGGTAGCAGAGGAAGGGAGGATACATCTTTCTCCCTTAGTTCAGGAAGGGCATGAGCCCAGCACACAGACCTTAACCACTTCCCAGCCAAAGAAAATGGCACAGCTGCCACTCCTTGTACTGCTTCTTGACCCTCCACCCAGCACAGTAATCCAAAAGTGCTTCCAGATCACTCAGGAGGCACTGCTCTGGGAGCTTCAGAGGCCTCCTCAGGCCAGGCTCTGGGAGCTGATGGTCAGGGATGTGGCAGGACAGTTTCTAGGCTGGCTTATCTCCACCGGATCCTTGAGATTGCTGGGGAAAACTTCAAGACCTCCTACCACAAGTTCCAGAATACCCTCTTATCTGTGTGTTGCCCACCTTCTGAGTAGTGGGGATGGAACCCAGGACCTTGTGCATGCTAGGCAAGTGCTCTACCGCTGAAGTAAAGCCCTCACTCCTATCACCTCTCCCTCCTTTCCCCTTTTCCTCTCTCTTTATTTCTTTCCTTCCTTCCTTCTTCTTTTTCTTCTCTCTCTCTCTCATTTGTCTGACTCCCAAGAAGAGTTTAATTAAAGAATAGCTTGGGAATTACAAGATCCCGGTAAGCATAGCATTGGTTTTAAAATACACACAGGAAACTGAAGTGTCTTTTGCTCTCTCTCCGGAGGCCTCACAGCTCAGATTCTTCAGCAGTTGCTGCTCCTGTTTCCCACCTGTTTTTCAGACCTCTCCTCTTAGCTCCTCATCCTCTCTGCCTCCCTGGCAAGCCTGTCTGCCCTTAAGGCCTCAGCCAGTCTCTTCCTGGCTTTCTTCACTTTATGAATCTGTCCCTGGACGTCTGTAAATTTGAAAAGCTCGTATAGGATCATCTCTTTCCAAATTGGAGACTGGCTGGACAAGTGTGCAAAGTCTGTGTACCAGGTTGGCCCAGGGATCTACTTTGATTTCCTAAATTCGTTATTTTAAAGGGATTCGCAAAAATCCAATTGGCTTAAAATTCTCCTTCCCTGCCTTAGGGCAGGAGTCCCTGCAGTCTCCAACTTGCACTGAGTTGCTTGGCTTTTCCTGCTTCTCGTCTTGTGGACCACACCTGCCAGGATGGGCAGTGCTCTGGTCTCTGGCCTCAGGAAGAGGCCACTGGTGAGTTTCACAGGGAGTACAGAGCCCGCATCAGCTCTCCACTACCTTGGAGGCATGGACTTGTCATTTCTTCTGTAAATTCTGAGGTGTCATACTTGTTTTGAACTTTTCCACCAAAGGCTGACTTGGAAATGAGTTTGCTGCCCATTCCCCATGGTCACTGCATTTGTCTTGCTGGCTCTGCTCCTAGGAGGCAGGTCGGCTGTGGCTTGCTAGAAAAGGCCTTGTTTCTTCATTACAAATGTAACATAGATACATATCACCATGCATATTTGGACAAAATGAAGAATTAGATGTAAAAATGTTGACGGACTTGGCTGTACATGAATATCAAGTAAGTAAAGACAAGGAAAGAGGTAGAATTAGGTCCACTTAAAAAAAAAAGCCAAGAAAAAGGAGTAAAAGCTTTTCTGGGTTATTCAAATATGGAGAGAAGTATGGATATATTTGCAAGCAGAAAGTGGGGTTAGGAAAATGTGTATTTTAAGAAAACATGAGAAAAACCAAGCCAAAACAACCAGTTTCACCACCCAGGGTCATGCCATTGTAAATGTGTTAGCAAGATTTCTTCTGGTAATTTCCTGTATATTTACTTACATGTTTGAGGGCATATCATCCATACAATTTACATTGCACTTTTTTTAAACCAAATTATAGTATGTATGTTCCAGTCAAGAGAAAACTTTTGCTATTATTTTTGCTGAAGAGCACTGTGCATGTCAGCAGTGGGTAATCAGGTGCAGTGTGCCTTGATATTCCTATGTGTGTTTCTTTTTTTCCTAAAGTTTCAGATGCTTCTGTCTAAACTGTCACGGGATTCCATGCACAAAGAAAAGCCTGCTCTGCTAAGCTGAGTGGGAGCCAGTGATTCTACTCACTCCGATTCCTGGCAGCCCCACCAGCCACCTCTGAGCCCCAACAGTGGCCTCCTTGGTGTCTCTGGGTACTGCCTGGGTTTCATTTGGAATTCCTACATTTAATTCATCTTTCTTTATTTCTGGATAGGGATATAGGTGGCATACCTTCTAGTTGATTTGGGTTATTCTGTATAGTAAGTCCCCGATTTATGAACACTTGAGTTGTAAACATTCACAGGAATGCTGCTTTGTTGGAATTGAACAAGACTCCTTCATAACCTAGGACTCACTGTAGATCTCATTAATACTCTCCTTAAACCTGTCCAAGTCATGCCTTTGTTCTGGGAAATTGCTGAAGGCGATCAGGAAGTGCTGTGCTCAGCCGCACCTTCATGGGGTGGAAATGCTTGAGGACCCCTCCTAACTGAGAAAGTCAGGGTTAGTCAACCACAGTCAGCTGCAGGAGGCCGCAGCTTCCCCAAATGAACAAGGTAAGAGGCCCAGCTCACCTTACCTGGTTAACCATGCAGGTCTCCAGCTCTTCTTTTGAGAACCCTCTTTGCCCTCTTTCTTTGCTCTGGCAAAACAGAACAGAACAAAATCTGAGAGGCTGGGGGTAGATGGGATGTTGACTTTCTAACCAAACCTGTTTGGTTTAGTGGGGATACTTAGTGCTTTCTCAAGAGGTGATCTCATGTCTGCATGGAAGTATAAAACTGTTCACTGTGCTTTCAACAACAACAAAAACAATAACTAAATAGATGAATAATACACTGCATTTTGATGCATTAAGATTCTATCAGGGGGGCTGGGAATTTAGCTCAGCAGCATAAGCACCTGCCTTGCAAGCAGGTGGTCGTGAGTTCGATTCCTGGTACTGATAAAAAAAAAAAAGATTCTATCAGCAACAACTAAGCTCTGTTGAGATGGTACTTGTTTTGCTGGTAAGTACTTTGGGTAAGTTTGATGTCAACCTTGCACTGCCCTCTGTACCATATTACTACTACTAGATGCTGGGGAAGCTGCAGTCAGGTCCTTGTTGGATTTGACCGTGGGCACTAAGTCTAATGCTCCAGCCTGTCGCCATGAACTGTCAGATGGGTGCACCTGTAGCCAAATGAGACCATGTACTCTGTACCACAAGCCTTACCCGGTACCACATGAAGATGGTCTTGAAGGCATTTTCATTGGAGCAGGAGCCACAGGCCATAGTGACAAGCTGGGACATCCCTTTGGGGGCCACCTGCCATGAAGGAGCCAGGAGTGAGCCCAGGCCCATTTGACCCCCACTTTTCCTCCTGGAAGTTATGCTCCCAGGGTCCTCCCATCCCCCATCTAGGAGCCACAGTCAAGGGAAGGAGGGAGCCAAGGAAATCCTGGAAACAGCCAGATGCAAAGGGTGGCTTTAAGCTAGTGTAGTGCTGGAAGAGAAGCCCAGGGAGGCCTCGAGGCCAGCAGAGAGCAAAGAGAGGCAAAAACCCACATTTGCACACAAAATCTCCTTTTCTGCAAGAGGAAAATGAAAAATATTCTTTATGAAAAAATAAAATAAAGCCCAGCTGTGTTACTACATATCTCGATAACATCTCTTCAAACATTCCGGAAGGCTGAGGCATTTTCAAGCCCAGGCTGGGCAACTCAGTGACTTCGTGAGATTCTGTCTCAAAATAAGGGCTGGGTATGTAGGTCAGTGTAAAGGCCTTGGGTTCAATCTCCAGTTTAAAAAACAAACAAACAAACAAACAAGCCAAAAAAAAAGTTAAAGAAAAACAAACTAGTCCAGAGAGCAAGATTTGAGCAGCAGTACCTTCTCGTTCATGGCCACAGAATGCAATCCTTTGCTTCCCTGGCTGCCCACCTCTGAGGACAGTGCAGCTGGAAAGTGGAAGCAGGCCTGCAACAGGACAGGGCTGTCCCCGGACTCACCGACAGCAAGGACTCCCGGAGCTTGTCCACGAAGTTCTCTGGAGGCAGGATCCCCAGGGCCGGTCTGTTGATGAAGGTGCTCTGCAAAAGGCCAGCAGAAAAACAGTGACTCCCCCTGCTGCCCCCAGGTCCCCGTTCACCTTGCGCCTCTTCACAGATGACAAGCTCTGAGTGGCACTGCAGACTGAGGGTGTTCCATTGGTGTTAAGAATGAGATTTTTCCTCTCTAGCAGAGAAATTCACTAGGATTGTTCTGGAGTTAGAGAAAGTGTCAACAATCTTAGCTGCAAAATTGTACAGTGCTTAATGTAAAATGCTTCCATTGAGGGAAACTGCGAAGGGTATGAGAGACCTCTTTTTGTATATTTCTTGCATCTTATTGCAAATTTATAATTTAGAAAACCCCATCAGAATAGCCAAAATATGAATACTGACAGATATTACCCAGGATGTGGAGAATTTGTAACTCTCATTCTGGACCATTCTCTGGTGGGAAGGTAAAATGGGGTAGCTACTCTAGAAGGCAGAGTGCCAGCTCCTATAATGCTGAGTATGCACCCATCCTGTTACCTGGCAACTTACTCCAAGGTGTTCTCACAAGTGAAACAAAGGCATAGTCCACACAGGGCTGTGTACATAAACATTTATGGTGGTTTTGATTCTCATTTGCCAAAAACTGGAAATAGCTCAATGTCCCTTCTACTGTGGGTGGGGTGAACAACCTATGGTCCATTCACACAGTGAAATATGACTCTGCAATGTAAAAGAACAATCCACCAATATACAGGATTACATGGAAGAATTTTGCAGTCAGGATGTGAGCAAAAGAAGTCAGAAGCCAACAGTGATAGTGTGTATGGTTCCTTCGATATGGTCTTCCATGGAACAGGCAAAACTGAGAACAAAAAACAGGTCATGGTTGCCTGGGCTAAAGCACAGCTGACTACAAGGGCACAAGAGGAATGTATGGAGCAATGAGCTATTCTGTATGGATTTAAAAAACTGAGATGAAATCACCTAACATAAAATGCATCCTTCTAAGTTTCTCAGTGTACAGTAAGGGCATCCACACTGTGGTGCAGCCATCCCCACCATCCATTGCCAGGACGCTTCTATCCTCCAAAACCATAATTCCTCCCATTGAACTTCGATTCCCTGTCTCCCTTCTCCCTTAACCATTATTGTTTTGTTTTATGAATACAAGGGACCTACATGGAATCCCTCACTATTTGTTCTGTTCAACTGGCTTATTTCAAGCACAAAATCCTGAAAGTTCATCTGTATGGTAGCCTGAGTCCGAACTTCCTTCTTCTGGATGGCTGATAGCTGTCATGTGGGTGGACCACATTCGTATATCCATTCTTCACCCTTTGTGTATCCATTCACCAACTGATGGACCGTGAGCTGCTGGCACTGATTGGCTGTTGCAAAGATGCTGCTGTAGACATGCACATGCAGATCCATCTGGGTGTTGAGGGTGATTGTACAAAACAGCATTTGTATACTGTACACTGAATTGTACCTTAGCTTTTTAAACAATGAAGGAAAAAAAAAGAAGCATTATGAGGCTGGATAGCTTAGAAATTTTTAAGTAGAATAGGGAATGGTCATGGAGCTGGCTAAATTATCAGACAGGACTGAGTGTGAAAAAAAAGCCATACTAGAAAATGTTAAGCTTGAGTCAGGATGGTGGTAACCTGTAACTCCGGCACTTGGGAGGCTCAGGCAATAGGATCGTGATTTTGAGAACATTGATGAAGGTGCTCTGCAAAAGGCCAGCAGAAAAAGAACTTGTCCCAAAATTTTTTTGTAAAAAAGAAGAGAGAAATACAGAGGTGTATAAACTTTAAAATTCTAGCCCCAAAATATATTAAAACAAGTTCTGGCTGGAGGACAGTCCTACATCCCAGATGCTGCATTCTTCACCTGCTGTCTCTAATAGCCAGGTTTGGTTGCTAGCTGTCCACCTGACAAGATGAGGCACCTGGAAGGGCTGCTGTCCCACTTGTCACCATAGAAGGTTGCTGCCGTGTCATCTGGTACTTCCCTTAAAAGTGTGGAAGAAGAAATATAGGCTAGCAATGACCAACCCTGGAAGGCCACCAACTGCAGAAGTTTCCACCAGGTGGGTCGTTTGTGTGTGTTAAGAGGCATAGTTTATGCTCTGATCCGGCTGTCTTGTCACCCTGCTCCAAGTCTGTCCTGCCTAATTGATCTAGCTGAATTTCTACCCAGCCTCAATCCTGCTCATCTTTGAAAATGGCATTCCTGCAGGCCAGAAAGTGTCCCTCTCCAGGTAGGCTGGATTGAGCATGGCCACCAGAGAGACCACCACACAACCTCTACTTTCATTATATAATTCACATTCAGTGGGTAGGTTCTGTTGACTTTATGGGAAAATTTGATTTGGTTCTCATCCAATTCTGTTTGCTGTGAGAATCATGGAAAGAATTAAATTCGTGAACCAAGGTACCCACTGTACTCCCACCTGTGTGCTAAATAACACCCCTGTCCTCTCTAGCACCAGGGCAGTTGGTGATGACAACTAGAAAGAACCATGAAAAAGCAGAGAGAGGTACAAAGCAAATCCCAGGAAAAGATACAATTCCTCCCTTTCTTAGTCTATTCCTCCTCTCATTTCTTTTGCTCTATGCCTATAATCCTCTGACCCTCACAGAGTTGAGAGGTTGATTTGCAAGCTTATCTCCCACTTCACTTCTCCTATTCTTGGCCAGGAATTAGTATCTGGGTTCAATCATCGCTTGGGCTTGCTAATGGCTCCGCAATTCCAAGAGAGAAAAAAGCCCATTTTGGAACAAGGAACTGACAACAATCTCATGCTGGGATTTCTCTAAAGAAATGATTTCAAATGTAGGCGAAAGTGGTGTATTTACTCTTCAGGCAGCACTGTTTATAACACCCAGAAGGAGGAACAGTGTCAACCTAGCATCAGGTTAGTGCACATTGACTCGAGGTGCTGGTACATGGCTGGTCACATTTAGGAAAAGTTATAGTCACATGGGATGATTTAGATTACAGAGATATGTCCTTGAACTCTTTATTGAATCCCCTTATGCAAGCACTGTGTCGTATTTCTGGACAGCAGAGCATGTTCATTCACAGGATTTGGGTTCCCATTCCAGAGCCCATTTTGGGTGTGCAAAGGGCTAGATTAGGAGTTACAGCTGTTAAGTCCCTTAAAATTAATGAACCTCAACTACTTTACCTTTAAATTGAGCAGATTGTGGCCTGTCCTTCTGACTCACAGGGGTGCCAGGAGTGCCCCAGGAGGTAGCGTTTTTCTATGTAGGGACCTCAGATCAGTCAGGGATTGGCATTCCTCCAGACTCAGAGAGGGAACAGACAGCCAGACTATCTTGGGAATCCACTATCTGACCAACTGTGGCCAGGGGCTTTACAAATCCTTAGGACAGCTTGGTCACACTCACTGATCAGAAAACTAGCGTATTGTGTTCGAGGACAGAGATGTATCAGATTTAGTGGCAAAATGTGTCAAGCCAGTGAATTCAGAATAGTTTAGTTACACAAGAAAGAAGAGGTTAGGGCTGCACAGGGGCAGGGGTCACTCTTGGGACCCAAGAAGGGAGGTGAACCAGGGACACAGCCAGAAGTTGACCAGAAGCCGGAGGACCCATTTGGGCTGGTGGTGGGAGCTGCTTGGATGCTAAGGGCAGACATCTGCCAGTGTAGGATGAGCAGCTAGTCCTGAGGGTTGCCACAGGGAGGGCTGCACCAGGATGAACAGTGAGGTCATGAAGAAGTGGGTTTGGGTTATAAAAATGGATCATATCTTCAAGGCAGTGTGGTACCTTGGGTCAGATCCTACAACACAACTCAAAAGACAATACTGGGAAGACAGTAAAATCCAAATAAAAATCTGCCTATGTCGCTAACCAGTGTAATTTGTAAATCCAGTTCTGACAAATGTACCTTGGTGGGGTGAGATGTAACCAGCATGGGAGCTGGGAAAGACAGATAGGAACTAGCTTAAAATCTAATAAAAGTATTCCAAAGCCAGACGTTTGGTTATACAAAGGGAGGGTAGTGCTGTGATATGTATACTTCTTGGGTCTCTCTCTCTCTCTCTCTCTCTCTCTCTCTCTCTCTCTCTCTCTCCTTTCTCTCTCCTTCTCTGACACTGTAAGAAGCTCAGTGGGTATCTAAAGAGCAGCATCACCATTTGGCAGAGTCTCAAGGACATGCAGGTCCCAGAGGTAATTCTCTTAGTGGCTTTGGGTCTTGGCTTGGGCCTCTAGAAATTGGGGTAGATTTGCCTCTCTGCTGCTTTTTCTCCTCTGTGACCACTCAAGTGTATCTAGGAGAAGTGATGAGGGAAATGAACCCCCTTCCATTGTAGAGTTGGAAAAGTGAGGAGCATGTGACAGGAAAGAGCAGATCCAGGCTGGGTTCAGATGCCACTCCGTCACACCCTCCCAGCAGGTTCCCCTAGAAAGATGAATGCCAACAACCCTGGAGACCTGGGCTGGCCAGCTGGGGCCTTTGAGGAGCATCCTCACTCTAAGCTGACCATGGGACTCCTAAGAAACAGGATGCACCACCAGAACAGGGTGGAGGCAAACTGCCACTCTGGGCTGCAGGGAAGAGGCTTCCAAAGGAGGACAGGCAGGCTGGTAGCTTGACTGCCTATCTGGGCCTGGGAAAGATGTGGGGGTGGTGTTCTTGTTCAACAAAGCATGACACCAGAAACAGAAGCTATCTAGGACATCGGGTCACAGAATCAAATGAGGACAGATTTCTAGAAACTTCACTGTCAGCCCATTAGTCTTAAAATACAGCATGAAGAGAATGGGCTTGGTTTAAGTGGTTATGCAATTTTGGGCTAATTACCTAACCTCTCTGAACTTCAAGGTCATCGTCTGCCAAAATGGGGACGTCCCTGGCTTGTAAGGAGGTAGGAGATGAGATGGATACAGAGAAGGCCTAGAAGTCACAGGTGGGTATCTATCTTACCTGGTCAGGCCTTTATCCTATGTCCATTCTAGAGGCAAGAAAGTCAGATTGCAGCTGTCATACACTGCAATGTGACCTTGCATACATGGTGCCACATAATTTTTTCTAAGAGTAGGAAAATTTATTGGAGAATAGGAATAGGGAATAGGAATAGCTCCTGGGAGACAGGAGGTCCTGAATGGGTTGCCTGGTGCCTGTAATTCTTGCACAGCTGGTGGACAATTAACAGCATGGCCTGGTAATAGAAGAAATACCAGTTGGAAACCCGGTATTCGATTTGGGGGACCTGATTTCATTTGTGCAGTCACATGAAGTCATTATGGTGAATTTTCACAGTGGTGCTGTGACAGGTTCCTTCTCAGGACTTACAGCCTGGCGGGAAACTGCCCTCGAGGGGTGGAGCACCAGAACCCCCACCTGAGGGTGTCTCCAGCCAAGGAGTGTCAGCCGGCAGCACGCAGCCTGATGCTCAGTGTGCCTGTGTTTTAACACTTTTCTAACACAAGGTTAGGGTCTCTTCTCACCAAGCCCCAAAGCAGTCTTCTGCAGAACAGCTCACACTTACCATGGAGGCTGTGATCTCACCACCACAGCCCTAGCCAAGAACCATGCCCAGTGCACAGCCAGTATTCAGCCAATTACTAGTAATAGAACAAGTGTCAAGAAATGAGGCTGGTAGCTCAGCAGCACAGCGCCTGCCTGGCAAGCTTGAGGTCTTAAATCCAGTTCCTGGTTCAAAAAAGAAAAGACGGAAAGCAAGAAAGAAAGGCTGGGGCTGGCGTGTGGCTCAGAGACAGAGCATTTTCCTAGCATGTGGGAAGTCCTGGATTCCACCACCAGTGAAAAACCGAAGCAAAACAAAATGACTGAAGAAGAAAGCAGAAGGCAGATTAGTAAAGGCTTTGCAGTGAAGCAGAAGAGCTTCCTAAAGGCAGTGGACTTGGGTTCCATGCACTGTGGGGAGGCTTGGGGGACAGCTGGGCTGGGAGGAGACCACCAGGTGAGTCAGGAGCTGCAGGGGGCTGCAGAGAGGCTGCTACCAGAGACTCAAGAGGGAGAGGTGAGGAGCAGGACCAGCCCTCAGCTGGGTGAGGGGTGGAATGTGGCTGGGCCTGCAGCAGCCTGTGGCAGGACCTTCCTGAAATCAGAATCCCTAGGCCTCCACGTCATGTGTTACTGGGAAGATTCTGCCTCTGCAGGCAGTTGACACTGCAAATTTGTTTGACATGTTTGTTGACACAGTTTTTCAGCACCAACTGCCAAGGCATCTGGGATTCTTATGATGTTTCTGAACAAAGCTTGACTTTGAATGTAAACATCTATGGAGCCTCTGGGGAAAAGCCCTCATCAGACCCCTTTCAGAGGCCCCAATTTCCTCTCCAGTGACCCAGCACCTGTCAACTAATTGGAGGCAAGAATGTTCCCCAGGCCCCCTGGGAAGAGCACGCTGTTTTATAAGGAGGAAACAGTGGTTCTTTCTAGTGATCTTCAATTCTGTCGATTAAAAGGAAGACTATTTTGAGGATGAGGACTTGTTTCCTTTCCAGGACTGGATGCTTGATCCCTTTTGCCTTTCTTAGACCTGTTTTTGGAAATCAGGCTCCTTGTCCTGTGTGCACTAGGATGCCCCTCTCTGAGTCAATTAAAGGCCCACAAAGACACCCATTGAGGATTTGGAGCAACTGGACCACCCTCCCTCCTGTCCCTGCACTGCTGGTGGGAGCGGAAATCAAGATCGGCTTGGAGAATCAGCAGGGTTTGCTGAAGCTCAGCAGGGACACATGCCAAGGCCCGCGATCTGCGCTTAGCTTTGTGTCCTGCACACACATTCACATACTCCCCAGGAGACACATGCTTGATCATGGCAGCCGTTTTTGTAAAAGCCCCAAAGAGGAAACCACCCACGTGCCCATCAGCAGCAGGAAAGATGCACTGATTGCAGTACATTCACACAACGGGACCCCGTAAAGCCACCAGTTAGTGGGCCACACGAGACTGTGAGGATGAATCACACAGCTGTGACTTGTTTTGTTTCTCTTCTTCTATTGGAATGCTAGGGACTGAACCAGGTACCTTGTGCATGCTAGACAATCGCTGTATTGCTGGAACTACACCACAGCCCTTTTTATCTTATTTTGAAATAGGGTCCTGCTAAGTTGCTAAGTTACTTGGGCTGGGCTCAAATCTGTGATTCTCCTGCCTCAGCCTCCTGAGCAGCTACCAACAGAAATGTGTACCACTATTCCTGATTTCAGACGTGAAATAAGCCAGCTAAGACAGAATACACACTGTGTATTCCATTTATGCAGAGACAAACAGCAGGAGAAACCCACCCATCAGGTAGCTATCTAATTGGGAGCTACTTCTTTGTGCCTCAGTTGTCCCACTGGTAAAATAGGGTTAACAATAGCACTTGCTTCACAGATAATATTACAGCTATAAGGAGCTGAACAGTGTTTAGTACATATGTTTTTCTTCATAAGCTTTACTAATTATTATCACTACTGTACGCCTATACAATGCCTGCCTTACTCTGTAGCACTTAGTATGGCTGCATTCTTGGCTTATGTGTGTGGTTAACTGACTGCCCCCATGGGAACAGGGAGCACTGTTTGGTCCCTAAGGCATTCCAAATGTCTAGAGCATAGTATGAGCTTGATACCTTTTGTGGAATGATGAATGAATGAATGAACGAATGAGTTATTTCTACGGGCTGCTCAGTGATTCCATGAATGACCGAGAAACATTGGTCTTTGTGTAATGGGGAGACATACCACATTCTGAGGCTGCTGGACCAGTTTTGCCAGGGCAGGATGGCTATAACCTGGGGAGAAGAGGGTGCATTAGAGAGAGCATCACAGTCAGGGGTTCCTCACATCCCCTTCCTTCCCTGCCCTATCCCTCCCAACTCTGAAATTCTCTCCTTTTATACTTTGTGGACACAAAGAGATTCCTGGGTCCTGACCCTGTCTTACAATCTCTCCGCAGACAGCCCAGAAATCTGCAGCCAGTGCCTTAGGGGATCTGGTGCTTGTTCAGGCTGAACCTGCCAGACTAGACAAACACAAGAGGAGGTGAAGGTGAAGTCAAAGCATATTTCAAGACAGAGCTAGCAGTGGATCAACAGGTCAGTCTGAAGAGCTATGGATTTCCTCCTGCTTTCCTGCCAGGACTCATTGGCTGGGGCAGAGCTCAATGAATGTTTGCTGTTTATCTGGGGACTATATAATGCTACCTGCATCTGTCAACAGCGTGTCTCATCCTATGTTTATTCCTAGGGTCCCACTGCATTTACTGTCCAGACAAGGCTGACATCACATGTCAAAGCTTAGCATATGCTTTGATCCAGCAATTCCTCTTCTGCGAGTTTGTCCCACAGATGTGTCTAAAGACCTACATACACAGATCTTAGCTGTGACGCTGTAATAGTCTAGACTTGAAAGCAACCTAACATCCATCAATAGCAGATCAGGGAAATAAACTATGATTCATCCCTATGACGCATGCCTTCTAATGTGACTATGCAGCTGTGACAAAGAATGAGAGATTTATCTATGCTGAGTTAGAATGATCTCTAGAATCTACGGCTATGTGAAAACGGAAAGAGATGAGATACAGAAGTGCTTATATATACACTGACTATCTTGCTACAAGAAAACAACAATAATGCTTGCTTTGGGAAAAGAATGGGAGTAGGGATCAGACTTGGGAAAAAGACTAACCCCCTTTAATTAAAATTTAAAAACAAAATTTTCCAACCTGAGGACTGAGGCCAGATGCAACTTTATCCCTGAGTTATGCCTCTAGCCCTTTATGGTCTTTTATTTTGAGACAAAGTCTTGCCAAGTTGCCCAGGCTGACCTTGAACTTGAAGTTCTCCTGCCTCAGCATCCTAGAATACTAATATTAGAGGAGTATGCCACCATGCCTAATTTAAAAACAAGATTTAGAAAAAGTTAATCCATATGGGTTACTCTGTGGTCATGTTGGGTTCAAGCAAGTTAATTTCAATCTTCCAGAACATTCTGAAGATGTGTTCTATGATTCTACTGCATGGTGACTTCCCAGGAGTCAAGCTGCTCTGTATCTTGGAAAGCTGCTTCATAAGCTGCTGAATGTTTTTCAGGGACCTGTGGCCCTTGCCAAGAAGCCCAGCAAAAGGGAGTCTCAGGGAGCCTTAGGTTCACCGTACTTATGGAGGTCTTGCTGGACTCTTCTTAGAGCTGCATCAGAATGGATGGTGACTCTGGAAGGAGGAGGAGGGAGGTACCCAGACCTGGTCCTGACAGCTATGGGACTTTGGTGCCTATTTTGGATGCTGAGCAGGCCAAAGAGGACAAGAAAACGGAAGCTGTGCTCCCTGGTCTGGCTCTCTGTTCCATCCAGGGCGTGGCTTTGTGCTCTGTGAACACACCTGTCTGCATGTCTAACTTTCACCACATTGCTAGTCTCAGGTGCCCTTTCTTGCCTTTCTGAGTATCTGGATTTTTCTCTTGCCAAAATGCCCTGAGGAGGCCCCTATTTCAGAGAAGCCTTTTACCAAGATCCACAGCCTCCCTCCCTCTCTTCCCCCACCCTGCCATGTCTGCCTCTTCCCTGCTTCCCTTCTACCATGCATGGCCTGAATGTGACACATCGTATCAATAGAATCAAAGACAAAATCATGTGATCATCTCACCAGATGCACAAAAGGCATTTGATAAGACCCAATATAATTTCATGATAAAAACCCAAAACCAAACCAAACAGAAAACGAGTCCCAAACCCCACAGTAAACTAGGAATTGAAAAGCACTCTCGAAGCCTGCTTAAAACCTTACAGCTAACTTAGTGCTTGGTGGAAGACCAATGCTTTCTCCCCAAGATCAAAAACAAGGCAAGGACATCCTCTCCTGTAACTTCTGTTCCTCATCATATTAGAGGTTCCAGTCAGGCAGATTAGATAAAAAACAGAAACACAAAGTATTTAGATTGGAAAGAAAGAAGCAAAGCTATCTCTGCTTATAGATCTTACAAAGAGGAAATCCTAAGGAATTCACTAAGAAACAATCATTGCATACAAAGGAGGTTAGTAAGTGTGTGGGATGCAAGATCAGTGCACAAAAATCAATTGTACTTCTATAAAATTGTAATGAGTGACCCCAAAACAAAATGAAGATGTCCCGCCTGGCCTTGTAATTTAACTTGTCTGCCCCTTCCCTCGGAGTGGTGCTTCTTTAGTGCTGGATGAATGACATAAACTATAGCTTCGTCTGGTTCAGTCATTTTGAGAAACATTCTCAGCAACTTCAGTCTTTACATAGTTAAACTTCCAGATACAGGAAGAGAAGCAAAACACGTATAACTAATGAGATTATAACTCCTATTTATTGAGCACTAGGTGCCGGGCTCTGTCAAATGCTTAGTATGCTTGCTTTTATTTCATCTTCCCAGCATCCCAGCGGCAGGTTTCACTAGCTCAAAGGGCTGATGAAAATGAGGAGACACAGAGCAGAGAGGTGACGTACAGGCCGGGCTTCTCTGTCTCAGAGACAGGCTCTGGGCCCAGGACACTGTGGCTCCAGTGTATGCAGCGGCCTCTCAGTCCTCCCTCTTTATGACAGAACCCGTTTATCAAGCATCTAGGATGTACAGGGGTTTCTGTTCCTTACTGCCAATCCTTAGAGTAGTCCTACCGGAAGCCATGTTTTTAGGAGGAGGGAGGCACTGAGGCTGGAGATGAGATCGTAAGACTCCCCACATGTTCAGCCTCATGCATTTTTGTTGAATGAGTGATGTAGAGATCCAGTGAGGAGGGCAAGAACTCAAAACTATCACATGTGAGAAAAGACTCATGGATGAATCGTGGAGCAGGAAGTAGACTTTGGAGGAAAAGAATCACTCCTGCCTGAAAGTATCAGTGTTTTAATCACACATGCCTCTATGGTCTGAATCTTTTTACCCCCTAGACTCCTGTGCTGACATCCTAGCTCCCAGGGTGAGGGTTAGGATGGTACTAGGAGGTACAACCTTTGGGAGGTGATTAGATCAGAGGAGTGATGCCTTCCAGGGGGGCCCCAGCTTGCCACTGTGTTAGGGCACATCGAGGAAGCATCATTTATGAACCAGAAATCCAGACCTTGCCAGACACTGGATCTACTGGATCTGCTGGTGCCTTGACCTGGAATCTCCAGCTTCCAAAATGGTGGCAAATAGATCTTGGTGTTTAAAAGGTACCAATCTATGTCATTTTGGCATAGCATCCCCAGAGGACCAAGACCTTGTACCTGTTTGCTCTCACCCTGTTTACTTTCTAAGTAGAATACAAGTTCTTTGAAAGGAGACTTTGTATCACTGTAACCTTCATAGCTTTGTAGCTCCTGTCCAAGGATCTGAGGCTCAGGCCTGTTCTCTGTCATAACCGAAGACTAGCAAGTTAGACAGTTCAGACTCAGTATGACCCAGGAGAGGCTTTCTCCCAGGTAGAGTCTAGAAAAGAGACAGGGAAGCTTTGAGAGTTCGTTCTGCTGCAGAGGATGGGCAGTGGGGATGTTGGAGGAGAGTCCACTTCCTCCAGCTCCTTCCCTGCACTTCAACTAGACTTGCTTACCACTGGAGGATGGAACACTCTCTGGGTTTTTTCCAACTGTTTTTGGCCAGAGAGCTTCGTGTTCTGTCGCCTTATCAGGCTGCCTGGGTGTTTATGGCTTTTCTGCCTCAGCAGATAAGGTAAATCTCATTAAGCCACAAACGGGGCTTGTTTTAGTGGCTCCTCAAGGAGCAAGAGAGGACAGTAGAGCCAGTCCCTCTGGTGGAGGAAATCCCACCATGGGTTCCATGCTGCAGGTTGCCTCCTCCCCCTCAACGCCCCAACCGCAGGGCAGAAGTTCAAGAGGCTGCTCGATAGAAATGAGCTGAGTGGACAGAGTCATGGATTCATGTCCCTAGGCTCTCTGTGCCCATTCAGCTGCACTTTTCACTTTTCACCTGAAACCTGGCAAAGACATACACAGCGAGGATGTTGAAAGACCGTTATAGGGCTGTTATGGTCATTGAATGCAGAAACATCAAGATACTTAGCACCATTCCAGGTATACAAGAAGCTGTTTGTTAGCTAAAAATATTTCAAGCTAGGCATGCACATGTCGTCTCGGTTGCTAGGGAAACTGAGGCAGGAAGACTACAAGCTTCAGGGTAGCTCAGGCAACTTAACAAGACCTTGTCTAAAGAAAAAATGTGTGAAATAAAAAGGTCTAAGGAGAGGCTCAGTGAGAGGCCATGGGTTCAATGCCCAGTACCCATCTCCCTGACAGAAAAATGAAAAACCAAAACCCAAACATTCCCAAGATCACAGATATGGGATAAAAAGCAGCATGAAAGAAGATTCTAAGAACTTTAGCCCAAAGGAACTGTAGTCTTTTACCAAATGCTGCAAGTCTGATCCTCTTCTCCACCCACATGATGGCTGGGACTGAACTGAAGGAGCCCTGGTGTGGTCCCAGTGCCACAACTAAGAGATGGAGCCAGGATTTGAACCCAGGAAACTTCCATCCCTTCCACTGTAGCATGAAGGGGAGATGAGGATTTCTAACTCTTTGTTTCTAAAGTGCCTGCAAAGACCGAGCCACCTTTGAATGATGAACCTCCTTAAAGAATGAGTCACCTGCTTAGTCTCTGATCACATCTTAATGACAAATAAATAGCTTTGAGGAAATGGGCTGGGAGGCAAAGGAGAGGGGCACCTCTGAGGCTGGGTCTCAGGGAAACTGCCCTACACTGCTGAGAAGCAGGGGGCTGCTGCACATGCAAAGTGCAGGACGTCCCCTCTCCTCCGTGGCAGACAAGCAGCCCCATCTGCAAAAGGACCTGCTTTGCCATGCACAGGCCAAAGCCAGTAAACACAGCCGGGAGTCCATCAACCATCTAAGCAGCAAACAACAGCTCCTGCATTTCCAAATTAGCCCTGTCTATCCCATCATCTGCACTGCATCGCTTTCTGTGGCTGGGAGTGAGCCTGGGAGGCAGATGCTGTTGGCATTCCACTGAGGTCACTTCTGCCGGGCAGGTTACCCATCTCCCAGCTGCTGTGTGTGTTGGCCAGTAACGGCTCCAGCTGCCTCCTCTTCCAGAAAATTGCCCTTCCTGCATGGAAGCCACTTTGCCAGTAGATGACACTGGCCCTTCCCTCTGGCATCTGATGGGTAATGGTGGCCTAGTACACGGGCACCACAAGGCCCTTGCTGCAGTTCAATTCTCCAGAGTCCTTGTGGGATCAAGCTGGGGACAGTCTCCAGCAGAACCCTCATTCTTTCTGGTTGTCATCCTACCCTTTCTCTTCCCTCCTTTCTCCTGACTGTTCCTCTTCAATCGACAATTTGTACAAGAATCCTGCTGCAGGCTTTTCTTCTGGAAACCCAGCCTCATACACTACATTGTGGACATTGTGATCACATGGACCTGGGTTCAAAATGAACTGTGATTCCTCTACATGCTACTCAACCTCTCGGGGCTCTCTTTACCTACCTGCAACATTGGGGTACAATCATATACCCACCCTGTAAGGAGCAAATGAAAAGATGTGTCCTATGACTAATAATACACTCTAGCCATCATGGTACCAGGGATCAGTTATAGATGACAATGTTTCCACAGATGGGGGAAGTGGTGGTGCTGGACAGTTTTTACATTATTTCTCAAAAGGAGCAGACAAGCAAGATCCCTTGCTTATGCAGTTCATAGTTGTATTGCTCCTGTGAGACTCTCATGCCACTGCTGATCTGACAGGAGGTGAACTCAGGTGGTAAAGTGATGCAGGAATGGCTGTAGACACAGATGAAGCTTCGTTCACCTCCTACTGTGTGGTCCATGGCCCAGGGGGTGGAGGCTCCTGCTCTATACCATATTGCTCTGTCTTGTGACTTTGAGGGAGATGTGTGGCAACATATAGGGATGTGCTATTTCGGGGGGTGTCTAAAGCCTGATGGGAGGGAGAAAGGGGGAGGGAGAGAAAGAAAGAGAGAATATGACTCTGGAACCAGCTTTCCAGCTCTTACCTATGGGGACAGAGGAGATCTGGGAGTAAAGATCCAGCATTCGGTTACCGTCCACATCGACTAGGTAGTTGCCTCGGCTCTCTTCATAGTTGCAGAAAAAATGTACCGCTTCTGCATTCTTAGGGAAAGAAAGACTGACTCAGGTTCACTGCGACTCTGGCTGCTCGGTCCATTAGGAATAAGCTCTAGTTGGTGGAGCAAACCATGCCCTGCCCTTGCAGCGGACTCGTGGGAGTCACTGTAGGTGCTAGCAACATGATAGTTCTCGCTCTGGGAATAACTCTACAGGTAGCTCACTATACGGCAGTCCATTAAGGTGTGGTTTTGTATTTTATAAGCTTTTTTGTATATGCTACATACATTGCAAAGCTTGAGATGTAAGTAAGTAGATTCTGGTAAGTTGAGAGATATGTTGCAAGTCTTTGAGCTAAGGAAACCAGAAAAAATAGTAATTATTAAAGAAATGAAGATGCTACCTTAGAAAATATTCACTTAATGCACAAAAATCCTAACAAAGAAAACCCAAAATAGAGGAGCAAAAAATATATGACAGGGAGAATAAAAAATAAAACTGGAGACATAAATTCAATTGTATCAATAATAGTATTAGTGGAACCAATGAAACAAACTATTAAAAAGCCAGAGATTGGGGGCTGGGGATTTAGCTCAGCGGCATAAGCACCTGCCTTGCAAGCAGGCACTTGTGAGTTCGATCCCTGGTACAATAAAAAAATAAAAAAACAAAAAAACCCCAGAGATTGATAAACTGAATAAAAATAATCAAGTATATAGTATTTATAAGGAGACACACCACTTTAGATTCAATAACACAAATAGGTCAAAAGTAAAATGATGGGGAAAAGGTATGGTAGTGGACATCTGTAATCTCAGCTCTCAAATCTCAGGCATTTGAGTCTGGCCTGCCATTGGGGGAGAAATAAAGAAAGAAAGAAAGAAATAAGGAAAGAATAAAAGAAAGAAAGAGGATAGAAAAAGGTATTTGATACACACATCTTCATAGGAAAGCTAGAAGGGCTTATTCTAGTACCAGAATAAACTAAACAGCAGCAACAACAACAACAAAATAAAAAGAAACACTTTGTAATGATAAAGTATAATCCACTAAGAAGATATAATAATTATAAACATATTTCTTTCTTTCCCTTGGAATCAGGAGTCAAACTCAGGATCTTGCGCTTGCCTGGCAGGCGTTGAACTGCTGAGCTATATTACTGGTCCCTAAACATATTTCCAACTAATGAATGAGCATCTAATGAGGAAAAAATGGAATCGAAGGGGGAAAAAGCTGTACCTTAATAGTCTGTGACTTTGGTACTGATATGCAGTAATGGACAGGAAAGTAAGCAAAAGATTAGTGAGGAAATAGAAGATTGAACAGCACTTCAAATGCAACGATCTAACAAGCACCTGCAGAATACTCCACCCAACAACAGCAGGTCTCACACTCTTCTGAAGTACAGACAGAACGTTTCCCAGGGTGGCCCGGATGGCAGATCATAAACGAGGGCTCAATAAATTAGAGAGGATTGAAGCCACACAAAATGTTTTCCAATCACAATGCAATGAAACTAGAAGCAGTTACAGAGAGAAACTTGGGAAATTCACAAAACCATGGAAATTGAACAACACATAGGCTAGTGCTAGGCCAAAGAAGAAATCACGGGAAATTACCGAAGAGATTTCGAACAAAATTAAACTGTGTGTTTTTTAAAGGGTCAGCATGGTGACTTTCCTTCAGCTAAAATGTAATAAAGAAGCGACAGAATAAGTGTTCTCATCCCACTCACCTGAATCACATTCAGCTGTTTCATTAATTCCTGCAGGCAAGAAAAGCAAAACCATTATGGCTGTGACACACTCTGGCCAAAACAGCTAGAAGATCTTCCATGCTTCCCCAGCTCTTTGAACTTTTCTTTCTCTCTTGCTAATACTTTGATAATTTGCTAGTCAATAATAATTTAAATATTTTAAAATTACTTAATATAAATAATTGGCAGTAAAATATCACATGGTTAAATTACAACAGACACACTGAAGATTTAGATACTTGGAAGATAATACACACACACACACACACACACACACACACATATATTGAAACAGGGTCTTGCTATGTAGTTCAGGATAGCCTTGAACTCACAGCGACCCTCCTGCCTCAGCCTCCTGAGTGCTGGGATTATAGGAGAATCCCACCATGCCCTGCCAGATATATATTTAATAAAAGAAATCAAGATGAAAGTGTTTATCTAGTGTGTATTAAAAATATGGGTTCACTTTTTATTTTTAAAAGAGGATTTTTAGCTGGGTGTGGTAGTTTACCCCTGCCAACCCAACACTCAGGAGGCTGAAGCAGGAGGATCACCATGAGTTTGAGGTAAGGAACTCATAGTGAGTTCAAGGCCAGCCTTGACTGTACTATGAGATCCTGTCTCAAAAAATAAAACGAAACAAAAAAAGGCTTTCACTCCTCATTAGAAGTAGAAAGTACAATCAACTGAAAATATAATTTGCATATCAAAGAACCATTTTAAATTGCAATCCAAACATTCTATAAACTGTAATTCTATACAATAACTGAGAATTAGGCACTCTTTGGTTTGTTATCATAAAAAATTCCACTCCAAAAATAACTCAACATAAAATACACCTTAGTGATTAGTGTTATAAGATTATATATTTCCACACAAAAATATAAAATGCTGTTAATGACAAGGGTATGAAAAGTTCTTTCAGTGTTTCACTGCTATTAAATTATGACCTATCTGTACATAGAAATGTGCAGGAAATGTGCAGGAAACAAGTCTTTTTGTTAGAAAAATGCTATCTAAAGCACCTCATCATTTACAGTAGTGTAATGGTTACTGAATTTACAAACTAGTTACAATGACAAAAGGAGTAGCTTTTTAAAATTTAATTTCATTGGTATAATGATCAAATTCACCATAGAGAATTTGTACCTGTACATGCTATAACTTGTTAAAAAAAAAAAAGAAACTGAATAAAATCTGCAAAATGAAGCAGGTCTGGTGGTATACATCGGTAATCCCAGTTACTCAGGAGGCTGAGATAGAAAGATCACAGATTCAAGGTCAACCTGGGCCACTGAAAAATAAAAAGGGGTCAGGGATATAACTCAGTAGTAGAGTATCCCTGGGTTTGACTCCCAGTACCAGGAAAAAAAAAAAAAAAAAACTGCAAAAACTAAAACAAAACAATTTGAATTAAGAAGGTTTGTATTATCCTTTTGTCGGGAACAGAATGGCCTCCTTTATCAGATTCATCCCTTTACCCTTCAAGATCAAAGTCAAGCCATCTGATATCCAGGCCCTGTTTTGCAGAGTCCTGTTCTTCCATGCTGGGAGGATGTTCTGCCCCAGCACTGGCTGTGCACTTGCACTGGCTGGCAGAGTGAGGTGGAGGTGTGGGAGCCAGTGTGGAGCCCAGGCCTCCAAGAACCTATGGCATGGTGAGAAAGAGCCATTCTGCCTGCTGGAGGCCAAGAGACCGATGCAGAACAGCCAGGTCACTGCAGTGATCCGAAGCAGTGACAGCCAGCTGTTCCCAAGGCGTGCAGATGAATCCAGCAGGGCTGCCCCAGCCCCTAGCGAGCCCTAAATGCAGGGCAAGCGGGAGGATGAGTGCTGGGAAGCTCTGGGATGCAACATTATTGTGACAACAGATAAGGACACAACCCTTGAAGCCTTCCCTCCCTCTTCTGCAGAATGGCCTAGTTGGTTTTAGTACTTCATCTCTAGTAGCAAACCCTTGGAAAGTAGCTCACAACACCAGTTCCTGAGCTCGGCGGTGACCATACAGGTATGCTCAACTTACCCGAGACCTAGGACCTGGGACTTCTGTCTTCATCAGAGGCCCGTCATAGTCAAAGTCTACATCGACTTTGGCAGCAGCTTGACTGATGTGTCTGGAGCCTGTGGTAAATGAAGACTGTGAGAAGCCCTAGAACAGGCACAATTCTAGCAGACACCCTAACAGATACCCTAAGTCCCTAACGAGGAGGTACAGGACCTCAGTCTTGTTCTGGCCAAATGGCCCTAGAGCCCTGAATCTGGGCAGATCTGGATGCTACAATGATCTGACAGATTTTTTTTTTTTTTTGGTACCGGGAATCAAACTCATGACCGCGTGCTTGCAAGGCAGGTACTTATGCTGCTGAGCTAACTCCCTGGCCCAACACTACAGATTTGCCTAATAAGGAAAGCTAGTGTCATGAAGTTACAGACAGACAGCATGCTCCTCTGCCAGTGGAATGAGGAAAAGTCAATGCTGGCCGCCCGGTCCTTCCAACTGAGTGCTTTTTATTTCTAAGGATTCATTTTAAGAAAACAATGGGGCCGACATACAGAGATGTAGGTAACAAAAATTCATCAAGGTATTGTCCATAACAACAAAGGGAAACAACCTACATGTCTAATGTTGGAGGGAAGTTAAGCAAAACATGACATAGCCAACTGTTTCATGCATGTTATTTGCCCATTTAGGACGGATAACAGCATCTTTAGACTCTGTCAGGTGTCAGTGTACCTGTCCCTGCTAGAATCCCAACCTTGACAATTGAAATCAGCTAGGAAGGTTGCCAGGCCTGGTGGTGTATGCCTGTAATCCTAGCTCCTCAGGAGGGTGAGGCGGGAAAATCACTTTGAGGCCAGGAGTTCAAGACCAGCCTCAGCAACATAGTGAGATGCTGCCTCAAAAACAAAAACTCTATGACTCCACTAATTTATAGGTGAGAACCACTGATTTATAGAACAAGGTTCAATGTGATTTTGATTTTTGCAGTACTGGGAATTGAACCAAGGGTCTTTGCCCTGAGGTACATCCCTGCCTCCCTCCAATGTTATTTTGAGACAGGATCTTGGTAAGTCACTAAGTTTCCCAGGCTGGCTCCAACTTTTGTTTCTCCATCCTCAGCCTCCCACAATGCTGGGATTATAGATGTTTGCCACAATACCCAGCTCATGTTTTTGATATAAACATTCTGAAACTAAGAAACATGTCTGTATTTCTTTAGGTACCAAGATGACCAGGGGGCAGGTGATGGAACAGAGAACCTTTTGGGGCTGACCAGTCGATTCCAAAGAGTCCTGCATAAAATAGGGATGTATATCTGATATCCATAGCTCTTCATGGGTGCAGATCTCTCTCCTTTCCAATACAAACCGGAAGTCAGGACTTTGAAATTAGCTAGAAGCCACCTAGCTCTCACTGCTTCCTGGTTCAAGATGTGACTATCTTCACAGACCAAGCTCCTGAGTCTTCTCTAAAGCCTGTGCCGTGTTTGGATTCTCAGTGTCCAAAACTGTGAGTCAAGTAATCCCTTTCACTTCATGAGTAGCCTGTGTCTCACTAACACACGTGACATTTAAGTACAATGTAGGAATGTGGACCAGGTGCTGGGGTTTTATTTAGGGAAACACTGGAGAAATCTCAGTAGAAGTCTGGAGTTTGGGGAACTGCCATTGACTAAGTCAGGATCTTGTTTTTGTTATTTTTTGAGACAGGGTCTCACTATGTAGTTAAGGCTGGATTTGAACTCACTATATAGGCTGAACTAGAACTCACAGTGATCCTCCTGTCTCAGCCTCTGCAGGGCTGGGATTACAGGCATGCACCACCACACCCAGCTCAGATTCTCGTTTTGATGGACACATCCATGAGATATATGATGTTAACAATTGTAAATTGTGCTAGCCTGGGGTTTAGCTGCATCTTCCCAACTTGGTACCAGGTCTAGAGAAACACCTTATCTCTCCAATAGTAACTTCTACTGTTCTCCTTTTCATTCCAGAGATAAACCTCCCACTCCCTTTTTGCAGTGGGCTGAGCCATTTCCAATCCCAAGATTCCACAACCACCCAAGCATCCACCCCCATCCCCAAGTAAATCTTTCTATCTCTTGTTTTATGCGAGCAAATGCTTCTTCAAATTAGCAGTTAATGTCATTTTGCCCACCTCCCAAACTCCTCCCCCAGCCAAAACTGAAAAAGTAGCCCTACTTCTTTGTTCTCCTTTGAGAGCCTCTGTGTCCCCTGCCCTGTGAAGTTCTCCAATGCCCACATTAAAAGTCTCCTTCCTATCTCTCTCATTTTCTCTGCACCGCTTCAGATTGTGTGCCAAAAATACCCAATCAAACACCAGGGGAGACTGGAAGAGGGCCATGCAGGGTCTCTCAGTACCATATTTGCAACTTCTCTAAACATTGAAATTATTTCAAAATATTCTAAAATAAAGCCTGCCAATCCTCTCACTCCTGCTCTTTACCTTACACAGGATATAAACTCTGGTGTTCAGCACACAGGGCAGGGACACAGGAACAGCTTGTCTTCAGAAGACGGGCTGGACCAGAAGAGGACACCACAAGGAGCACCGGGAAGAGACTGGTGCCCACTGGTCTTTCTGAACCTACTTCATGGCCAGCCAGTGTGAAGGCTGTTTCTGCCTCTGTAGGAGGCCAGTCTCTGTGTGTCCAAAGGGAGGCTCCTATTGGTGGCTGGCTGTCTTTCCCATGACAGGCAGAGAAGAATGGAAGCATCTGAGAGAGGCAATGGAGAAAAAGGAGCTGGTGGCTAGGTAGGCAGGAAGGGGAGGGCAAGGGAGCGAGGGTGGCACATTGCTAGGACGATGCCTCCTGACCCATGCCTTTAAAGCACATGTGGGCTGTAGGTCAGTTACAGATGCTCCTTGAATTATGATGGGGTCACATCTCAACAAACTTATCATGAACCAAAAGCATTGGAGGTGGAAAGTGCACTTAACTTACCTAATTTGCCTGCTAAGATGTGGATGCGCATCCCCCAAAGGCCCGTGTGGTAAAGGTGGGGACTCCAGGGTGGTGGCACTGGGAGGTGGTAGAAACTTAAAAGGTAAGGCTTTATGGGAGATCTTAGGTTATTGGGGGTCTAAAAGGGACTGTGTGACCCCCTCTCGGTCTTGTCTCCTCTCCTCTCCTTTCTTCCCTTTCATCCCTCCTTCCTGGCTTGAGAAGTGACCACTGACCTCTCCTACCCTTCATGGATCCCACAGAAGTCAGATCAGTGTTCTTCCCCTGCCATCTCGGACCGGGAACCTCCAAAGTTGTGAGCTAAATAAAGCTGTCTTTGCTTCTTAAGTTGCCTATTTCAGGTATTTTGTTGTAGTAATGCAGAGCTGACTAATACACTACCAACCATTATAGCATTCCTTACCTATCTTCAATGTGCTCAGAACACTGAACTCAGCCTGCATTTGGGTAACATTCCCTAACACAAAGTTGACTTTTTGACCAGGTGTTGACTGTCTCCTATAATTTATTGAACCTGGTCCTGACGGTGATGGCTGAATGCTACTCTCTATGCACACACACAGCCGAGCTCTGAACACCATCGAAGCTCTGAACACACGATTGAAGCTCTGAACTGAAATTAATGGCTGGATGATGGGGTTGTCATGGAAACTGGTCATCACTTGCTGTCCAGGAACTGTGGCTTGCTGCTGCCCCTGCCTAGCATTATATCAGTATTGTGCCATGCTAAGCCAAAAAGCACATGAAGGTTTGAAATTCAAAGTACAGTTTCTACTGAATGTGTAGTGCTTTGACTCCATCAGAAAATCAACAAAATCACAAGCCAAAGCATGCACTTTTCTTTTTCTTTGGTAGCACCCCAGTTAGGTGCTCCTCACCCCATGGCCTGAGCCCTTCTGGGTGTGGAGAGGGGCTCCTGCTTGCATCATTTCCTTTCTTGCTCGGGAATTGTCTTCCTGTGGACAGGAGCTAATGGCAGAGATGGGAGATGGAAAGGGGTCGATGGAAATGGTTTTATTGAGGGTCAGGAAGTAGCATCCAGAAGCCCTGGCTGCTATGTCCCTTTATCCCCAACAACTCTCCAGCCCAGGAGTCTCTGATCTGTACCGTATCTCCATTAGAACCAGGTCTGGCCAAGAATTCTTGCCTAGGGCTTACCAGACACAAGCAGGAGGTGGGGGTGCCAGGAGGAGCAGGCCAGTCGCCGGGGGAGCAACAGGAAAGCCATGATCCCTCACTTGCTGCCACCCTAAAAGAGAACACAAACCCAGAGTTAGCTCACCTCTGTGGATCATGTACTTCACCCCAGTGTCTCCTCCCTCATGGAGAAGTTCTTCCCACATCAAATCTTTTGTTCTTGCAGTTACTTCTTTGTTTCTGAGACAGGGTCTTACCATGTAGTCCACATTGACTGTGAACTTGCTGTACAGCTCAGGTTGCCTTTCAACTTACAACCTCATGCTTCAGCCTCTCAAGTATTGGTATTATTAGTGTGCACCATCTGGCTGAATATTTTACTCCTTTTTTTGGCCTAGCTTGAGATTGAATCTCGGGACCTTGCCTTGACTGCCCCTTGTTATTTATTTATTTATATTTTGAGAAAGGGTCTCACTAAGTTGCCAAGTTGCTCAGGATGGGATCGAACAATCTTCTCGCTTCGGCTTCCTAGAGGGTTGGTATTATAGGTGTGCACAAACATGCCCAACTCTACTCACTTTGCTCAAAGTGAATGTTGCACTGAATGTACACTTAAAGTCACATGCTTTCTCATTTGATCTTTATCACACTCCTAAGTAAGATGATTCTAGATGGGCAAACAGACAGAGTGGGTGGATTTGGCTTGAGATTGTTCTCTAGGGAAGAAAATGCCCAGGAGGATGAATATATGAGGGCCAGTGAATTTACTAAAATCAGAATAAGAAAAGACAAGAGTTTATTCAGATCAGAATACCCTGTAAGAGAGTGGGAAAAGGGCTGAGTTAGTATGTGCAACTGTCTCAGAGGTGCATTTTCTAGGATATCTTGTTCCTTGTTAATCTCCCAGGAACACCTACATTGTGCTCAAAGTTATATTAAAGTTACAATTTGTCAAGCTCATTTACTCCTGATTCATAGAAAAGGCTCTTTCTCGCTGAGTGGAATGAATGGGTTTTATATCAAAGATTTATTTTTATCTTATCCTGGTTTTGATCAGTGTTAGTACCTTATGACTCCTCAGTACACTCAGGGCTCGACTGTCCAGGGGCGGTTTTGCTGGTGAAGGTTTTAACCCTTCGGTGCCAATGGATAAACACCACATTGACAAGGCTGTGCTTTGCCAGCTGAGAAGATCCAGACAGGGAAAACTTCACAGCAAACATCCTGATGATCATTTGATACAGCAAGCTGGGAGTTCCCTCTGGTCACTGGGCTGTCTGGGGTCCTGGGCATTCAAGGGAGCACTTGGGAACCCATTTTGGGGAAGGCATGGCTTCAGCATAACCAACCATCCAGTCTGCCTGGGATGAAGAGGTTCTTTGGATGCGAGACTTTTCATTTTAAAACCAAGACAGTCATGGGCAAATTGGGATGGTCACCCTATTCCAGATATTACTAGGGCATAGCTTAGTTATGGCTACTCCCCAGTGGCACTGCTGAACCTGCTGGGGCAAACCCAACTCCCTTCTGGGAATGCAGAGCCTTTGTAAGAAAGTCCAGAGACTCCTTAACTTGTTCGTACCAGATGGAGTGAATTTCTGTTGCTTCCAAAGTTCCAGCTAATGCCATGGTGAGAATATCTGATCAGCCCCCAATCTTGGCCACATATGGGGAGTAACAAAGTCTGTTCCACTCTGCACTGTAGACTGAGCAAAGCTCTGCAGGAAAACTGAAGATAAAGACTTCTGGGACAGCAGATGTTTCCACTACAATGTCTCCTCTCCCTCTCCCAGTGGAGGATCGGATCGCAGAACCAGCTGTGCAGTGTACTAGAGAGACCTCATCTACCTGCTTTCTCTTGGGGAGAAGGGGGCTGTAGGATGACGTTGCTGGGGAGATGCTCTGAAGGGTGTGTTATCTTCCTCAGGCTGCCCAGGTGTCCAGCAGGCAGGGAATCTCCCCATCTCTGATGAAGGACAAGGATGTCCAGAAGAGGGATGCAGTGGGCTTGGTCATAGGATTGCTGGGGACTCTCACCTCAAAGACCTTTACTTGTTGTACTACATCAGTCAATCAGTTAATCTAGATGTACACACAGGGTTTAAGGAGTAAAAATGATGTAGCACAGAGAACAACTTTTATTGCTTTTCTCCAGAAAGATTTCTTTTTGGGAAAGGATGGGCTAAGAAAATGTGAACATGAATTAACCCAAAAAATCATACTCCTTTCTTCACAAGTCAATGGATTTAAAAAATCTATTCTGGCATATCTCACTCAATGGCAGCCTTTAATCTAGTGCAGAGTACGCAGGAAGAGCAGTCACTGCCTCTGATTTAAAACGATTTGTCTCAAACAGACTCAATTTCCATTAGGTGTGTCTGAAAACTCAAAAGTCGTGGAGAGTTTGGACATTAGTGCTTGAATATTCTGCATATTCTGCAGAAGTGAAACCATTCCTACACACTGGTTTTTTTTTTGGGGGGGGGTTGAGACAGGGACTCACTATCAAGTTCAGGCTGGCACTTGCTACGATCCTCCTGCCTCACCCTCCTGAGTGCTGGGAATATAAGCAAGAGGCACCATGCCCAGCCCCTCACGTTTTCAATTACACAGTGTTGCCTCAGAATCTCAGTGACATTGAAAGTTTGGTGACCTGCAGTTGAAATCAGCCTTATAACAAAACATTATCCCCACCAAACATGAATTCTTCACATAATGTATCTCAAATCATTAGAAGAGTTAATGGCGTTCATTTACTTTCTCCTGCTAATTCAATCAACAAAAGTTAATCAGACATCTGTGATAGGCAAGGCAGGGTATCACTTAGATACAGGAGAAAGGAAGACAGATAAAACACTGCTGTCTTTCTGAAGTTCACAATTCAATAGCAGAGGATTATGATGGGAGGAAAATGGGAGAATTTAATGTACTAGGCTGCTTTATCCACCCTGTCATTAAATTCTTAAAATAACCCTGCAAGATAAGTATATATAAAAGTCCCCAGTTCACTGTCAACAATGACTTCTTTTGAAGACAGAATAGAACCATGTCTATTCGGCTGGCAGGGGCAAGGTGCTAAGGAGAGAGATTTATTCTAGTCAGACTTGTAATGCCAGGGAGCTGTCATCTGAAACCACACTGTCCAAGTTCAAGAGATGACGGATCTCAAAGAAGGAGAGGCCCGGCACGAGTGAATGCTCAGAATAAGATGATGTGGGGCGGTTAATTAAGATCCTGGTGCAGTGAAGTGTTGAGGACACAAGGTCATAAGGGGCCGCAGGGAAGAGTGATCCCCCAGTGATAATGCCCAGTCTGACCTCTGCGGGGGACCCCTCTGAGGCCTCTCAAGGGCATGTCTTTGAGATGCCAACTGTACTGAAAGCTCCTGAGACAGGCTTGTTGGAGAGCACTGGCTATAGGGAGAGCTGATGGGGAGGAAGAAACAGGCATGAGCTTCTCAACCCTCAGTGGTGGCACAGCCTTTGAGGGTGATGGGTTCCCTAAAACATGAAACACAAAATTGTCCTGTAACACAGTACTTGCCCCAAAGACCTGAGAGCAGGGACTCAAACAAATACATGGACCACACATTCACAGCAACACTACTCACAGCCACCAAACAGTGAATAGACATGATCTAAATGTCCACTAGAGGAGGAACGGGTATACACACACATCCAGCATCACCACCCACAGAGAGGGATGGAGTGCCAGCACGCGTGGCACTGTGGACGGTCACCATGCTAAGAGAAGGAATGTGCACGTAAAAGGCCACATGTTACATGATTTCATTGATATGAAACTTCAAGAGAGGTAAATCCAAAGAGAGGGTTTAGGAGGAGAAGAGAAAGAGGGGAGGAGAAAGAGGGCAGGGAAGGGAGGGAGAGGGAGACAGAGGAGAATAAGGAGAAGGAGGAGAAGGAGAAAAAGGGGAGAGGGAGAGAAAGAAAAAGAGAGACAGAGAGAGAGAGACAGAGATTATATGCTGGCAGCAGCTGGAGGAAGCTGAAATAGGGAATGATAACTTAATGGGTGTGGGGTCTCTGGGGTGAGGAAAAGTTTCAGAACTAGATAGTGGTGATGGCTGCAAAGATTGTGACTGTACTAAAAGGTATTCAACCATCCTCTTAAAATTGTTGATGGTTGGGTTGGGGATTTAGCTCAGTGGCATAAACACATAATCGTCTGCCTTGTAAGCGCACCATTGTGAATTTGATCCCTGGTACCGATAAAAAAAAATTGTTGATGGTTAATTTTGCTATACTTACTTCAATAAAAATAAAAAGGGGATTTATGGAGTCAGCCTCTGCTTTTATAGAAGAGAGAGAGGACTGAGAAGGGCATATAGAGTAAACACTTCTGGTCATACAGGTCTGTGACCGTGGGCAAGTTCTACCACGGCCCTCGTTTGTCTCAGAAATCAAAGATGCACACCTGCGCTTCATAGGAAAGCTTCCTCATGGTGAGATGTGGGTGATGGACCAGACGGCTCTGCAGGCCTTCTGAAGCACCTGCCAAGTGGGCCGAGAACTGGTAACACGTTACGGGTGCCTGCTCCCATCCAGTGGTGGCATTTGTGTCGCTCTGTTAGTTCCACCAGGTCCTGTGCAAGTTACTCCACCTTGGATTTGTACATCTGGAGAAAAGGAGTGTGGGTAACCAGCAGGAGATGGGGTTTTGGCATTGCTTTCAGAGCACTGTGGCCAAGAAAAGCCTGGAGAAATCTCAAAAACTGAAAGAAAAGCAGGGTGTGGTAAACACTCTTTTTTTTTTTTTTTTTTTTTTATCAGTACCAGGGATTGAACTCACGACTGCCTGCTTACAAGGCAGGCACGTATGCCGCTGAGCTAAATTCCCAGCCCCTGACCTCTAAAACCCTAGCTCTCTTTCCATACCTCAGTTCCTAACACAGAACCTCTGTCTGTAATTTTTCTTCTCATTTTTGTGAAGTAAATTTTATTTTTTAAATAAATTTGCTTTTTAAACTTCACAGTATGTGCAGCGGTGGTGGCGCCTATTTGTAACCTCAGCACTTGGAGGTAGAGACAGGAGGATTGCTGTAAGTTCAAGGTCAGCCTGAACTACGCAGTGAGACCCTGTTTCAAAAAAACT